CGTAAAGCGACTGTGTTACTTCCGTAAAGCGACTGTGTTTTTCAAGGCTGCATCACCGTCTATTGGACTGTAGCTCACATTGTAGGGCCGAGCGTTAGTGGAAACCGGGCGGTCTAGAGCGGCAGTAACTCTGCCCTGCAGAACCTCATGATTTTGAGCCAAATAGCTGCCGAATCTCGCTCTCGGTGGGTGCTTGAGCTGGCCCGTAGATAATTGAGTTCGAAACAACAGTTGCAGCTTTTTTGCAGTGAATTTCCTGCGGTATTTTAGTGTCAGCGATAGCAAACTTGGGTGGGTGATAACACAGTCGCTTTACGGATTTCGTTGACTGCGTCAACCCACCTCCCGTTTCGCTACCATGCATATACTAGTGATCCGCATACACTAAGCGATCCCGCACTCTACAAGCGAAGCGATATGTGGGTATATTGGAAACGGACTTTGCCATGTACTTCGTACTCCCGCCTAGCTGACGCCATGATCTCCAACCGAACGGTTCCCTCTCACAATGTACCCCTGAAATTACTCGCATTTATTCCACCAATCTTTCCAAAATGTCCATTTCGTCTTGAATCAACTACAGCCCCTGTCAATCTCTCAACTCCGAGGTTATCCATCCCACTGCCTGTCTCCCAAACACACAGAGATGCTGTCAAACATCACTTGAGCGTTCGTTTCTCCCCTGCGAAAGCCACTCACGAAAAAGTGATATTCGGCGTCCGTTGCTGACCGTTAAACACGGTCGGGATCCGAATCGTGAGCTGGATCCCGTCCCGCGTCGACTTCACATCCAGAAAAATGTCGGACGGACTCTCGCTGGGATTCTCCTTCCTCCACGCCTCGGCGTTTTGTCTCCTCTCTTCCTCGGTCCGTCTCGGTCTCGGCTGACCACCAACAGGCATTGACTGCTGCTCCTTTCCATCATGCTGCCCCTCGTTTTGCTTTGCATCAGACGCCGCTTCCTCCCCTTCCTTCTCTTCCTTCTGCTGCTGCCGAAGCAGCCTCTCCGCAGCCTCCCTCTCCCCCCTCTCCTTGCGATGCAGCGGGTTATTATTATCATGAAACTTCCCCACCACATTGCCCTCAGCATCAATAATATTGCCCAGATGGTCGACCATCAACGACGCCCTGCTCCTCCCCATCACGTCGAACAGACTCCGCGGCCCACCATTCCCCGCAGCCGCAGCCGCCGCTGGTAATTTCTCTGTTTTGACCTCTGCAACGTACCCCAACAGCTCCCCGCCGTCGCCGAGGATGTCGCCTGCGGCGTTGGACACGCGCCGCCCCACGATGGATGGCAAATCCCCGCCTGCTCGTGCAAGCACATGGCCTGTTTTGTCGTCTACTATGTCGCCGTACTCGTCTACGGATTTTCCGACGAGCAGTGAGCCGATTAGTGGTGAGAGCTGTGGTCGTTCGGCTGCTGTGGGTACTTGGATGCCTATTTCTCCAGAGGAGACTGCTGGGATGGATGGGATTTGGGGGATGGGTGCCACGTAGGCGGGTGATCTGGGGCGCTCTGGTGTATGTTGTTGTTGTGGTTGCTTGCTAGCTCCCTCGCCGTCCCCGTCCACATTGCCGCCTTCTTGTGACCCACGACGAATTCGACTTGTCATGGCTGCTAAGTAGTTGATTGCGTTCTGATAATCACTTTTAATCTGGGCCAGCCGCGATACCCGAGGGAGATGCTCGACGCTGTGTTTCGGTGTTAGAAACTGGGGCATTGGTGATTACTGTCTGCAGATCCCTCCAATAAACTGGCTAGCATGTGAGAGACCCAGTAGAGCCCCTTGGCACGCTGGAGTATAGATTGCTCCAAATCTTCCTGATTCTCTGAAGGAGGTGAGGTTGAGAGCTGGGGATGCGATATGACGTCACTGACCAGGGGCCTGCGGGCAGAAGCGAGACGACCGGGGGTCACGAAAAGTAAGATGGGAAAGAGTTACATACATCCTTCGATGCCGAGTAGAACACGGATATCTGGATGTCGAGAAAACGGTACGAGTACTCCGTACGGAGGTGCCTTAGGTACTCGAGGTACTGCACTGAACTGGCGCCTAGAATGCTGTAGGAGAAAGATGTGGCCCAGCCGCTCAGCATCTTTGGTGCTCGATCTGTGGCTGGTGCATCGATCGGGCCCATGACATCATCCTGCTTTTTCGGGATTGGAAAACCAATCAGGCGGGTATTGCCGAGGCGAGTCAACGTCTTAGCATTGATGCGAAACGGCAACAAACCTGTTTTTCTGTAGCCGGGGCCACAGCCGACCAAATCGCGGTTCGGCCGACTTGCATGCATCATGCGCCGAGGTCTGAGGCCTGATCCTGATCGACTTTGCTTGGTGTAAACATCTTGTCCGATCTACCACCATCAGTCTTCAATAATTTTCGTCCTATGTGTTCCTGTATCACGGCCTAAATTTAGACTTGGCGGAGACAGCCACCAGGAAGGGCTTCCCGAAGTTCCCGTCTCGGCGTCATGCAGAAGGCGTCTCATTCAGATGGAATAAACCTGCGATGCATGCACCAACAGTGCCGCTGTCAGCTGTAGTGCAATGCTGCTTGACATTGATTACTTCCCGCTTGACAGCCTTGACAGCATCATGTTGATATATCATGTATAGTTATCATCATATATGATACCAAGATGTACCAATGAAACTATTCCCAAACTTTGAGAAATCATCAAATGCAATGCGGAAATTCTCCTGACGCCGTCTGTGATGATACATCTTGTCTGTCGTGATATGAAAATTCCACCATTCGCCTTCTAACATGAGCCCATATACCACTGATTAACAAATCCAAACCAAAGTTGCCCTTATTCCAAGAATCCAAAGCCCGTTCTGGTACACGTAAAAAAGCCCTTTAGGACTCGGGCGCCGACACTAGTTGCTTCAGTTCCTAAGCAATTAGTCACCATCTATGTCCATCCGGAGCCAGCAATTCCTCCCCCGAAAGCCAGTGCGGTATGTAATGTCTCCAGAGAGGTTTGAGTGCAGTATGCTCAAGTTTCTCTACATCGACCTTTAGCCCGTGCAAGAAGCATAACGGATTAGAAAAGAAACCAACTCGGGAAAATATAGTACACGTCTAGAAGCTGAAAGACTTGTCGGCATTTCGGGAGTGAAGTTTTCTTCGCGCTCAAGTCTTTTCAGGGAGGAAGGGATAGAATAGGGAGGGGAAAAGGGGAAGAGCGAGAGAAAAGAAATGAGGTTACTTACAAGAGAGCCAACTCCAAGTCGCCGTGGATCTTTGCCTTGAGCGTGATCTCGACGTCGAGGTTGAGGTCCAGCCTGAGCCGGAGGGTGTCGCTCTTGCCGCCGCCGCCCTTCTGGTCGACGGCCTGGCCGGCCACGCCGCCTAGTGCCCCAGTTGCCGTGTTGACGAGGCCACCGGCCGTTTGTTGAACATTGTCGAGTGCCAGGTTGTCGAGCGGGCCTCCTCGCTGCTGGCGTTGGTTGCGCCTCCGCTGGGGAGGAGCATAGGTCTCTGACTCCTCGCCCTCGGACTCGTACGCCTGCTGCTTGGTCTGACGCCTGGGCTTCTTCTCTTCGGAACCGCTTCGGGAGGCCATTGTTGAAGTGGGTAAATCGAGAGATTGAAATTAGACAACGTCGAAAGGTAGGTTGGCTCGTGGGGTTCCCCGAAGCGTAGTATTGAACTGCTAACTGCCTCGGTGTCTGTAGGTTTGATTTCAGGGTTGCTTTCTTGGAGTCCTTCGACATCCAGATGGAGGCTATAAAAAGAAGGTATTCTGGAGACTTGTAAGGCCCAAAACCGGATTCAAGGACAAACCGGCAATGAAGTCATCGGCCTTGAGAACAGGCCGCCGTGATCGAATGTTCGGCGCCGAGACCTCGTCCAATCATGGCGAAACGCCAACCCAGCACACCGGGCAATATGCGGGCATATGCATATGCCGAGCCAGAGCACATTGGACGAGGGTGGAGTGTAGGGTGCAGAGAAACTGACATTGGACGAGCTGTGTGGCTGCCAGACACAAGTCTCTGGGGCATTTCCTTGCACTGCAGTGGGGTGGGAGACCGCAAAGCCACACCCGATGCCTCCACCAACCGAGGCCACTGGCAGCTACGAAAGCACAGTGCATAATCGATCGAGATATACTGTTCAGCCACAGATCTCTCTTCTAATTATCGTGATTAGTCTACGAGTCCAGATCTCCTGCTTTTTTACACTGCGCTATGTGTCGTATGGGTGTATTGTACTATCTACTATCCGTTCTCTCCTTTGACGTATCGGCTCTCCATGCCCAACTGCATTCTCCGTCGCAGCATGACCGGGACCCTTTTCCCTGCACCATTATTGCTGGGAGGGCCAGTGTCATTGGTGCCTTCCGTTTCGGGATCCGTTTCGCTTGTGCCTTCTTCGGAGTCCTTCTCATCCTCCCCGGGGGTCCCTTTCCCAACTCGATCCCACACAACCGCCCACCGCCCATTCTCCATTTGAACGGCCACAAAGTGTGACGCGTCGCCCTCGAGCGTCAGCCACTGCTCGTCATCGCTCCAGTACCAGGACCCAACCGTATGCCCTCCCAGCGTGTCCTGCCGCCCGCCATGGCGCACTGTGCCATTGTCCTTGTCGACGAAAATCCAGTTGAGCATGGGTGGGTCGTCGGCGATGGTGCTCACGAGGCCACGAAGCTGCGCTTCCGACGGGTATGTGAAGTAGTAGCCCGTGAACTTGTGGCCCGGCATGGGATAGGCTGGGTGGTCAATCCAGAGCTGCGGCACAGTTTAGTTTTCTTTGACTTCTTATTCTCACCTCCAGGCGCTTTGATGTCATCGGAGAATTCGGGAAATTTCCCCTTTGTCCACAGAGCACATGCTCAGTGGTCACCTGGGATACAAGGACTTGTTGACTGGACTTACTCTACCGTCTTTCAGAACACACCAACACTCGACGGGGTCATCCCCATCGAGTGAAACAGTGACTGTCAAGTGGAATTTGGCCTTCTCCTTTGCCTGCGCGTTGGCCTTCTTCTGTGCGCTCAGCGCTTCGCAGACTCCAATGGTGGTTGGGATGCCCGAAATGACTAGGAGGCCGATCACCATCGTCTGATGCGTCTTGGGTCGTTTGCTGTGAATGGCTTCGTCTCAAGCTCGCTGCTTGTCCACAATACCAGGATGGCTCAGGATGCGGACTCGGTTGCTTCAAGCAAGCTTTCGTCATATACCCCTAGATAACTCTCGCCACCGTTTCCTGGCTGCCATTCTTTGGCCCAAATGCTGCTTTTCGCACCCCCCCTCCCCAATGCAATGTTTGGTGCCATGTTTGCAAATTTAACGAATGAGAGGCTGATTGGTGGCCTTGATTCCCACCCTCCTGCGTTTCCAGACCCGACCCCTGATTAGCCGCAGTTGGCTGATCTCGAGCAGCACTACGTCATAGCCTTTCGTCGTCGCATATGCCGCGACCACTATCCTGCACCCTTCAGGTTGCGCTGCCATCCTCCCCCATGTCATCACCGGTCATGGGAAGCCTGACGTGAAGGGGAGGCTTCAGCCACATGAAATCAGGGTTGCAGCAGCTATGATGTTACAAGGGCTCTCCAAGTTTATCTCCAGGAAGGTCTACCTAACTTGCTAGAAAAGAAGATCGTGTAAACCTTCAGCGTCCTTGGCATCCCAATTGTTCAACTCTCATCCCAACTCAACATATCAACAGTGAAGACAGAGAATCTGCATCCTGCAAAAATGTCATCGGTGAGTAACCACAGACCCGCTCGTGGAAAACTTGGAGATTGACAAACCAAAGCCACAAAATAAGAAGAACGAGCAGATCCAAAACCCGGAAAGGGAGGAGGAGCAAACTGCTACACAAGCCAACCAGCCAGAAACCGCCGAACAAACACACGCCGCCACGGCAGAGGACGACAATGACGATGGTGACTTCAACAACAACAATCAGCACGAAGATGGGGAAGCCGAGGAAGGCCAACCCGAGGACGGCGAGGAGTACGAGGAAGAAGACCCCGACGCGGAAAACCAGCAGGTCCTAGAAGACGACTACCAGGAGGACGGCGAAGAGGCCGAAGGCGAGGCCGCAGCAGAGGATGACGAAGCCTACCCGGCGCAAGCTCAGGAGGAGCAAGACGAGGAAGACAGCCCGGCCTACTCAGCGCCCGCCACACCCAAGGACGATGAGAAGCCGCAGCCGAAGTGGATGCAGACGCAGCAACAGCAGAAACAGCAGCAGAACCGGGAACTGCAGCGCCGCCGCCGCCGTCCTCAGAGACGTTACCAAGACGACGACGATGATGACGACGATGACTACGACGACCAGGTGTATCGCCAGCCGCGCATGCAGCAGCAGCAAATGATGCCGCAGCCCCAGCAGCAGGGCGGTGGAGGCGGCAAGAACCCGCTCAAGCTGAGGTTGGATCTCAACTTGGAGGTGGAGATTGAGCTGAAGGCGCATATCCATGGTGATTTGACGCTTGCTTTACTGTATGTGTCCCATTTTCTTTTATCCTTTCTCCCCACCTTCTTTCCTTTTCTGTCCTTTCTTCCTCTCCGTCGCTTCAGTCCCGTCCCTGATCCGTCGCCTCTTAATACAGGGGGCTTATGTGATCTGGGACGAAGACTCGCGGCAGCCCCTTTCCTTCCCTAGTCGTTTCCTTTGTCGAGCGGTTTTTACTTTGTCACCAGATTGAGGCTTATACTGTAGTCAATGATACAGCAACTAGATTGACAGGTCGGGCTAACCATTGTGTTTCTCGCCTATTCTTCGTTGCTTTAGAGAAGGGTTGTAATGGTTCCTCTGGCGCAGCTTCCATTTGTTTCCGGTGAAGTAGTCGACATCCGAATATCTATGGGAGGGATGAGGGAGCAGTACCGGGCGGCCCGCACTGCCCCTCCGGTGTTATCGAAGAGAATGTACTCAAGCGCTCGGCATATTGTTTACGAGAAGGAGTTTGCGAAGCGTTGTTACGTTGCTATCATCCATTTGTCAATAGATTTGTCTCTGAAACTACTGTGTACTCTTAAAGGACACAGCATAGCTGCTGTACAAATCAGGTAATAAAGTCCCGATACGATAGCCTGCAATGATAAGGTGACTGCCGCTGCCGGACTCCTCATGCGGGGTGCATCCAATGGGGCGAGATAAGAACATGGACAACGTCACGGGACAATGTGCTGTGTAAACACCCAGGACACTTGCAGCACGGCGGTCATACAAAAGGAAAGCGACGGGTGTTTAGAGTTGGCCGCCAGTTGGGTTGTCTCGTCGAGTCTCAGCAGCCAGATATCCGACCTTCAGCATTTTGGTTCACCTCATCCCCCTTATGATCGCCCAAGATGATTATGGACGTGAACTTCTCCGAGCTACAGCGCGCATGGCAAACTGTCCTGCGGGCAAAGCCCTACTACGCCTCCGCGCTGCCACTCCTAACCTTACTCGCCGCGATCGCAACCGCCGTCCTCCTCCGCTTGTCCCGCCGTCACCCACAGCCATCACCAGTACCACCAAAAACCACCACCCTCCACAAAGCAGCAGCAGCAGACAAAAAGACCACCAACCCCCCTCGTGAATGGGGTAAATGGACCCCATCAAATTTCATCTTCCCAACACCCGAACCATACCCCTCCTGGTCCCTGACCGATACCAAACCCTTACCCTACCGCCCCTTCCGCTACGGGCCCAAGTACCACGTGACCATGGGCCTGCGCAGCGTGCCGCTGGCGGAATGGATCGAGCTGGACAACGAGTTCCCGCGGTACCATGCCACCAAGGCCCGGCGGATTCAGGAAAGGGGCGCAAAGTGCTGTCGGACTGCGCCTGAAGCGTTGCCGGCGGCGTGGGAATTGTTAAGTGAGTTGGGGAGGTATTTGCCGGGGAGGTATCCGGGGTTGTATAGGCGGAGGGTGGCCACGGTGAAGGGGGGGGATGGGGGCAAGGAGGTGGTGGTGCTGGAGAATCTTTGGTCTGGGGAAAAGTTTCAGGTCGAGCCGCCGCCCGCTGGTGGTGATGGGGATGAGGGGGAATGGGAAGACCCGATGCAAACCTGCGCACGGCTGGTGCAGGACGATTTGGTTATTATGACGGAGCGCGAGGACGGGCAGTACTACCTGACGGCCGGGGCGGTGCTGCTGCCGGGGTTCTGGCGGCTTGAAGATAAGTTTGGCATGCCGCTTAGCGAGATCCATACGTCGGGGGATGTGCCCCAGTTTCGGGAGAAGTTGGAACGAGGGATGGTCAACCTGTTCCGGCGGCTCAAGCCTGAGGAGATGGTCGGGAGGAATAATTATTTCTTTCAGGTGGATGATGATCTGGCGTGGTCTTGGAGTATTGGGAGTGAGGATCGCGAGGAAGGGGACGGGAAACCGGCCAGCCAGCATAGCAGTTGGGGCACGGCGGAGAAGAATCGGGCGATTGAGCATCATTATTTTCGGTCGGAGAGGCAGACGCTGCGTCGGCTGCCCAAGACAGGGGGTGTGGTGTTTACGATACGCACGTACTTTCACCCGGTTACCGAGATTGCGGAGGAGGATTATGTCCCTGGGAGACTGGCGAGCGCGGTCCGGAGTTGGGGGGATGATGTGAGCCGGTACAAGGGCAGAGAGCGTTACGGTGATGTGCTGCTGGAGTATCTGGACCGGAAACACGAGGAACAGGTGAGACGGGGGCTGGATCTGAGCCGTGAGGATGAGGTTCGGGCGTATCCGTATTGAGCTGGGGTTGGATGAGACATATGGAGGTAGTTCGCCGTCGCCGAGGAGGCAACAAGCAAGTAAGGTAAGGTGACTTACCAGATATTGGGCTAGCGGTCGTTGATCCTACAACGGTAGAGGCATCGGTAGAGTACATACACGAATGAATCAACAAACGTTTTATATCAGAACGACACGCCTGTCGTGAGATACCCATTCAAAGCTCTCTCTTTTCACTTTCTCTTTGAACCGCCCGCCCGCCGTTCACGACCAGCATCAACAAGGCCCGACTCGGGAGCTATGGCTAGCCCAGTCAGCGAAAGTACCTATGATTACACCCCTGACTTTGTGCAAATACTCGTCTAAGGTACACAGCAGAGACCAACTCCGCCCAAGGCCGCCTTACATTGTGCCTCTTCAGCCGCACGTTGCTGCGGGGCTGACCATGGTGAGTCTATATTATCGGCCGCCAAACCCGACGTTGATCGTCCTTGTGGAAATGACTTGATATCAGGCTGCGTTTCCCCAATGCCTCCAGTCCATGTTCACACTGCATGATCCAGTATCAAACAAAATATATATCGTCTCGCGCTCGTCACTTAATTAACATGTCCGCATGATGGCAACTCTTCCCTCGCCCGTACATCTACTCAGGACTCGGGATCTCAGACCGCAAGATGCTCGTCAAATACTACCTCGCGGTCATTGTCCTGACCGTTTCGGGAGCAAAGGCAAAAGGCAAATGCTCAGTACCTGAAACGGATGACCCGAGTTACTCGTCATTCGAGCAGGTTTTGTCCCTGGAACCAGGTAGCTGCCATGACTCGTTCAGAATCCGCTAACTAGTAGGAACTTACCCATTTTACGGACAGCTCGTTATGGTTGAGCGTTGCGGGTCCATGTGTTGAAGCCGTGAGCACACGTTTCGCCGGTTGCCTCGATACGGCGCATCTCGGTCTCAACTGCGCGTATCAAAGCTCAGAGCAAGCGCAAGTGTCCCGTTCCATCCCGCGCCTAGGTATGCCTATTAGAGGAATCTTTACAAACTAACGTACCTTATGTCTTTCCACATGCAGCTGCTATGACATTCTGTGCCCGACGGGACACTGGATCGACACGCTTCCCGAAACTAGAAGCGCAGAAATTGAATCCTTCCTCAATACCCAATGTCCCTCAACCTCGGTTAACGGTCAGCCGCCATGGACCAGTTACTGTCCCGAGGGGGTTCGGACCTATCCGGGAGCGGTCTACCACACGGCCACGGTTACCGCCGGCGGATACGCGGTAACTGCTGAGCCGACACGTATAGAGTCGAATCGTGAACCGAATCAGAGACCTAACCCGAACGGTGCCTCGAGGAAAGACGGACTTCAAGTTGGATTGGCTGCCGCCATTGCTGTGGTGCTTCTGGGAATGGCTATGTGAGAGTATACCTATGGGCAGCTAAGGGAATCATGCATGAGTCCGACTGAACTTGGAACCACCGGGATAGGGAGAATGGTTATAATGACTGAAGTGGTGCATGTGTCAGTGTCACTGGTAACCGATGCCCTTGGACATTGTCGGATTCTATGAGGTTGTCAGAACATGTCAACTAGTGCATGCATTTGGAGTTGTGTGATAATTGAGTGTAAGATATTATGGGAAAACAAGCTCTTGATGATGATGCTGCTGATCTGAGGAAGAGAGAGATGGCCAGAGAGGCTCTGGGAGGTAAGCCTATATAGGTTTGCCTAGCTGTGGTGGTGAGGGTGTTTGCCCTGTCCAAGAGGATAAAGGAGCCCAAAGGCCCAAAGAGCTCTAAGGAGCTCCACCAACAGATATGGATCTGGATGATAAGGTGGTTGCAGCTGATATAGCACGATGGTGTGACTTACAGGTACTTTTGGCAGCTAGTATGAATATTGGAAAGCAATCAATGAGTACCTTACGACTATGTCATTCATTGACAGCACAGTCTACCTAGTCTTCAGGCCGTTTCCGCTAACGATATACAGACGTCTATTGCACGGACCTGGTTTTCAAGAGCCTAGCACCAGGTACCGATGACACTGACAGAACCTGTCATATAAGTTTGAGGAGCTTCCGATGAGTGAACTGCTTGGCACACTGATGGGGTTGTGATTCAAGCTAGGTGCCAGTGTAGGATCAGTACTGAAGAATTTGAAATAAGTTGCCGGTTACCTTAATTGGCGATGACGCGAGGTTCTGGAAGCTACGTCGTAAGGTACCTATGTATGGATAGTATGATTGGCATCTTCATGTTGGATGACAAAGGTCAATAGTGCAGTGTATGGTACTACCTGCGTCTATCGCGCTAGAGCTCTCTTTTCTATGTCAATTAGGGTAGCTACATAAACTGCCTGGGTATCAATCAGTTCGTGTTATTGCGTTTTTACCGCACAGACTGGCAATGCATGGAGATGCTCTCCGCGACTGCCGTTTATAGGTTGCCACCTGCCGTTTAAAGCTCAGGCAGCCGAACATTACTGCTTGGCAACTCTACCCCATCAAGATACCGGCTCATTTACCTACCTGCTCGGGATTTTGCCGGCGTGACCCTTTCTTAGCAAGCTCAGATAAGGGTTACAATTGATGTTAAGGGAAGAAACTACTATAAACTCATCTGTCCCAGGTCCCCGGAACCGTCATGCAGGACTCATCCTTGGCCTCTGCAACCAGGGACACAGGTCGTCTTGAAAGCAGTGGTGTCCCTTGACAGCAACCATGAAGCTCTCGCGCAATTTAGCATGGACTCTGCTACTGGCATCGCCGAGTGCTGCCACCGACAGCCTCCTGACGCCAGACAAGCTCGAGGCCGATATCAGGACTGAAGAGTAAGAACAACCGCCAATCAAGGAAGCTCCAAAACTCCTTTGTTAACACCTTTACTTTCGTTCCCAGACTTCAGAACGTCCTATGGAACCTAAACAAAATCGCCCGGGACAATGGCGGCAACCGCGCCTTCGGCGAGCCGGGCTACAAGGCCTCGCTCGACTTTGTGCTCGAGCGGGCCCAGAAGCGCTTCGCCCGGGAGATGGACACGTATGTGCAGCCATTCAACCACACGTACGAAAAGACACGCAAGATTGCAGTGACGGGGCCCGAGGGCGAGGACGTCTTTGTCATCAGCCCCCAGTACAACTCGGCCACCCCGCTCCCCGGCGGCATCACGGCCGGCCTGATCGACACCCCGGTCAACGACGAGACGGGCTCCATGTGCCTGGAGGAGCAGTGGGAAGGAATCGATGCGACGGGAAAGCTCGCGCTGGTCAAGCGCGGCGTGTGCGCCGTGTCGGACAAGCTCAAGTTTGCGAAGGCGCATGGGGCTTTGGGTGGGTGCCTACCTACCTATATTTGAATTTGCTTCCACGGTCAGTTCGATGACGCTGATGATTGAGGCATCTAGGGGTGATTCTGTACAATCAAGCACCAGGAACGGACTATGCCATGCCTACTTTGGGTGCTGAGAACATCGGGCTAGTCGTCCCGGTGGGCATTATCCCCCTTGAGGTGGGGGAAAGCTGGAGAAGTCGCCTTGCCGCAGGCGAAGATGTGGTCGTGAATTTGCTGGTCGACTCCATCGCCGAGACGCGAGAAACCTGGAACATCATTTCCGAGACAAAACAAGGCGACCCTAACAAGGTCATCATGCTCGGCGCTCATCTCGACAGTGTTCAACAGGGACCGGGCGTCAATGACGACGGCAGCGGCACCGCCGCACTGCTGGAGATAATGGGATCGGTAAAGCAGTATGACGGATTTCCTCACAAGATTCGTTTCGTAAGTAGCTTAAATCTTCGGAAGGGACTGAACTCCTTGATTCTGACCAGACATTGCTAGGCTTGGTGGGGTGCAGAAGAAAGCGGCTTGGTCGGTTCGCTGTACTACACCCAACACCTGTCGGAGAGCGAAGCAGACAAGATCAAGTACTATTTCAACTACGACATGATCGGCTCTCCCGACCCCATCTACGCTATTTCGGTTGACGAAAACAGCGGCATCGGCCCGCAACTTTTGGGGGATTATCTGACCTCTAAGGGTGTAGAAATTGAATTCGGGTAAGTGATACTACTCTCTCTTGACTATCTCTTGGACTGTTTATTCCGTGGAACTGACAAGGATTGCTTTAAATAGAGAATTCGGCGGCAACTCAGACCACGTTGGGTTCCTCGAGCTGGGCATCCCGGCGACGGGCCTGTTTACTGGCGCCGGAAAGCCCTGGGACGCGTGCTATCACCTGGCATGCGACGACCTTGACAACATCCACTGGGAGGCACTTACCGTGAACACGAAGGCGGCGGCGCGTACTCTGGGCACGCTGGCTCACTCACTTGAAGGCGTGCCGCCCCGCGCGACTGCAAGCCCCAACCGCCGAACCCGCAGCAGGATGGCCCAGAACTTTAGGAGATGGGCCGCATTGGCTGAGGGCGCGAGCCATGGAAAGATGTGCTCGCACAAGGAGGGCAAGCAAGTGGACTAGTTGGGTTCAGGTTGTAGCGAGGAGTTGGCTAGGCCGGCGAGCAATGAGCATCAAGCCTCAATGGCAACAGTACTTTATATGTAGCAATAGCCGCATATTGAACTTGGAAGTAACAATACCAATGCAAAGCATCTGTATTCAATGTCAAGAATCGAGACTTTATGCCTAGTGGCACATAGCTGGAGTTATCTCACTCAGAGTTGTGCTTGGGTTTGGTGAATGGCATGGGGAGCTCGAGCCCATGGGCTTGCGGGCAAAGAGGGCGGAAGGGAAGGAGGGAGGGTAGGTATATAGCCATCGTTTCGTCCAAGGTAAGGCAAGTTAGCCTCGTCACAGTCTCTGTGGCCGAGTGGATTTCCAGCTAACTATGAAATCGTTCTGCACGGTTTCGTAGGGCGGGAAGGTCACCAGTTCGAGTCCCAATCATGATTGCGAAGATTTTCCAAAATGAACGGTGGCCTTCTCGCCTGAGCTTTATGCCACTTTCTTTCTTTTGTTTCGCTGCCGGCCTGAGGAATTCTTACCCTTTGCAATTCAGTTATCTCACTCTAGTTTTGCAGTGTCGTTCGTCAGGCTGGTTTGGAGAGATTATTGGGGTGAATCAAGGTATAATCGAGTTAAATGTAAATAAAAACGGGTTCTTACCCGAGTGTGGGTTTGATTTAACTGTACATATATGCTGTGAAACACGGCGCAGAATGGAGTGCAGTTGTATCCGTATCCCCGACTCTGTTGACCCGGTCCCAAGTCGGCGGTCCCGTCGCCCCAGTCGGCAGGCGCTGTTCACTCCACTTAGGTTGAACCCCACACCGCCCTACCGCTTGTTGTGACGTGTCTTGGCGCCTTCAATGAGCATGCGCTCCGTGTCCGGATTTCGGAGGCGGGAGAGATTCGGTTGGCAGGTACGGTGTGTATTTGCGGAGGGATCGGATCCGACGAGCAGTCCACTCACCCACGCCCCAAAGGCGATGCAAAGACACGTTACACGACCGAGAAACAAGGCAAAAGGATAGAAAACCGGGCTGTAGGCCTCAGCACCCAGTAGAGATTTTCAGGTTTGCACACATTATGGGTCGAATAGACTTGGATGAACCAGAAGGGAGGAAGAACTTAAGAGTTTGGGTGTCCAATTGCCCCTTCCGATATTGTGCCGGCCACGAAACAGGTAATTTACATAGTAACGTTCGGGTAATACGAACAAGCTGCATACTGCGTATGGAAGGTAGCGTATTAATGTTGGTTACCTCCGTATGTACTTTGCCATTGGCCACTGCTTCCCCGCATAGCCGCTAATTAAACGCCGCTCCTCCATCACTGCACCCTGGTTCATCTTCACCGTGTTACCACGGCCACTGAACTGGAAACCAAACGTCAGTAGAGGGTACCTTAAGGTGGGGGACGCAGCGAATTCCTTGAAACACCGACCCAAAATCCAGATACTCCGATCAGAAAAGCCCGAGCAACGATTGTCAGAGGATTGAATCCTTTGGATCTGTCCCGAGTGAGCTGTGCCTTCTAGGCCTCTTTCTGCGGTGGCTATCCGCGCTAGCGATGGGAGCGAATCGGACGCTTGTGCATCATCCGACATCGCCACATAAGAGCACCATACGGCCCGTGCATGCACCCTCGATGTTGCCGTTTACTTACCCCACAGTTTGGCCTTGAAAATTTGAGACGGCGGCGACTCATACCCGCGGTACGGCCACTGCCCGCTCGCGCCAAGCTCAGAGATTCTTTCTTCAAACCTTCTTAATCCTCCAAGTGCTGGGACCCATTGACTCATCGCATTCTTATGAAGGCGTTAATTTCACCCAAACCGTCTTCTCGGTAGCAGTTCCATCTGTTCCATTTCCTTTTTTCCCTTCTTTGTAGGCGCATTCTCCGGGACCCTCTCCGCTCTTTCCACATCCACCGCCTGTCATGCTCCGTCAAACCAGCCGCGCCCTGAAGGGCCTGGCCGCCGAAGGTCGGATCGGCCAACAACGAGCTCTCGCAAACCCCCAAAGAACCACGATCATAACAGCAAGACGCAATGCGCCTTCAAATGTCAGAACCCAGACCTCGTCGGCTACCGCAAAAGCAACCGCCACGTACGTTTTCAGCCAAGGACGCTCACAATGACTCGTTGGCACCAGTGGATGGGTTGCTAACTCTCCTCCAACACCAGTCCGCGGCCAACGCCCAGCCCAGCATTCAATGCCAGCAGCCCGGGAGATCGAGGCCATGTCCAGCCGCTCGTCAATCCTCGCAAGAGCGAGATGGATGAGTCGTATGTATCGCCGTTGCATGCCACCCGAACCCCGCTGCCCTGAGGGCTGACTTAATTACCAGGTTCATCGGGAAAACTGGAGGAGAGATCTTCCACGAGATGATGCTCCGGCACGGTGTCAAGACTATCTGTACGTTCGGCCATGATATTTTGGTGAAACGCTTGCTCATGCCGTCTCTGTGCAGTTGGCTACCCTGGCGGCGCTATTCTCCCCGTGTTCGACGCCATCTACAACTCCCAGCACTTCAACTTCGTCCTCCCGCGGCACGAGCAAGGAGCAGGCCATATGGCTGAGGGCTATGCTCGCGCCTCGGGAAAGCCCGGCGTTGTGTTGGTGACATCGGGTCCTGGTGCCACAAACGTTGTCACACCCATGGCGGATGCCCTCGCTGACGGCACGCCAATGGTTGTTTTCAGCGGTCAGGTTGTCACCTCTGCGATTGGCAGCGATGCCTTCCAAGAAGCCGACGTGATCGGCATCTCGCGGTCTTGCACAAAGTGGAATGTTATGGTCAAGAGTGTTGCAGAGCTGCCTCGGCGAATCAACGAGGCTTTCGAGATTGCTACAAGCGGGAGACCCGGCCCCGTTCTCGTTGACCTCCCGAAAGACATCACGGCTGGTGTCTTGAGGAGAGCCATTCCCACCGACGCCGCCATTCCAACCATTCCCAGCGCCGCATCACGCGCTGCCCTCGAGTTGACCAAGAAGCAGCTGGACGCCTCGATCCGCCGCGTTGCGCACCTCATCAATATCGCCAAGAAACCCGTCATCTATGCAGGCCAGGGTGTTGTCTGCTCAGAGCGTGGCCCCGAAATGCTGAGGGCTCTGGCGGACAAGGCCTCCCTTCCCGTCACAACCTCCCTCCATGGCCTCGGCGCTTTCGACGAGCTGGACGAGAAGTCGCTGCACATGCTTGGCATGCACGGCGCGGCCTATGCTAACATGGCGATGCAGGAGGCTGATCTCATTATTGCACTTGGCGGTCGCTTTGATGACCGCGTGACTGGTAGCGTCGCCAAGTTCGCTCCGGCCGCTAAAGCCGCAGCTAAGGAGGGACGTGGTGGCATCGTGCACTTTGAGATCATGCCAAAGAACATCAACAAGGTTGTGCAAGCGACTGAGGCCATTGAGGGCGACGTCGGCGCGAATCTTGAAATGCTCATCCCTCAGGTCGAGGCCAAGTCGATGGCAGACCGGCATGAGTGGTTTGACCAGATCAAAGAGTGGAAGAAGAGGTGGCCTCTGTCGGACTTCGAACGCTCCGAGCGCTCGGGTCTGATCAAGCCCCAGGCGCTGATTGAGGAGCTGAGCAATTTGACGGCGGACCGGAAGGAGAGCACATACATTACCACCGGCGTTGGCCAGCATCAGATGTGGGCAGCTCAGCACTTCCGCTGGCGGCAACCCCGGACCATGATCACTTCCGGCGGTCTGGGAACCATGGGCTACGGTCTGCCGGCAGCTATCGGGGCCAAGGTCGCGAGACCCGAGGCCTTGGTGATTGACATTGACGGTGATGCCTCCTTCTGCATGACTCTGACGGAACTTTCCACGGCGGCACAGTTCAACATTGGCGTGAAAGTCATTGTTCTGAACAACGAGGAACAAGGCATGGTCACTCAATGGCAAAACCTGTTCTACGAAGACCGCTACTCTCATACCCACCAGAAGAACCCAGACTTCCTGAAGCTGGCGGATGCTATGGGTGTGCAAAGCAGGCGCCTGATTAAACCGGAGGAGACAACGGAAGCTCTCAAGTGGCTCATTGAATCCGATGGGCCGGCCCTGCTCGAGGTGGTAACGGACAAGAAGGTGCCCGTCCTTCCTATGGTGCCCGCCGGGTCCGCCCTGCACGAGTTCATCACTTGGGATAGTGGTATGTACTTCCAATTAACCCCTCACGTGGTTCCCATCAGCTGACACAGACAATAGAAAAGGATAAGAAGAGGCGGGAGATAATGCGTGCGCGCACATGCGGTCTGCACGGTTAATCGGCAAGAAGGCAGCTTTGGACGACCCTTGACACTTCTCGCTATGTGTTTAGTTGAGAATCATGCCTTGCATCATATGGGAGACGGCGACAACCCTGGTTTGGCGATCAAGCCAACATACAAAATAACGCATCATCGGGCAGGGAAAAAGTGCGGTTGCGGGTCCAGATTTGGATCTGATTTTACATGCTTTGTTGGGGGAGGAGCCCTGGCTGGGTTCCGCGAATTGTTTCGTCCCGTTATACTCCGTATCGGGATGCTGTACATATTGGGTGAATGGATACCACAGAAGTTCTTTGTTCGTTTTTATCTTGAGAAATTTGCGTCGTTCGTTTTGACTCAAGCTCGGTACATACTTGCCGTTTCGAACTTGCTCCCGGACCCGGCCGGGTGAGACTGAGCTTGCACAAAAGCTTCTGTTGGTTTGTCTGACAGTCTGACTGCATATGTCGATCAGCAGGATCCAACAGTGTCCGCTCTCACGGCACTACTACTGCATTGTGAGTGCAATCATTCCTCTGGTGTTCACCTTTGAAGTCTCGCTCGCTCACAACTGAACAACCGAAGCCGTAGCGCATCCGCTACCTCCCTCCTCGGTGCCCCGGTACGCGTTCGCGGCCGGCTGCGCTCGAGGATGTAGAGGACGTGCTGTGCTGGGTTGCTTCCCGGTCTCAGTGTGGCGCGCGGAAACTTGATCTCGAACGGGTTGCGCTGTCCGGGTTCGGTGCCGACGCGCAATTGGCACTGGTCGCTGCGTCGGCACTGCGCACGGCGCTGTCATATCAAGGGGTGTGGAGATTGTTTCGGTAATCGCGCATACCCGGAGACGGACCTCGCGGTGGAGCCCGAGACTAAATCCGGGCCGGTGCCAATCCGGCCCCACTCGCCGGCGATGCTCCACTTCTTTTCACGACGCGTTTGTGCCCGATCGGGAAATGCGCGCCGATCCGAGGGTTTCGCCCGCGCGGGCCGATCCGGCGGAATTTCCGCCGCATGTAACAATTTTGAAGGCGTCGAGGGACGTGTTTGCGCCCGAGGCAGAGCAGGCGGAACTAACTTGGATGATGGGACGAGGATGGTCGTGGTTAAGAGGATGGAGGGGGTGCATCATGGCTTTGATAAGGGCGCGGAGAGTGGGACGAGGGAGTGGGTGGGAAGGGAAGAGGCATATCAGGTTGTTGTAAAGAGTTTGAAGCATGGGTTTTGAAGACGTGATAGGGGGATATGGACTGTTCAAGCCAGTGTTGTTCGTTAGTTCGATACACTGCCCATTAAGCCTTCTCACTGAGTCACTGTAGCATGGCGCCGAAGGCATTGCGACACAGTATAGCAAAAAATGCCGGAGCGAGCAATGAAAACTTGAACGAACGCGACTGCCGGTCTGCCTTAGATGGAATGGAGAACTTTAGTGCCAAGTTGGCACGGAATACGGAGGTACGGATAGTTCTCCTTACAATCGCATGCAGTCCTCCCGATGATCCGAGGACCGAATGACTCCGTGCAACCAGCCTGCAAGCTGCAACTGACCGCCACTTGCAGCAATCTTCATGTAACGGGCTGCACACCTTGCGAACTACCATCATACCATCAGCCGTACTCCGTACCTCCTTACTTCGTACAGTACTCCGTAGGTTTTTCAATCTCTAACGGACGCCACATTAGCCACATTAAGCCTTGGCATGTTTAGGAGGCCGATTTATGATTTTATGTACTGTACTCCGTACATACATGTATGTAAGGTACCTAGCTTGAGTGGAACTGCCATGAGGGTGAGCTAACGAACAAATAAGAGGTGTATGTATTGTATCGGGCGTCTCTGGAAATCTCGTGGTGTCAGGCGGTGATGAGACATCGGGAATCAATCGCTTTGTTGGGGTAGATGCACTTACACCGACAAGCATGCACTGAGCTGTTTTCCAGAAAAAGCAGTATTGCATAATGTACATAGAGTACGTATATATGCTGACTTAGCAAGGCTGCAGCGTCTGTCGAGTAATGTTCCTTTTACCTATCGAATCAATTGCATCGTTGGTGTCTTGCGAGTCTACTGTGATAGGTTGGCAGGTGGGTTATGGTCACCGAATCACCGTCTTGGCCGCGATGGTACTTACTACTGGGTATCTATGTCAAACGCCTCCACATGTCACCCAGCATCAAGACCCTCTCCCTGCCGATGCTTAGCTATCGGGGCAAAATCCTTGAACCAGCCTTAAACCTACCATGATGGACGAGTGGGCGAGACCAAGCTGGCAAGCTCGAGCGAGCCAGGCCCTCCGCCAGCTACCTACTATAGGTATATAATCCTCCAGAGAGCACACCAAAGTATAGAATAGGATCTTATATGCTAGTAACTACCCAGTTATATAAGACTGCACTGAGGTAAATATCCACTATGTACGCCTGGAGAAGGAAGCTCTTGCCACTCGGCTCCAAGTCGCTCCATTATGTTGTCCAAGTTTTTCACCCGACATTCATGGATGTCTTGTGTTAACGGTTCTGCGGCTTGCTGCAGGATGAGAAGGTGATGCCCAATTTGTTGACGGGAGCGGCTCACGGTGCTCACCTCACAAGGGACAAGGAGAGGAAGCTGCTAAGCGGCCTGAGCCCTGTTCGATTCCCTTTCGCGAACCAATCGAAACAAGGTAGATCCTCAATGTGCAGTCAGCTTGGTGCTCTCCCATTGGCTAAGCCGGCCTGGATCCGTTCCTATACATGAACTCCGCTTGTAGTGGAGACACTGTCTCCCCGAACCCCCGAACATTTCGAGTTTTCGACCTCTTAGGAAAGAACCTAGCTGGCGATGACTCTGACATTTACCAACCGACATATCCCGCGCGCTATTTTGCGATGGACCGCGCTGGCGGGCGCGCATGATTGTTAATACGGTGTCTTTGATGAAGCGGAGGTTCTGGTGGGTACTGCTGTAGCGGCCATGTAGGAGCCCGGTAGGGGCTGCAGGGTTGGGTGCATATTGGCTGCATGGCAGGACGTCGCGTGTGGCGTTGCTGGCGGCATGCGAGCGCAACAACAGACCCCGGGGCTAGCCTTGTGGACGATGCGAAGCCCGTTCCTCGCCATCTGGGAGGGGGACTTTCTCGTTGTGTTCATGTCGTTCCTATGTCTCGCCGACTGCGGTGATCCCCCTTCAAGTTGCAGGTATGATTCTAACCCGCAGCAAGCATGAATTTCGATTGTTGCGCTGTTGGCCGGTCCGACTTACAATGGCCCCCTGGCCTTACATGCAGGCCCGGGCCTACGGTGACGCCTACCTAGTAGTAGGCTCGGTAGGTACCTAGGTATCTGGGCACTTCTGAGATGCATTGTCAGGTACTGCACTGCCCAGGTAAACTTATCGAAGCACGTTGCTAGAATTTCCTGTTGCTCATACGTATATCTGTTACTCGTTCAGGTCGTTGCTCTCGATCACCCTGCTTTACTCAGTCTTTCCTACCCCATTCTTATCCGTCAGGTTTCACGCGTCTTGCTGCTCGTTTTTTGACTTCAGAACATCATTGACACTATCCTGACCCATGGCCACGCAACCCGGCGAGTGTATCAGCAGACTCAAAAGACGGTACCCTTTGCCGGTGCTTCTTGTCTTCCTGCAAGATGCTGGGCCTCTGCTCAACGAGGAGGGGAAGGACCAGCTGGGATTGATTGAGTCTGAATGCATGTCCCATATCCATGTGTCTCTCTTTCTACAATGCTGCCCATGAGAGAAGCTAACGGAGGGGGTGGGTTCCAGGCCGCTCAGCGAACCTGTGTGCCCCTGGCTTGCACAAGCCATGGCCCGCCAGTCCGTCAAGGGGGCTAGGCTACACGGGCACGCGCTCCGTCACTGATGACATTCACCAGGCCAGCACACCGACCTCCCATATTCAGAACGAGCATACCGCCCAGTTACGTCGGAGGACTGCACGTGGTTACAAGAAAGAGCGCGTCGCATGTCCCTTCTGTTCCGAAGCCAACATGTCGAAGTCTTTCTCACGCAAAACTGACCTCAAACGTCATCTCGAAGACTACCACGGAACGAATGCTCAGTGGCTCTGCCTTGAAAATGGCTGTGGCATGAGCTTTGACTGGGAGGCAGCGCGCAAGTCCCATGTGAAGCAAGCGCACAGCAATATGCGCTATTCCCCAAAGGAAGCCTTCATCCAGCTCTGCCCTCAGCTTGTGTTTGCCTGTGGCTTTACCACTTGCACGAGGGTCTTTGAGGCAACAAGCGCCCAGGATGCCGGACAAGTTGCAAAAGATTATTTCCGTCACGTCATTAACCATTTCAACGACAAGGCGTCTGACCGGACTTGGTCTTACTCAACCCGTATCCGGAACTTGCTTCGCCAGAATGGCGTCGAGCTCTACTGGAAAGGGAGAAAGAGAAAGAGAGACGGGAAAGAGGGTCATAAAACCCTCGAGTGGCAGCCTCACACCTCGGGCGTTCTGAGAGTGATGCTTGAGACCCGCCATCTGCCCAATGTCCCCTTGATAGTTGAGTGGGCTGTGACACTGGGCTCTGGACAATTCCCCCTTCCCACGCTGCCGGCGGAGATGCGCCTTCCTGTCATGGAGAGTTGCAAGTTCTGCAAGGACGCTACGGTTGCCCAGGGCCTCGCAACCGAGGCTGATTGGCACCACCACCAGGTGATGGATGCTGTTTCCCCGCTGACCGGCCTAGCTGCATCTGAACTATCGGAAAGCAAGATGGATAATGACTTGTGCCTCACCGGGATTTTCAATCAACCACCACGGTTATCCCCTCCGGGGCTTTCGAATGTCGATGCATATGGTCTTCATCAGCAGGCGTTGATGTCGTACGAACCGGCCTCGTGGACTGGCCCTCAACCTGGAGTACTGCCACGGTGTCTTCCACCAGACAGCGACCACACCGGCCTGTCTCTCCAGTCCGCACTCGCTCCGGACCCACCAAATCTCATGGAGAACGACATCTTGCACACAACCTCTTACGACACCTCGCCGTTGCAAGATTGGTCTAGCGTTTTCGCGCATCATGCCCTCTCTTTTCCGCATCAGGCAGATGGCCCCCAAGCAAATGTCAAGACTGGCGAATACCCCAACGCCTTGCATGCCGAGTACTGGGACGGAAGCACGCAAAACTCCGTACCAATCTCTGTTGAGAGGTATCGTACCCTGCTCCACCAGCACCTAACCAGAAAGATCTGCTAACGCCTTGACACATAACAAGTGAGCACCAGGGGCTACAAAGCGAGGAAGAGAATTACCAGGAAGATTGAGTGCCTGAAGTTCACAGGAACAGACTCACGGATGGAATCACCAGTAGATGGGGCCAATGACCTACAACGCCTCCCGAGGCGATGCTCAGGTGTTGAGGGATAAGGGGCCTTGGAGCGGCCAGGAGTTTTCAGAGTCAGCTAAGTACGGGCCTTTGCTCTCCATCTGCGGATACTTTTAGACGTTTTCTTTAGTACCTTATCAATGGCAGCAGAAGCCCGGCTGCCATGGGACGCCCGTTGAATGCAGGGCAACTTTAGGTTGGGTTATATACGGCGGTATCAAAGTCTTGTTGATATGGAGCTCTAGACAAAGTCGATTTTGTGGTTGCAATTTCAGAGCGTTGAAGTCCCGGCGTATCCGTAGATATCACATACTATATATAGCAAAACAGAGAAGGTAAGGTAATCGTACACTGTCAGCTCACCCACCATCACCCTAATGGGGGCATTGGAGCAACATTTGCAAAGCGTCGGACTAAAATTATTGCCATCAACTGAAACTAGGTACCTAAGCATTCAAATCAACGAATCTAAATCATTCATCCCTTGAACTGATATGACTTGAACCAAACTTGTCCTCCTAGTAGACCGACATGATCTTGGTTCTCAGAACCACCTGACCGCCCCTTACTAGTTCACATTGCCGAGTCAATTTATTTGGCCGGCCTCTATTAGTATTCAATTATATGAACGCATCAGCACTGTCCGCCCCAGATCAAAACCTGAAAGGTGACATGATGGCAAACTCACCGGGCAGTTGGGACAAGTGCACTGCCCCTGGGGGCAGTTACAGGTGCCGGATGAGGCGCAGCCGCAGTCGCTCATGGTGGACAGTTTGTAGATGAAGGTAGGTTGCTTTGATGATACAGTTGAGCTGAACCTCAATCGTCAAGGACTCAAAAGGTTTGAAAGTACTAGTATTCTGACTCCTTTAGGTGGCGGATATATATGGAGTTTGAGATAAGGTACCTGCAATAACAAGACAAAGGGTAGGTAGTTCAACCGCCGGTCGGAAACGGATACTGGGGATAGAGGTGATTCTGCTGTGGAATATATAGATTTGGAAAGAGGTGACAAAGACCAAGAGACTTGACCGGACGGATGGGCGAATGAGACGGATGATGCGTGGTGGCGGCGGGATGACGTCGGGTCATTGTCATAGCAGAGATGTTATGTAAGAGGAGCAGAAGCTGGGTAAGACACTGTAGGTAAGGCACATACCTGCCCGGTAGATCCACCCCTAAGGTACTAGTAGCTAAGGTACATAGGTAAGTACCGTAGGTAAGTTAGCCAGCTGCTCGGATCACGGACACACCCGAGCGCGGATATTCAAATTCAAACTTTGGCAACACACCAACTAACTTTGTGGTTATGGAAGCTTCAAGGCCTTGAGCCCGTGCTGGCGGTAATGCTGAATCCGTAAGTCTCCCGGCTCTTGCGCCCCTTTTCCGGCAGCACAGATCAACCGGTATACAAAGTACTTAGGTGTTGAAGTTAATTCTTACTCCCGGTTTATTATGGGAAAACTTTATACGGTTGATGGGTTGAGGGGTTGCATTTTCTCAGGGGTTGAAAGTCAGAATATGGATTGGAGTGTGAAGTAGTTCCAGTTGAGAGTGAAATGACAACAGGGAGGGACTGACCACGGAATGCTATGGATCTTCATCCATGATATCCTCCAAGAATCTAGACTTGGATAAATCATGATATACCGGTCTATCACTGGCAATGGTTCTCAGACCGACCGAATTTCGCGTCCTGGGAGAAGTGAGCGCAGCCCCTTGTAACAGAATAATATCCATACCAAGATGGATTAAACACACACTTGCTGTCGATTATCTTGCTGCAATAAGACCAAGCCTTTTCCGCGTACTTCTATAGATCCCGGACACTGATGACAGTGTCTCCCTACCCAAGGCGGCCTGGATCTCGGAGAAAAAAACGCTTGAAGTCCAAAACCAAAACACCAGTAGAGACATTATATGATGCGGGCTCGGTACTAGTATGGTGAGTAATGTGTGATGGTCTGCTGAAGCACAGGATGAAGGGCATTGGCAACGGCGTGACGGGCCGTAGTAGCTCCTGGGCGCCGTCAGTGGGCGGGGAGTTGTTTGTATCTCCTCCTCCCACTTCTCCGAAATGATCGCGTCTCGAGCACCTTCATACCTTGCGAGAATGACAATCTGGACCTGATGAGCTGATGCGGAAACCGGGAAAACCACCATCTCATATCTCGACGTAAATCCATCATCGACCGAGACAATCCGGATTCGATGAGGAGGGTCGGCCAGGCATGTAGACCCCTAGGTTCAGGGTGTAGACAACCAGCAGAGTCACCTTCACCGATCTCTCGGTAAGATTCGACTGCGCTAGAGTAGTTGGTTCGGGAAACGCCTCTTCCCACCGCGTAGGTCTTAATCTTGTCATTGAGCACTTTCCTCAGCCTGACGAGTCGCAACTCGTCGTTCCAGTGCAGTCCGCCAGATTCGTTCCCTCCAGGGTGGACTCGCTGTGTTCGAAAGGTGCCGCTAGCGACGGAGACCCAATTGCCATTTGTTGACTTGTACTTGGACATTGTGTTCCTTGGAAGCCCACCAAGATGATCTGTGAGGTCGCAGTATATATAGGTTTGCGTGGAGTATCTCATGGATTGTGGTCTGGATTGCGATCAAGAGGATATGGGAATTGCTGTCGTACCGGCGGAAATGGTGCGTGTCGCCTTTCTCGCTCACAGTCGATTTCGGTGAAACGATTGAAAAGGGAGCGTGGATAGGCTGCCGGTCTACGGAGTATCAGAAACTGAGGGAAGCGAGTGGAGTCGAACTGAGAGCCTCTCTTGTGCAGTTGCCAGACTCGCCTTGTCCAACCACTTCGGCCACCTCGGCTACACTACCCGTGGGGGGTTGAAAGTAGGGGAGGGGACTTGAGTTATATACTGAGATTATGGAATGCTTACAGGTTTGTGGACTCAGATCTTGAGGTCAACATGGCGGAATATGAAGTCCCTATAGTAACCACCGGCTTGTCTGTGTGAACAGAGGTGATGTGGGCGAGAATGGGCAGAAATAGATCAGCGGTCAACGTCGGTGACATAGCTGCAGTACATAATCATTCTACCTAGGTACTATATTGAAATAAGAGGACAACACTGACATGTGACGATCAGGAAACCCCAAGACTCCCTGGTTGTGCGATCGATCGATCGAGTCAAAAAGATCGCAATTGCATATTGGTGAATGATGGAGTTGGGAACTTGGGATCGTCTTGTTTCCAACACTACCAACATAATGGTGCAGTGTGAAGCTTGAATCCGGATACCTAGTGGGCTGTGACGAGGGATGCGTGGTTTTGATGAGTTGCTTGAGTTTGAAAGGAAGTGAGAAAATATGATAGTCTTCATGTGTTGAAACTGACCACCGAAATCAGGTACATACTAATACATAACTGGCAAATACACGCAGTAGTTCTTTCCACTGTCCAAGCTGCACACGTCTTGGTATCCACATGACATTCTGGCAGCACACCGTTGTTTGTAAACGGGCGATCTCTCTTTCCTAATCCGACCGCAATATCGGTCAAGGGTTAACTGCTACTGGCTCAATTTATGTGGTGTACTTCGTAACCTTCCATTGCTCCGCTTTCCCTTCCCACCTCAAACAAGTCTGCGCAACCGTAGTGCGGGGCATTTCAAGATCTCTTGATCAAGGTCTTGGAAGTCGATCAGCACATCTTCATCTCCCTTTTCACTCATTCTCTCCCTTATTCCTCTATCTTTCAGTATCATTCTGCAATGGCCGGCACTGTTCCGATTGCTCACTCCTTAGGAGACATCTACCCAACCGATGAGCTGCAGTCGCAGACGGAGCGATGGAAGCAACTGTTGGACAAGTTCTGGCATCTGCATCGCCATGCGCCCGAGTTCATCTCTCGGTCTCCGGGCCGCGTGAACATCATCGGGGAGCACATTGACTATTCCCTGTACTCGGTGCTGCCCATGGCCATTACCGCGGACGCACTGCTCGCCGTGTCGACCGACCTCACACCCACCAAGGAGGGCACTTTCAAAATCCAGATTGCCAATGTGCAAGAGCAGAAGTTCCCGGCGCATGAGTTTGACATTCCTTATGATGCTGTCGACATTAACGCGACAGTGCATGAGTGGACCAACTACTTCAAATCCGGGCTGCGAGGGGCTCTGGAGCTCCTGCGCAAGAAGCACGGCGCTGACTTCAAGCCCAAGAGCATGAAGATTCTGATGGACGGCACCGTCCCCGCCGGCGGCGGCCTGAGTTCGAGCGCAGCCTTCGTCACGGCGAGTGCTCTTGCGGTCATGGTGGCTAACGGTGAGCAGACGGTGGACAAGACCGAGCTGACCGAGCTTGCCATTGTGAGCGAGCGGGCAGTGGGCGTAAACTCCGGGGGGTAAGTGCTCCTTCGACAAACAAGTCTGGCAAGACACCTTACTGATCTCCTTTCCCAGCATGGATCAATCCGCCTCGGTCTTCTCAGAGCGCGGCTCAGCCCTCTTTGTCTCCTTCAGCCCGCGCTTGCAGGCCCGGCCAGTCCAATTTCCCAAGACCAACCCGGAACTGATCTTCCTCATCTGCCAGTCCTTCGTAACCTCAGACAAGTTCGTCACGGGGCCCATCCACTACAACCTGCGCGTGGTGGAGTGCAGTCTGGCGGCCGCCTATCTCAACGCCGTGCTCAACCCGCCGGGCACCCGTCTTCCCGCAGACGCCTCGCCGCTCGGCATCAGTCTGCACGGCTTCCAGGAGACCTACTTCGCCATAACCGAGCAAGCCACAGGCCAAGACAAGGATGACGCCGCGCAGCTCTCATCGCTGATCGACCTGACCAAGCAGGCCGTTACCAAAGACGAAGGCTACACGCGCGAGGAGATAGCCTCGGTGCTGGGCCTCTCAGTAGCGGACCTCGAGGCGCAGTTCATGTCGCGCTTCCCCGTGCGCGCAGAGCGGTTCAAACTTCGTCAGCGGGCGCTGCACGTCTTCAGCGAAGCGCAGCGCGTGCTCCGATTCATGGCCATGCTCGAGGGGGACAACCCGGAATTGGCAGCGCAGATCGCCGCGGGCGGCGACACCAGCGCCTACAGCGAGGCGCTGGGCGCGCTGCTCAACGAGTCGCAGGACTCGTGCCGCGACCTGTACGAGTGCAGCTGCGACGAGATCGACCAGATCTGCGACATCGCCCGCAAGGCCGGCGCCGTCGGCAGCCGGTTGACGGGCGCTGGCTGGGGTGGGTGCACCGTCCATCTCGTGCCGCGCGATAGGGGGGCTGAGGTGGCCACGGCGTTGGGGATGCATTACTACCTCAAGAGGCCCCTGACGCAGGAACAGCAGCAGACGGCGATGGTGAAGAGCACCCCGGGGAGTGGCAGCGCGATCTACTTGGTTAAGGATGGGAAGTTGTGAGCGTCTATTTTGAAGGGTGTATGAGGGAAGGAGGAGAGTGCGCGGGGGAGGGGATATAGGAGTGGAAGATCGCTTACCAGTCCGTTTCCTTTACCTTGCCTTCCCAGGCTGGACTTGTACCATACCATGGGGTAGCTATATCCGGGACGGACGAATGCCAAATGCGCTGACTGACCTAAAAATGAACAAGAAGACGGCGAAAAGACATGAAGAACGTCCTTGATATCCTACAACGACGCGATATCAAACTTAATCTCCAAACCACTTATCTACCTACCTTACCTACCCCCCATCAACACCCGCACCCGCCCCTCGCCGCAACCCTTCTTGCACATCCCTCCTCCTCTCCACGCTCCTGACCTTGCGGTTCGCCTTGACCTGCACCCGCCGGTACTTGGTATACAGCGCCACGGCGTCGCGGAGCACGACAAACAGGCATCCGCCGACCAGGCTGCGGCCCCAACGCTCCTGCAGCAGGCCCGTCGGCGCGCCCGGGCCGCGCCACGGCCGCACCCACGCGCGGGGCGCCGCCACGCGTATTAGCTCGCCCATGCCGTATGAGATGGCCGGGAAGAGGAGAGATGTCACCATGCTGTTGATGATTTCAGTTAGGTAGGGGGTTTCGGGAGGGGCGTCGTTGTTATTGTTGTTGTGATTATTGGGTTGTTGTTGGTTGTTGTTGTGGTCCTGCGGATTCGGATTTGCCTGTGGCTGGGCGGGTGCAGCTGCTGGGGGTTGAGCCGGTGGTGGTGGAGGCGGAGGAGGTAGTTGGGCAGGCTCAGCTGGTGCGTCGCCGGCAAGGATTTGGAATTCCTCCTCCTCATCGTCTTCATCGTGAGCGTGTCCATCTTCGTTGTCGTCCGCAGGCCCTATCCTGAACTCCACCTCCTCTTCGATCTCAACCTCTACGCGCCAGTCGAGAACGAGACCCAGCGCGGCGCGGCCGAGGTTTACCACGGTTCCCCATATCCCATTGGCCCGGTTCCCGTTACGTCCTTCAGCGGGCGGGGCTGCCGCCGCTTGGACTGCCGCTTCCTCTCCGGCGCCGGCCTCGTCAGTGGGTGGCCGGCCGCGGAGTGCCCGGTTCAGTCGCCTCTCCAGCGGCCCAAAGAGGTCGTAGTAAAGAAACGTGTACCCAAGATGCACGTAAGGCATGAGGGCCATGGCCCACTCTGGCGATGGCGGCCATTGGGGCAGGTCTTCATGCGCGACGAGAAATGCGCCGTACTGTGTAGTGTTATCAGCAAGACTTGTTGAATGGGGAGACCGAGAAAAGGCCTAACTTACCAGGGCAGAGATGGGCACAAGAACAATGCTGCCTAGCCACGGCAGCCACCGCATAATGATCAGCCCAGGCCCAATGGTCGACAGCGCCCAGAACTTCCCCACCAGGATCGGTAACCGCGCACGCCCGTGCGAGCGGTCCATCCACCACTCGACCGCATCGGTACCGGCAAAGATGCTGGCCGCGCCGCAGCCGTACCAGGTTGCGCCGGCGAGGGTGCCCCCGGAGACAAGCACCAGCAGTATGTAAGGCGCCGCGCGGCTGTAGCGGCGGTACAGGCGGTCGCGGATGGCAAGAAGGGCGTCGAACGGCTCCTCGACCGTGATGGGCGCCTTGCAGGCAGGGCATTTGAGCCCGGACCTTGATGGCCGGTTGGACGATGATGCCTCCATCTCGGCGATCCAACGCAGAAGACACCCCTCGTGCGCCTCAAGGCTGCACGGGCAGGGGTTCACCCACGTCGCATTCGGGGTGTCGGTGTCGTTTTGTAGGCAGATGAAGCAGACGTGCTGATCGTTTGTGGCAATCGGCGCTGGGACGATGGTGTGTGGCGGGGCGGAGGCGCTGTTGCCGGTGGTCGGCGTCGCCATGTTTGGCTGGGTGGTGAGGTCAAGTACGGAGTCTGGCGAGTCGATACAGGTTGAGGCCTAAACTATCCGTATCCGTATTCCCGGGTGAATTGGTTCTAGGTGTGCTGTGAGTGACCAAGCATAATGATGCTGGATGCTAATGATTTAGCGTACTTCGTACATGCACCTGAGTTTGTGTCTTGAGCTCTTTTGCCCTTTGCTCAGGCAATATTGATGGTTGATATCCTGACAAGGCTGGAGATAGACGAAGCTGAGGGTTTGGTTGTCAGCGACGGCTCTGACGCAGCTGGTATTCAACTGCACGCCAAGCCACTTGCGCTAACTTAGCAATGTTAGCATCGGCAGAATAAGTGGGGCGCTTCCAGACCATGACGGGAGGTGCCCCACCCGATCCCACCCCAACCTTCAACCCCTCCATCTTCCATCGACCGGCGTAGAATCGGGCGGACACATTGCGTCGAGCTTAAAATCCAGCCTCACCAAGATATCATTCTACCTCAGAACTACGAGATAGCCAACTCCCATTGGAATCAGCTCCACTCAGTCGACAATGGTAAGCACATTCTTTCCCTTCATGCATCTCTGTATCATCCCGACGACGACGACGACTAACGCGGATTCCCACAGACGACAACACCCAAGCAGCGCCTGGCGCTGGCCATCTGCGACTTCCTGTCGACGTCGCTGACAGATGGCACGCTGCAGGCCGAGGAGAAGGACTCGATCGATGTGGCCATCAACTGCATCGCCGAGGCCTTTGGCGTGGACCCGTCGGACAAGGCCGCCATGACGCAGGCCGTCGGCACGCAGAACCTCTTCCAGATCTACTCTGTCTACGAAAAGCTCAAGAACGCCGCTCCCAAACCCACCACCTCTTCCAGCAGCACCGAATCCTCCACCCCCGGTCAACAACAACAGCAACAACAACCGCCAACCGTAACCGAAGAACAAAAGAAGCAAGCCGAAGCGCTAAAATCCAAAGGCAACGCCGCCATGGCGCAAAAGGACTACGCCGCCGCCATCGACCTGTACACGCAAGCCCTAGCTCTGACACCAGGGAACCCCATCTTCCTCTCGAACCGCGCCGCCGCGTACTCCGCAGCGCGCGACCACGAATCCGCCCGCGCCGACGCCGAGGCCGCCGTGGCCATCGACCCCAAGTACACCAAGGCGTGGAGCCGGCTGGGGCTGGCCCGTTTCGCTTTGGGAGACGCAAAGGGCTCCATGGAGGCCTACGCCAAGGGCATCGAGCACGAGGGCAACGGCGGCAGCGAGGCCATGCGCAAGGGCTACGAGACGGCCAAGAGGCGCGTCGAGGAGCTTGCTGCTGACGAACAGGCCCCTTCTCCCGCGGCGGCAAGGGATGCACCCGGTGGTTCTGCTGGTGCTGGGGGAAGCGGTGGTGGGCCGAGTCTGGCCGATTTGGCGGGCATGTTTGGCGGTGGTGGTGGACGGGGTGGGGGCAATGGTGGTGGTGGAATGCCTGATTTCGCGTCCATCATGAACAACCCCATGTTTGCGTCCATGGCGCAGAACCTCATGAGCAACCCGGATCTCATGTCCAATCTGATGAACAACCCGCGCCTGCGCGAGATGGCCAACTCGTTCACCAGCGGCGGTGGGATGCCGGATATTGGCTCGTTGATGTCGGATCCGAGCATTGCCGAGATGTAAGTCTTTCGATTTTCTATGCGCAAATAGGTGAGGAGGTTGCTAACAGAGTTGCAGGGCTCGGAATATGATGGGTGGTGCCGGGCGGGGCGGTCCTGGAGCAGGGAGGTGATCATATTATATGGATTCTGAATCTGGTACATAAAACGGCTTAAGCCTCGAGGGTCTCCATGATACTGAGAGTGAGAGCAGCGAACCATACACACATATCTTTACGGTCTGATTGCTCTGGTGTTATTGATGTTATATCCAAAGGTCGTCTGGTTCTTTGCCTCACTACACCAGTAATAAGACAAGGGAAACTGCAGGTGGAACATAACACTGCTTTCTAGCTTCCAGAACACACTACAGCTCCCCAGAGGAAAATGTCATGAAATACAGTGTACAACGGACACCGGAAACCCCTTTTTATAGGTATCAGTAGAGCTACACAAAACACATCCTCCCCCTATATACCGGCCCTGAATCACCAAACCACCGTCATCCCGCACCTCCCTCTCTAACAATGCACCAACGCCCAAAAAGCACCCAGAAAACACCCACCCCTGATCTGGTCTAGCCTAGCCAACCCACCTCCTCGCGCTCCTAAACATGCGCAACCACGGCCCAAACTCACCCCACGACCCCACCTCCTCAGCCGGCACGTAGCTCGCCACATCGGCCAAGATGGTCCTCTCCGGATGCGGCATCATAGCCAGCACCCTGCCATCCCTGCTCGCGACACCCGCCACGCCCGCGGGGCTACCGTTCGGATTGTACGGGTACTGCTCCGTGACATTGAGCCGGTTATCCACGTAGCGCAGGGGGATCCCACCAGCCTCAGTCAGCCTGCGGAGGGCGTCCTCCGACGCAAACTGAGCCCTGCCCTCCCCGTGGGACACCACAATGGGCAGCGACGAGCCGTCCATGCCGTGAAAGAATACCGACGGCCGGGCCGGGTTATCCCGGACCGTGACCATGCTGAAGCGGGCCTCAAACTGCGCCGAGGCGTTGCCCACAAACGTGGGGAAGTCCTCGGCGCCGGGGATGAGCTCTTTTAGGCGCGAAAGCATCTGGCAGCCGTTGCACACGCCCAGCGTGAACGTGTCCTTGCGCTGAAAAAAGTCGGCCAGCTCGCGCCGCGCCTTGTCGTGCAGCAGGATCGACTTGGCCCAGCCCTGGCCGGCGCCGAGCACGTCGCCGTACGAGAAGCCGCCGCAGGCTGCGAGGCCCACAAAGTCGGCCAGCGAGCGGCCCGCAAGGATGTCGGTCATGTGGATGTCGACGGCGTCGAAGCCGGCGGCGCGGAAGGCGAAGGCCATTTCGGCGTAGCCGTTGACGCCCTGCTCGCGGAGAATGGCCACGCGAGGCATCCGGCCGAAGAAACCGGTGATAGATGCCGCTAACGGGGTAATGTTCTCGGTGGGCGAGAAGGTGAGATCGAAGGAAAGACCAGGGTCGTCGGAATCCAAGACGGCTGCGTACTCGGACTCGGCACACGACGGATTGTCTCTCAGCTTCTGCATCTCGTAGGACGTCTTGGACCACCATTGCTGCATCTCGCCTCTGTCGAGGGTGACGAAAGGTGACCCCTCGCCGTAGCGAATCGTGAGCGTCTGCTTGGAGGTCGGCTGAACTCTGCCAAACTTCTTGATCAAGCCGGCAGGTGGCCCGCATGTGGCAAAGCATCGCTTGAAATTGATCTCGTCCGAGGCACGGACTTGGAAGACGGCACCCAGCTCCTCGTTGAAGAGAGCCTTGACCATATCCGCCGCACTCCCCGAGTCTGCAATTTTATCCATCATCAAATCGACACCGCACCGGCCGGCGAACATCATCTCTGCGATGGTCGTGATGAGACCGCCGTCCGATACGTCGTGGTATGCCAGGACGACACCGCTCTCATGCAATTGAGCCAGCGCGTCGAAGTAGTCCTTGAGGAGGTCCACATCCCGAACATCTGGTGCCTCGTGGCCAATCGCACCCAGAGACTGCGCGAGCGCAGACCCTCCCAGGGCCTTGTGGCCTTGCGCCAGGTCGACATAGAGCAGAATGGACTCGCCTACCTCTTCTACCCGACGAAGTTGTGGCGTCCACGTGCGTCGAACGTCTTCCACAAGCGTAAACGCCGAGATGACGACAGATACAGGCGCCGTTACGCTCTTTCTCGTCTCCCCGTCCTTCCAGGATGACTTCATGGATGTCGAGTCCTTACCGACGGGAATACTGATGCCGAGTTGCGGGCACAGCTCCATCCCGATGGCCTCTACGGCCTCATAGAGAGCTGCACCCTCACCAGGATGGTTCACAGCAGCCATCCAGTTCGCAGAGAGCTTGACACGCCGCAAGTCTCCACGTTGTGATCCGCCCTTGATATCCGCCGCGCCAAGATTCAGTAAACTCTCAGCAACCGCCATTCTGGCGGAAGCCGCAGGAGAGATGAGTGCAAGGGTGGGCTTCTCGCCCATAGCCATCGCCTCGCCCGTCCTTGACCCGTTCAGGTTGAACGATGTCGCTGTCACGGCAACGTCGGCAACAGGTGTCTGCCAAGGTCCAACCATTTGGTCGCGTGTCGTGAGACCACCAACGGTCCTGTCACCAATGGTGATCAGGAATGACTTGGAGCCAACTGACGGCATCCAAAAGACACGTTGTACTGCTTTCCTGAAAAGCTCCGCATCACTGACAGAACCGCCGACGGCCTGGTTCAGGCTGGCGATAGGATCAAACACTGGCCAAAAGGGTTTCTTGGAGTTGACAATGCGCTCCAATTTCCGCCCCTTGGGAAAGAGGACATCCATTGGCACGTCGATCGGACGCGGGTACTCCTTTGACTCCCTGTCACTCAGAATCAACCTTGACACACCGTCAACCTCGCGAGAGAGGACGGTGCCGACATCCGAGAAGCCACATCGCTCTCGCCCTTTTAAATCTAATTAGCCAAGACTGGAAAGGAAACAAAATCAGGACCAGGACTTACGGCAGATACTGGTGAACCGCTCCATCCCTTCACTGTTTACCAGAATGACGTACCGCTCCTGGGCTTCGTTGCACCAAATCTGGAGCGGGCTCATGCTGCGGTCCACGCTTTCGACCTGACGGAGCTCGAACCTACCGCCAAAGCCAGCGTCCCTGACGAGCTCCGGCAGCGCGTTCGAAAGGCCGCCAGCACCGACATCATGGATCATAGCAATAGGGTTTTGATCGCCCAAGGCAACGCAGGTATTGATAACCATTTGTGCTCGGCGCTCCATCTCGGGGTTGCCACGCTGGACGCTGTCAAAATCCAGGTCGGCATTGCCTTCTCCCGACGCATTGCTCGAGGCAGCACCACCCCCAAGACCGATCAGCATCGCTGGCCCACCCAGAACAATGACGTGTGCTCCCTCGCGAACATCCTCGGGCCGCTTGAGCGCGTGCTTTTCCCTGACGGTGCCGAGGCCGCCGGCAATCATGATCGGCTTGTGGTAGCCACGGTATTCTCCTTCGGCGCCGGTGTCGTCAGCCGTGAGAAGGGTTCGGAATGTGCCTGTTAGGCAGGGGCGTCCGAACTCATTGTTGAAACGGGCGCTGCCGATGGGGGCTTCAAGCATAATGTCCAGGCTGCTTGCGAAGTGGGCCGGACGGCCAACGTCGATTTCCCACGGCGCTCGATGGTCGGGGATAAGCAGGTCCGACACCCAGAATCCGCAAAGCCCAGCCTTGGGCATTGAGCCCCTCCCAACTGCGCCCTCGTCGCGGATTTCTCCGCCAGATCCTGTAGCTGCACCGGGAAAAGGGGCAATGGCCGTCGGGTGGTTGTGGGTCTCGACCTTGGCCAAGACATGCAGAAGCTCCTTGTTCAGTTTCCAGGAACCAGTCGAGTAATCGGGGGCCCAAAAGTGGGCGGACGGCGAGCCCTGCATAACAGCAGCGTTGTCACTGTAGGCAGAGATGGTGAAATCCGGGGTCGCTTTGTGAGTGTGCCGGATCATGTCGAACAGGGATTTCGTCTTGGTCAGCCCATCGATCGTCCAGTTCGCGTTGAATTGTTTGTGGCGGCAGTGCTCAGAGTTGACCTGGGCGAACATGAAGAGCTCAATGTCGTGCGGCGGGCGCCCCAACTGGGTGAACTTCTCTACCAGGTACTCCACCTCAGACTGGTCCAGCGCCAGACCGCGGGTCTTGTTGTACTCATTGAGCACCTGCGCTGGGTCCTGGCCATGGGCGAAGATGTTGACAACCTCAAGAGGTAGGGGCTGTCCCTCGGCAAACATGGCATTGAGATCCGGGGCATTGACGGTGAGGTTTTCGGTCATGCGATCGTGCAGTATGTCGCGGAAAGGGACCGTCTTGTCGTTATAAGGCTGCTCGAACTCGATGGAGATGATGCGCCCGCGCTCTATCTGGCGAATCTGCTGCTCGAACCCGCACACATGGGCGATGCTGGTGGCCTTGGAGCTCCATGGCGAGATGTAGCGCGGAGTCACGTACCAGTTCCGACTGAAGCCGATGTGCGTGAGATGGGGGGTAGACGGGCCCGAGTCGGCAGGGAGTGGGAGCAATTGGGCGAGTGTCTGTCTGGCAGAGGCAGCATCACCCTCAATGTGGGCATAGTAGATCCAGTTACCGCGGAGAGCGGAAACTTTGATGGGCGCAACTTTGTTAATCAGCTCCTTCAGTTTTTGCGCCTCGAAGTCGGTGAAGCAGGAGTCACCGGAGAGGGTGAGATACGCCATGGCAAAGGGCCCGATGGCGCTGATGTTCAGTGGGAGAAGGCACTGTGATTGCTTCGAGGTTGGACAAAGAGCCAACGCTCACTGGGATGAGTTGAGCTCAATGTCATTCACAAGGCAAAGCGAGGTCGGAAGGCGGGGTTGGGGGTGATGATGCTTGAAATTTTAAGGTGGGGAGTGTGCCTGAACTTCTGAAGGACAGAGCCCCGCCTTCTGAAACTGGTGGATACAATAAGTTCAGTTACCACTGCGAGAGTATGTACCTCAATGTCTTGTTGAGAGCGCCACGAATCAAGTGAATTGTTCGATATATACAGAGTTTAGCCTCTCCCGGCCTCATAGTGAGATGGAATATCCTGACAATCACGTCACGCCCGCTGATAGAAATGTTAGTGAAGGTAATTGCACTCACAAGGGGAGGCAAGGGTCAAAAATGTTTTGAGTGCAAGTTATGTAACCCGGGGTCAGGAATGGATCCTTAGCCGTAACCTCCCGCGCTTGTCCCACTGGAAGGGAACCAATCAATCGAGAGGAAGAGCACCCTGTGGACCCACCGTTCTTCTCGATGCTCAACTTTTTTGCTTTTACCGCGAGCAATCGTCCTCCACTGCGCCGGCCTGGGTCCCCTTCCCGAACGACACCAGCGCCAATCCGTCACCCAATTCGACTTGTGGAATTGATATCCGGGAACTTCCATCCGATAGCGAGGCGAGGCAGCCTTTGCGCGCATCTAGAGTCAGCAGGACTCGGCAGGCGTCGAATGAATAATCCTCGGGTCAGAACCGAGGGAGTGAAAGAGCGTCGCCTGGAGGCCGAAAGCTGAAGGCATCTTCTCCGGAAACACAGGCAACACATTCAAGAACGACCTTTAGGCGATACCACCGCAATTACCGCAGCCATGTCCTTCTCCATGACCGCCCTCCGGGGCGTTGCCTCGCGACTCCTGACGCAGCCCAGAACCGCCATCACCACCCTCCGCACACCCATCCTCACACAATGCCGATCCTCTCCAGTCGCCCGCACCTTTTCCACAACCCCGACCTCCCTCCTGAAAAGCTCCAAAAACCCAGCAGCCGCGGCAGCACGCGCAAAAGCCCAAGCCGCCTATAGGGCGAGGCAAAAAGCCCAAGCCGCCAAGGCCAAAGCCAAGGGCAAGGGCCGCGGGCGGCGCGGGGACGCGCCGAGCGACCCCAAGATGATGAATATGGCGCTGCACTTCAAGGTGCTGACGACGCGCAACGTGCCGCCGCCGCTGCGCATGGCGCGCAACCGGCACCTGCGGCACTGGACGATCCACCGGGCGTGGCTGCTGTTCCGGCGGCGGCAGCGGCACGCGCGCGAGCGCACCCTCATGCGCCAGTACCAGAGCATGATGGCCGCGTGCGAGGAGCTCCGGCTCACGGCGGGGCCGGGCACCCGCGACGAGGGCTACCTGTACCGCGTGGCCATGCAGAAGCACGGCGTGTACGGCCTCAACGCGGTGCCGATTGAGTACGCTAGGGCGCAGACCGAGACACCGGCCAGGGTGGCGTGGAATCATGACTGGAAGCGGAGTTGAGGTAGTTTGTTTGGCTGGTACGGGATAGAATAGGAGGAAGAGAGGGGGAAGTGTAGTATTCCCCGGAGGCCTCATTGCCGAGCATCGCTGTCTGTGGGATTCGGCAACATGGGGGCGATTTCGTCGTGGAATGTAAAGTATTCTGTATCATAACACATTATAGCTGGTGCATACGGCAGATAGAGCAAGTACACCGGATTGGAATAGGCTGCTTGCAATGCCTCTGCACCCAATACCAAGACGAATGATCCATACTACGCTGAGTTTGGTATTTCTCATTAGATTCCCAGTCTTTTTGTACCGGCAGACAACAGCAAGAATTAGAAAAAGCCTCATGGTAGCAGTCTGACCTCGCTCCCAATGCCCCCCAAGATGGAAGTCTGTACCCGAATCGTTGCGCGAATCTTCCACCCAGTAAGGATGATCCGCCTCGCCGCCCAGAAACCCAGTGTCCGGGAATATCAAACTAACGGAAAGAGATACCGGAATTCTATAACATGATAATAGTACACTGGGATCGTAACTGCCCGGTTGTGGCGACGCATCAAGCCTTTCCGAGAAACAATAAGCACAAAGGTTCCCCTTTGAGCTTCGCGATCTGGTGCGGTGCGGCGCAATCTGATACTTCCCAGGGCAGATCTGAGAAGGGGGATTGCAGATCTCGGCGTCTTGCAATCGCTAGTCCCCAGTCATCGCAACTCTGGTACTCGGAACCGTTTCCGTAGGCGTTGCCTCGGGTGCTCTGTAATGGCACCAGGTGCCCAGCTCGGAGTGTAGACACTCTTGGTTGCGATCCTCGCTCATCCGGAACCTCCTCATAAGATGACGCAGCAGCCGCTCCCTTCCCCCTTTTCAAACATGAGCAACGACGCTCTCGTAGCCGCCTCGAACACGTCGTCCACGCCCTCGCCGCTCAGACTGGAACACTCGAGGTACTTTCGGGCGCCAATCTCTTTGGCCACACGCTCACCGTCTGAAGGACTGACAAAATGTTGAGACCTCTTGCGCATCTCCTCTATCGCGATCGGGTCGTCGCGCAGGTCCTTTTTGAGACCGACAAGAATAATCGGGACATCGGGGCACCGCTCTTGGGCTTCCACAACCCACTGTCGCCGCCCGGGTTAGCTCTCTGGAGCAGGGAGAAAGTAGCGCGCCTAATATATCAACCCATAAACAAAAGAGGGGGGCGCCGTAGACGGCAGCAAATGGAAATCAAAACAAACAATCCCACCTTGTGTTTGACGTTGTCGAGTGAATCTGGCGTGTCGACCGAGAAGCCTATTAGGATGACGTGGGCTTTGGCGTATGCTAGCGGCCGTAGCCGTTCATAGTCCTCCTGCCCCGCAGTATCCCATAGCGCAAGTTGGACGGACTTGCCGTCAACTCTGCAATCGGTCACATAGTTCTCGAAAACGGTCGGAACCTAGCGTCGAAAGCGTCGTCGGTGGTTAGCTGGCCAGGGGCTTTCTCGAGCAGGGGATGTTTAGAATCGAAAAACGCAAGGCGGTCGAGGCGTAAGAATCGGGCTGTGGTGTATGTTTGTAGGTCTACTTACGTAGTGCTAGGTTGCCGGCGTTAGTCCTGAGCAAAATCGTGGGGCGGGGCCTTATGCCAATGGGGCACCTACGGTTGGGAAGAAGCCCAGAGTGAACACACTCAGCAAGCTGGTCTTGCCGCAAGCACCGTCGCCGATGATGACGAGTTTCCTAGACAGTGTAACTGTGTCAGCGGGTATGGTTTTGGCAAGTAAACATTGGCCACCGGGGCTTCGTGATGCTGTGCCATGTATTTGGGACTCAAACACAGAAAATGGCCAGCTTACCTGCGGATGACATTTTGAGCATTGCGGTCGTTTGCCATAATTAGCTAGCAAATTGGGTGGATGAGCGTCGGTCCGCTCGCCAGCCTGTTGGTGTGCGCAGTCGTGTCGAGAAAGGGACAGGAGTTTGTCGACAAACTCGGGGACGCAGAGAGCAGACGAACCATTCAACCTTTCAAAGGAACCAACCTGGAGCTCCTCAGTCCTAAGGTAGTCCTAATAAACGTCCTAACTCACTACAGTGTGGAGAATGGAGATGCGTGCAGTGCGGTAACCAGGCTGGTAGTTAGCGGCTCGGGGCCCAGTTACATAACGCTAACTTTCTGTTCCAGAACCCTTGTCGGACTGCTGAGTGTCGCGCCCTCCGGCAACCATGCCGGGGGAGGGGGGTCATACAACATAGCTGGGGCAAGCGTGTTAGGGCCAAAACAGCATTTTGGCACGGACATCGTGGAATCAGTCCCTTGACCAAGATAACAGTAGCCGACCTAACAGCCTTGCAACGTCAAATCAGACAGTTCCGTTGTAACAGACTGTTCCTAGCTCTGTTCCTAGGGGTAATAGACTGTTTTTAGCATCACGATAATTGCAGAACATGGTTGCCTATAAATGTTCGACCCTGAACATGATGTTCTAAGACGTTGTGTTGGGGGGCAAAAGCAAGGGCCTCTACAGGGTCATTCTCTGAACCTATAGAGGGCTGGTCTAAACTACGAAGGCCTAGATTGGAGATGAAAAATAAGATCACGACTTAGAGTCGAACTTACAATCCACAGATTACAAGACTACAATTTACAGTACATCTACAGGCAATCACACTACGAGCACGCGTGACTGCCGATGCAAAAATTTGAATGATAAGGTGCCTGGCGCGAGGAAGGGAAGGAGCAATTGAGTCTAGGGAGAAGGTAGGATACAATACTGTTAACAGGAATTGATTGTTCCTGACTAGACAGAATATCTCCGAATATAGGCTGTTCCTAGGAAAACACGATGTTTCCTTGACATACTGTTCCTGTTGTACAATACTGTTGGTCTGAATAGTATTGCCCTGACCTGTTTCAGCCTACAACATACTGTTGTAGGAATCTTGGCTCTGTTGCGACACTAACAGCATTGCCAGTAAATGTTCCTGGACCCCCCCCATCCCGGCACGGAAAGCTTGGCGCGATACGACGCTCGACGCTGTGCAGCCGGGCCCCCACTTTCAGCTGCTCCTGAGCTGCTCGTTTTACGTATGGCTCACTCGTCGCTTTCTCAACTCCTTCAAGTCCCTCCCAGGTTACTGGTGGGTTAATATGCAACCACCTGGAACATCGACCGATGTCAGAACTCAATCTTCTCTTTGGAGGCCGAGATGGCAGGAATTGCCCTAGACGAAGCGCTCAAGTTTACCGGTTTCCAGGTTCGTAGGGCCCGATGATTCATGGATCAACCGATGGGGTATCGTATTTGAAGGTGGATCCTACAGCCGCAAAGGTGGGTGCCGCGGAGGAGCCCTGAGTCTCAGGCCCCGATAGGCTGTGGCCTGCTGCTGATTGCTGAATGTTAGGGCGGGGCGAGGCTGTGCGCAATACCTACCCGAAAAGGGGGTGCACAACAGCCGTCAAGGACCGAGATCGATCAATGACGGAGGATGGAGCGTTGGAGACCGTCCGTTGATGGAAGCTTTGAACAGTGAAGCTAATATCTTGCATCTAGGTTTGCATTATGGTGGAATGGCAACCTGTCTCACTTCCTACACCGCATACCTAAGGTAAAAAGCCTATACAGACATGAACACCCGGGTGCTAGCACATTGCAGGAGGCAACTCAGGAATGTTGTGTGGATTGATATCGCTTTTTGGTGTCAGAAGCTCGGGGATTAAACGCAATGCACAAAGATCGGCCGATCGGGTTGGCGATGAGTTTATCACTGCCCAGTTAATACGAGTTCGCAGCTGAATGGGGACCGCACTAATAGGCTAGAAAGACAAAGAGTCTCTTCAAGAACGAAGCGCTCAAAGGACTATGCCACCGATTCATTGGCCTGAAGCACTGAACGCCTCGACCACTTTAGACTAAGTACTGTACAGTGCAGTTCAGCAGAATGACCGAGTTGAAGCAAGGTGCCGTGGGAAGGTAAGTGACAAAAAAGACGAGAGCCATCACCTCAACGGATTCAGAGTTTCGTCGGCGCCGAGTCGGCACAGGCTCACTAACAGCCGAGTTCGATTATGACAGATGTATGGTACCGTACGTTATTCTGAGTGCCGCCTAGTTACTCTCCGATCCGGATCGGCCTTAACATGTAACACCCAGGTCCAAGTACGTACGGACCAAAGAATCAGAATCTGAGATATGGATGTTCTGCCGCTAAATTCCAGCTCAAAGTCAAGGGTTAACTTCGAGGTGGAAACCCTGAACTTTCAGACAGGGGCACGCACGAGGCTGAAGGGTCACGTGCTGTGGCTGGCCAATCGGTGGTGTTCGGCTAGGCGGTAACGACGCTACAAGCCTGGCGCCTGGGACCACAAATCCAGTAACAGCACCTAACGTTAGAGAGAACATCGACAAGACCTCGACGAAGCTCCGGAGCACCACACACACTCGACGTCGACTTCGGCCCGCATCGCGCCCCCGGGAAGGTCAAACGCTTCGACGACGACCCTGGCACAGCGCGCTCTTTTTCACACGCAACGTCTCTCTCCGGCGCGCATCTTTCTTGGACCCGAAAACCGATCAACCCCGCTGGTCCGGTTGCATCCTTCACTGCATCTTGCATCGCATCTTATTGTGAGTTCGGTCCTTGTCCCTGTCGTGCCAATTGACTCGCATCCCGTCGACGCTTCTTTCCTGGGAGCCGGAAATCCCTGTGATTCTGCGAGGCAATGGTTCACTCCGTTTCCGTGCCGAGTCTCCCCTGCGCCGTGCCCCTCGATACCCCTCGACCCGCTCTTCCGCCTCCCTCCGGGATCTTCTCTTCCGGCCACCTCCGGTCGTTTCTCACGCTTCTCACCTTTCCGCAAGGCAAAGTTGCGAGGCAAAGTTAGCCTTGCTTGTTTATGCCCTTCCTGTCGCACCGCAATATCTGGACTGAAACCAGAACTGCTATTCCAACGTTGCGGCATCCAACTTACCTTTCTCTTGTTTTAGCTACCCGACGCGTGCCTTCCCGATCGATGCCCTCGTCAGCGGTCTCGGTTTCGCGTTAGACCACGGATATGAAAGGAAACCGCAACCCGCAACCGTTACCGCCGTCGAGCGCGACTCCGCTCTCGCCTACTTCCAAGGGCACAGCGAAGTACACCAACAAGGACGGTTCCAAGTTTATAACTGTGCCCAAGATGGGCTCTCCCGTCGACTCCAGCCAACCATCGCCGACGATAGCGTCCTCGCCAACCGCCCAAGGTGCTGCACCGCCCGCTCAGCCTGTGAATCGGAAGAAGCAGAAACGGAGGGCAAAGGCTGCGGCGAAGGCCGCTGCCGAACGAGCGCAGAGTGACCATGCGGTGAACGGGATGCCCAGCCCCTCTGATTCGCATTACCAGCAATCAACCCAGTCCGACCAGCGGTACGAACAAGAAGAGCAGAACATTGCCGGACACGCCCAAAACCAGCAGTCATACCAGAACGGGGTTGCGCAAGCGACATCTGGCAAGTCGAAAAAGTCCAAGAAGAAAAAGAAAAAGAACAACGCCGCGGGGCCGAGCGCTGATGACCCTCCCAACGACGACCAGTACACGCAGGACGGCCATGCCAGACGCTCCGACGTCCCGCCGCCGCCGCCTCCACCGCCTCAGCGCGATCGTCCTCTCATGTCAAAGGAGAAGATTTGGAACACGAGCTCTCAAGAGGAGCGTGAGCGTATTAAGGAGTTCTGGCTTGGACTGAGTGAAGCCGACCGCAAGTCCCTCGTTAAGGTCGAGAAGGATGCCGTCCTCAAGAAAATGAAGGAGCAACAGAAGCACACGTGCAGTTGCACTGTGTGTGGAAGAAAACGGAATGCTATCGAAGAGGAGCTTGAGGGGCTTTACGACGCCTACTATGAGGAGCTGGAACAATACGCGAACCATCCTAACCAGGGCGATGGGCCTCCGATGTTGCGTCCCCGCCGCTCGCTTGGCTCGATGGGCGGGATGCGGCGCCGCAGTCTCCCCTCGAGATACTCCAACCATCAGCCTTCCCACGGGCGGATTGTGGAGCATGTTGGAGATGACGACGAGGAGGACGCCGACCTGGACGACGAGTTCGACGGGGACGGGGAGGGCGAAGTTGAGGAAGACATCAGCGAGGAAGAGCTGGAGGACGACGAGTACAGTGACGAGGACCAAGAGCCCTCGGAAGAACTGCACCGTTCCGACTACGCCGCTGACTTCTTCAACTTCGGAAATAGCCTGACTGTGCAGGGTAGGGACAGACTTCCCGTTCTCCCATCATTTCTGCAGAGTTATCCCTTTCCAGGGGCTGGCAATAACGCTTATGGCTCATCTTCTCTAGGCGGCATCTTGACTGTGGCCGACGACCTGCTCAAGAATGACGGCAAGAAGTTCATCGAAATGATGGAGCAGCTCGCAGAGCGGCGCATGGCCCGGGAGGAGGACGCCAGAGAGCAGTTTGAGCGAGGTTATGACCATGCAAATGGCGACCGTTATCACAATCACCCTCCTCCGCCAGATGATGAGGACTTTGATGTGGATGAAGAGGAAGAGCTTGACGAGGAGGAGGAGGACGACTACGACAGTCAAGAGGAAGAGGTACGAAGAAGGCGTCTTATTCGGCCATGCTTACAGGTTGATGTTGGGTTGGTTACTAATTCCATGGGCTAGGATACCATGACAGAAGAGCAGCGCATGGAGGAAGGACGAAGGATGTTCCAAATCTTTGCTGCCAGGATGTTTGAGCAGCGCGTTCTTACAGCCTACCGGGAAAAGGTCGCCAAGGAGCGCCAGGAGAAACTCCTGGAAGAGATTGAGGCGGAAAACCAGCAGGATGCACAGCGCAAGGCCAAGAAGGCCAAAGAAGCTCAGAAGCGCAAGGACAAGGCTGCCAAGAAGAAGGAGGCGCTGGCCGAAGAGAGGGCACGAAGAGAGGCAGAAAAGGCCGCCGAAGAAGCCGCACGCAAAGCCGCAGAGGCCCGTAAGGCCGAAGAGCAGCGGCTCAAGGCGGAAGAGAAACGGAAGAAGCGTGAATTACAGAAGAAGGCCGAGGAAGAAGAACGCTTGCGCAAGGAGGCGGAGCGCCAACGCAAGATCCAGGAGCGGGAAGAAGCTGAACGCAAGGCTCGCGAGGCCCGAGAGCGAGAGAAGAAGGCGCGCGAAGAAGCGCGTCTAAGGGAGAAGGAAGCCCGCGAACAGAAGGAGCGTGAAGCCCGTGAGAGGAAAGAGCAGCAAGAGCGTGAGCGGAAAGAAAAGGAGGCCAAGGCGAAGGCAGAGCGGGAGGCTAAGGAGGCCAAAGAGGCCAAGGAGGGAAAGGAGGCTAAAGAGAAGCGGAAGAAGGAGGAGAAGGCTGCTCAGAAAGCGGCAGCCCTCGCAACTCCGGTCCCGGTGCCTGTTACCCTTCCAAAACGTCCCGCGCAGCACCCGACACATCCCATCGCCCCGGTTCCGGCTTTACCACAACATTCGGCAGCATCACACGCTTCACCGCAGGTCTCGGTGGCCACACCGGCGTTTCCAAAGGCGCCAACACCCATGCGGGCGCGCCAACCATCACAGCAGGAGGGCAGCTCGGCCTCTTCGGGGCCTGCTTCACACTCGGGGTCCGTGCCAAGCCAGAACCCGTCTCCTCACCCCATCACTCCAATCCAGGCGAGCCCAGGCCCAATAGATCACCCAAGCAAGGTTGCAAATTCCGGTGCCAATTCTAGCTCGCAAAGCATTCTTCAACAACCACCTTCGCACTCCGCGTCCCCGCTGAGCATACCGTCCAAGTCTGCACCTTCGCAGCCCAGCCCGTTTGGCATCCCTCAAATGGGTGGGGGAACGCCGTTCCCGCCCCCTGGCCTGCATCAGATTCCGCCTGGACTCGGTAATGCCGTGCATCGCGACCCTTTGTTTCTTTCTATGCCTGGCTTCAGAGCCACACCTGGCATGATGGCGATGCCTCCGGGCCTTGGCGGTCCCGTGGGTCCCCGGGGATTCCCTCCCATGAATCCGCCCCCAGGCTTTCCGGGGGTTATGGAGTCGCCGGTGCCGGGAATGGCCCAAATGATGGGACCAGGCATGCAGAAAGATGCGTCGTCTCCACACTCGCGCCAGGGATCCGGAAGCTTTGATGCCGCCATGTCCCAGCCCGTCAGTCGCCCCACGCCCATTGGACGGCCTGCAAGTGTCGTTCAAGGCCAGCGACCGTCAAACGGGTCGCCGTCAAGTGGGCTTCCAAAACCAGACCCAGACGCCCATCTGGGAAGCAGTGCGCTGTTGGACGACGTAGATGACGGACTCCATGGCTTTGCAGTTCGGTTCCCTCGGCAACCTGTTGCGCCGCCCGGTCCCCCCAGGCCGGCACCTGGTTTCCCGATGGCGTCCTTCGGGATGGACCATATATTCCCTCCGCATAACAGCCCGTGGGGCCCGCCAGCTGTGCCACAGCCCAACTTCTTTGGTCCGCCGCCCGGTTTCGATCACAGCCCGCTGGGCGGTCATGGCATGGTGAACATGCCCTGGGGTCCCCCGGCACCCCCAGCCTCAACATTTGGGGCTCAGGGCTTCGATCGGCCAAACGAGCCGCGGTCTGTGGTCGTCAGGAAAATGCTGCGTCGTGCATGTGAGGAACTGGCCGCCGAAGGCACCGATCACTTTATCCCTCTGCAGCGAATCAAGGCCCAGGTCGAGATATTCAGCCACGGTCACGCCGTCGACGAGAAGGAACTCCTCGACATGTGCGAGACGGAGGGCAACGAAGTCAATGGCGGCGGCAGCTTCGATGTGCAGGAAGACGGCCAAGGCGGGAAGCTGATTCGCTTCGTGCTCGGCAACGAGCGGCCCATGGCACAGCCAGTCCAGAAGGCGGTGGGATACCACCCAGAAAGCCCAGCAACCGGGGGAGCCTCGTTCGCAAGCCTCAACAGCCGCGGCAGCCGCTAGGTCCGGCCTCTTTGGGAATTGGAAGCGCGGAAACGAGGAGTCTCCCCGGAAGAGATCCTCCCAGTGACAGTCGTTCGTCGGCTGAACAGCCCGTTGTTTTGAACGGAAGCTAGTTTTTTGGAGGCGAAGGGCGACAAGGGGAGGGGAGGATCATGTAGGTTTTGAAAGCAGTGCTCCCAGGGATTCATTCCCTTGTGTGTTGCGCTCTTTCTCCGGCGCCGCGATTGAGCGGGCCGAGTGACAGACAAGTGAATGCATTATCTTGTACAGTAACTTCATCAGACTCAGCGAGGGACAGCATTCGCGGGCTGGGATGGCGGCATCAGAGCATGCCGAGAATTGAACCAGCGTATCATCAATGCTCTGGAGCATCTACATCTGCCCGGCTGTGACTAAATCGTTTGATTCTGACTTGTTACAGTGATCTTCTGAACACGCAACTATATTATCGGGGATTGAAGATGTCTTTTAGGTGTTGGGTGTGTAGACCGACGAGTCGTTTGAATCTCGGGCGCAGCTGAGAAAACAGTTGATCGCCGGTGTTTACCGGCAAATGATGCTATTATCCAACTACAAGGTATCTAAACAAGATAGCGCGGACGAGAGAGGTCCCGCGAGAGATTTAGTATTTGTGCAAACAGCTGGTAAGCTGCCGCCGCGCCCTCATATACCCCTGGCTCCGATGTCCCTTGAATCCAAAAAAAAAAAGAAAAATAAAAATAAAGATGGGAGCCGAAAACGACCCAGACTGACGGCTTCTATAGTAGCTGAAAATAGTATGTGACCCAGCAAGGCAGACAGACACCATCCGATCCCGTCCGCCCTCTTTCCCAGCGGTCGACATCACCTCAACGGATGGGCATCATGCGAATCCGCAAACGGGTTCGCACCGGGGTACTGGCCGCCGACGCCGCCCTGGGCCAGCTGCTGCTGCTGCTGGTGATACGGGGTGTTGTTGAACTGGCCATGCTCACCACCGCCCTGAACCGCCCCCGGCACACCACCCACCTCCATCATCCCGACATCCGCAGTCTGCACATTACCCTGCTGCTGCAGCGGCGGGGCGTGCGAATACATAAGCGGCTGGCCCTCCGCCGCCGCCTGAGGCGCATTTGCCGTACCCGTGACAGCCGTCCCCGGCCGCTTAGCAGCAACCACAGCCTGGGTCTTTGCCTCCTTGGCAATCTTTGCGGCCTCGGCAGCGCGCTCGATGCGCTTGTGTGTGCGCCGCTCGCGGCAGCAGCAGAAGCACACCGATATGACAGACCCCAGCACGGCCGACGCCATGATGATGGCGATGATGGTCCCGCCCACGTCGAGCGACGACTGCTTGTACATGCAGCTCGGGTTGCCCTGGTTGTCCTGCTGGCAGATGAGCCCGTCGCGGCACACGGCGCTGACGGTTACCGTGGGGAAGCAGGAGAGTTTTTTCCCCTTGTCGGTGCCTGTTGACTGCACGGGGCAGGAGGTGATGGAGGAGGTCTGGTCTGTGAAGCATGGTGTTGGGGAGGCTGGGGATGCCGTGGTGTCCTGTCGTGGGTGATGCACATGGACCGTCATGGCCATGGCGGTTGGGGCGGGAAGAGGCAGTGCTGCGCGCGCGGTGACGCCCATGAAGGAGGGTTCTTTGGCGGCGGCTTGCGGGTGGGGGTGGTCGTGGGTGTCGCGCCGGGCGGCGGCGGCGCGGCGGAGGTCGTTGTTGGAGTTGGATGGCGTGTCGCACCGACGCAGGAGCCAGAAGGCTTCGATGTGCGACTCGGCAGGGGTGCACCCGGCGTTGTAGAAGCACCGTTCCAGGTCCTCGGCCAGGGTTCCCTCGGACTGGGTGGATTCGGCGAGCTGAGAGAAACAGTAGGCGAGCGAGCCCTCGTCACCGCACGACGCGGTGCTCGCGAGATCGCGGCCGCGCGTCTGGAGGCATTCTAATCTGCTGCTGGCCGAGGCCAAGGTCGCTGACGCGAGGAAGAGAGAGGTGAAGAGGGTGTTGCGCATCTTGAAGATGACTTCTCGGATCGTCGCTGCAGGTTGCCGAACTTGTTCTAACCCCGAGTTTTCCGGTAAATCGGTTGGCTTGGCCAGTCAATCGATCCTTTTGGCTACCTGTAGGCCGTGCCTTTGGGTTCTCAAAATCTGGTCCCTCCACAGATCGGCGGTGATACAGCATACAAATCCAAAGGTGCCGATGGCGGACTCCCCTAGTAGAAAACGTGACTGCTCCGAATGCTGCCTGCGTGCGACGAGCGTTCAGGAGCCGCTTTGAAATGCCGTCCTCAACCTTTCGCACAACCGCACTAAAAGGGGGAAAATGCGGTTTTGGCAGCTTCGAGGCTCAATCCTCTCCCCGATGGGAATCTCACCAAAAAGGATGTGGAAACGACAGGTGGGAGGAGCGGGAAGTTTTGAAAGGGCGGTCCTCCTTTTTTTATTTTTGGGGGGAATCGCACTCCATCGCCCAGCCCAGCCTAGACCCCAGGCCGGGAGAGAGCGGGGCCCGGTTTGATATGTGCCTTGCACAAATTGGGAGGCCTGGGCATGCTGGTGTGAGGCTGCGCTTCACGATGGCTGGGTAAAGCAGGGGTCCTGTAGGGTCCAAGCAGGGGTCTGCTGAAATGAGACGGCAAAACGCTTGGCGGTTTGCCCCTGCGATGGCACGGTACAAATAGCTAACATAACGTGAACGTTCACCTCCCTTATCCAAAAGTATAACATTGATGAAGTGCAGAGATTGTGGAATAGCTGTTGTTCCTGCGATTATCCGAGACTTGCTACGAATACTACTATCTGGCTAGGATCACCTTCTGCATCAGATGATTCAAAATCAGCGCTAGCCAAGAACTATGTAGTGTAAATGCGGTTTTCTTAAGCAGCCCCTGGCGCAGTGCAGGGGAGGCTGAGTTCTGCCAGATCTGGCATAACGTTTGTTACCTAACGTTACTGTAGCGCCAAGCAGCTGCAGTCTCGCGCGCTCCTTTCCAGTATCGAAAGCCCTTGAAGAGACTGCATTGAACAAAGATACTCCTTATGTCAGTTTGCAGATATTTTGGTAACTGTATTAGATTGATTGACAGTGCACTTCCACGGCTTATCCAATGGATGGATAGGACATCTCATGTTCCCCCTTATGAAGCCGTCAACCCCAACCGTCCCACAGACAAGATCCAGCAGAACGCTTCACCGCCCTGCGTTTGCTTGGCGCGCTATCTAGCGCGTCACGTGTATACTCGGTACTTTGTACCTACATACCTTCAAATATCTGCCGCTTCCCGACTCCCGAGTACTCACATGCAGTGACCGGTCACAGCTCGCATGTGTGCGTTGGCAAACCCAGAGCCAAGCCCCTCACCACTGTGAGCATCTCCAAAAGACAAGAAGTACTTGCAAAGCTCTGCTGTAAAATTCGTTCCAAGTTCCAACCCAAGGATGACCCAAATTATGCGTCTACATACCTATGTATGTACATACATTGTGCCGCACTCCGCAGTCGGTCAGCAACGTGGCTGAGGTGCGGAGAGACCGATGACTTGCATCCAATCCCAACGGCCGTAGCAGACCCCCTAAATTTGTATGCTCTAGTTATGTCAAGAGCAATGAGACCTATGGAAGAAATCTGAAGCCCAAGGTGGAAGGATTTGCGCGTGTCAAGCGTTTTCTACATTAGTGCGCTTGCTCCAGAAGTCCTCGATCGGGTTGCTGGCAAGCTTGACTGACTATCAACCCGTACCCCGTACAACATACACTAAAGTACTCACCACTCAACGCGGAAGTCCACTTCATCCCCACTGGTTCTCACTGGACCGGCTCGAGTCTTCGCCCGCCAGCTGGACCCGAAGGGCCAACACATTCCGCCACCCCAAAAGCGTCGCCCACATTCGCTCCGTCGGCGACTACGGCGTGCTGGCGGCCGGCCCCTACAGCAAGATGTGTATCTACGATATCCGCTATCTCGCGAGGACGAGGCCGCAGCTCGACACGAGCGTGTCCAATGACTGGACCTGGAATGTCCGCGCCACAGTACGGTAATTTTGCAAAGCAGTTCGCAGAGTACAATTGGCGCAGTACATGTACTACGTGAATGTGAAATCAGCATGAAAGAGTGAGGGTACGGTTTGACGGCGATGACAGGATGGAACGGTAAAGGAAGGAAGTGGGCGGTGAGGGTAGGTGCTAGGCGTTGGATGGGGGTATTATATTGGCAAGTTTACGACTGCAGAATTTCAACAGGAACTCCTACAATTCAATGGCGTTTTGGCGTAGTGGTTCCAGGCGTTGAGTAAATACCTGGATAGCCTCTGGTCGATGAATGGTACTGTCCCAGAGTGTAGTCTAGGCTCAACCCTCTTTTTTGGAGTGGCGAGTTCGACTCCTGGATCAGCCATCCTTTTTCCCCTTCCTTTCTTCGAATTCAAGTGTAGGGAGATTACCTTACCTAGTTAATTACTCTCATCTCCGAACAAACATGTGAAGAAATACCTAAGGTAGACGGACACCTTTAAGCTATCGGACATAGAACAAAAAGAAGCACCCAAGGGTCGAACGAGTGACCTTCATGTCGCCCTACTAAGGCGCATGAGCCCCTCCATTACAACCACTAGAAAGGAGCAGTCGATAGCGACACTTCCGACTCTACACTAGCAATGTCAATGCCAAACGTGGGCTATGCACAACCCCATGCGCCTGGGATTCAAACAAGTCGTACATATTTGGGAATGGGTCATGTTCTGGCTACCTTAGGTTATATGTAATGAACAGTCTGTGACCTCTAGGAGGTACTACATCATGATGTAGTGAGTAGATAACATGAAGGTAAGTGCTCAATCTTGTCATGAAATTGAACGGTCGTTGAGTTGAACACGAAGAAGACAGGACCTAAACCTGCCGCCGTTCATGGGTTTGGGACGTGGGCTTCTTGGGGGTTTCTAGCCAGAGCCAGCCTGGTTGGCATCACGGGCGTCGGTTGCTCCCCCAGCCTCGTTGTCTCTGGGGGTTTCGCCGTCTCCATTGGCCTCATTTTCCTCGGTGCCCCCGTCTTCTCCAATGGCGTCATCTTCTCCATTGGCCTCATTCGCTTCATGGGCCTCGTTCACTCCGCTAGCGTCGTTCGCGCTGCAGAGCCCATTCGCTCTGCGAGCAGCTCGTTCACAAACAGGGCTAAGTCGGTGATGAGTCTTGTTAGGTGGTATCGACTGGAGACACAGTCTGTTCGCATATTGACGATAGTGAACTGTAAAGGACTCGGAATTATAGAAAATAACGGTGTGAGGGGACAAAGAGAGTTTGAGAGGCTGGGGACTCAAGGAAATCATGATTTTTGTAAGGGGGGCCAGGGTATTCTATGTCTGGTACATACCAATTGGAGTTTGGAGAATGATAGATATCATTGTGAGTTAGGCAGCCCACTACATGCCCCTGACGAACACAGCGTGGCCCTACAATGCGGTCGCAGCTACGGCAGGGGCTAAATATATAATGAGTCCATCAGTATAAGTGCCACACATAAAGTGAGGTAAGATTTAATTACCAGTGATGTTGTTGGTCTGGCATTTGACGCTTCAAGGCTGTCAAGTAGCTGAGGTTCGTGGTTGTGTCTTCGGGAAAAGGGATCAAGATATGAGGATATGATGTGAGTGAGGACTGAAGTATAGAGGAATAATCGGCTGGGAGGAAAGCTAACTTAGTCGGCGAACTAGGTCCCTTATATACACAACCTGCTATTCATATGTTGAGGGTATTGCAATGACCTGATACTTGCGACAGCCTGTCTGCTGGCAGAGTGAGACCTCAGATTTCCATACTAGACTGAGGTGTTACATGAACAGACAAAGCCGTCGCGGTAAAGGCTCGGAGAACGAGGTTCCCGGGCCCTGGGCGACTCAAGCGCTTCGACTTCTTTTCAGAGGCTGTTCCCAGATGAGAGCCTGGGTTTCGAGGTTTCCGCTGGCATTGTTTCGGTACCACGACACTGTAATTGACGCATTCAGTTCAGTTGTTCATCAAGAGAAGGAATACACCAATATGGCAGGATCATACCAAACTGATCTCTCTCCTGTCACTGAGCAGCAGTCTGCCATTCACTCTGTCTCAGCTCGTTCAAGTATGAGGCGCGTGACAGGAGGTTTCAGGAAGTATCAAATAGTGACGTCCATGTATACATGTACCTAAGCAGCGACTATGCCCTGTCTGAAAAACGTCCCTCCGAGTTTCCTTGCTTTGGGCTCTCTTATCTTTGTCACTCTGCATTGCTACCCGCGATAGCGGCCTCCGAGTAAATACGAAGCACGAGCCCACGGGTAGAAATGAGGAGAGAATCTGAATCTCCAAGTCCATTTTGCTAAGTCATCCCCCCCCTGAACCCCTTTTCTCCCATCCTTTCCTCCCTTTCTGAAAATGCAAACAATCTTCCCATCGTCAGCCTCAAGTCATCTCTCAGTAGACGACCACCTTCTAACCCGCATAATATCTTGACTTGATAGAACAGACTGAAAGTGAAGCCAATCCGCGTCCGGCACCCCCTGAGCCCCTTTTCATTGACAGCCTTGGCATATGGTCCGTGCACTTGATGTTTTCCCAACCCCAGCGGCTCGGCCTGCACCTTCCTTTTGCAGGTCCCCCTTCTGCTTTCCTTACGCATGTTTCTAGAACGAGGCGTGGTTTTCTACCTTATCTTACTTAATGTTCACGAAGCATCGCGGGCGATTTGCTTCGTCGTTCATACCATCGTCTTCTGCATCTGCTCTCATACAGCAAACACCGACAGCGTACTTCATAGCGGTCTCAGGCTTGTGTCGCGAGTTAAGCCCGTTTTTGTTCGCATCGAACCTGAAGCACTGCCCAAAACACACAACCAATTCTGAGTTCATTCTCGCTCAATCGTTGTACGCAGCACGGTGAATTGTTAATCTCAGCGCCATCTCTTGTTTACCCGGCATCGGGAGGCTGCCTCTTAGGCTCTATTTTAAAGCCGTGAGGTGACTGAGGTCCATCAGCCCAATGGGCCATGGAGTTCCCTCCAACCGCCAGGCAAATTGAAAGAGGCCTGCAGTCCTTCATTAATTCCGACAATCTAGATGCCGTCTGCAAGTTACCTTAGCTTCTCGGCACGATTCATACAGAAGTTGCCGGATGCAGCTTGCTTCTGAATGGGACCGAGAACTGAACTTCCGACACGCATCGACTTGCCTTTGGCCGTGACACTCAGACATCACAGTTGTTTTGTCAACACATATTTCAGGGGCAATTTTCCGAAATTCTACAAAGGCTCTCGGGAGGACGAAGTCAACAAATTCTTCGAGTGTGATGGCAAGTACGGGCAATTCTCCCTTGCGGTCCAAGAACGACTGAGCGACTCGGAACGGTAGACTCCGTACTGGGAGGAGAATGGGCTTGCTCCTAGCCAGTCATGCAGAGAAACGCCACCACCCAACAAGTCGCATATCTCGGATACAGGACGCTCGATTGCTCTTCTAGACAGCACTTGTCATCCTGGAGGAAACCTTGAGAGCTGAGACGAAGAGCCCGAAGTGAGGGCATGTCCGACCGTAGCTGCAGCTTGAGGTCATGGAGCGCTTGGCTTGACCTGTGGGCTCTAACCGGTTTAATATTCAACTGTTTGGAGAGGTGATAAAGGAGTTTGGCTGACCCAAGAGACATAGCACGAGAGGAGAAAAACCTCGTCCTGAGACTTGCACGCCATAAGAATCTGGGTTTGACTGGTCTTGACTCCAAGTGAGCCTGTCGAGTCAGCTACCATACCAATTAGCGTTCGTTTACGCTGCCTCACCAAACCTCAGCCAAGAGCACGGTACCACCAGCCCCTGGCTGTGTTACTGTGTCTTCAGCCGGCGCTGAGGAGCAAATAACGCAGCCTGTAACTGCTCAGATGCTAAGGTAGGTACTATGTAAGAACACTACAATCAGTCAGAAAGCTCAGGCTGTATGTACAGTACAGGTAGTAGGAAAGATGCCATCCTGCATGGAGTGGTCAAGATCTACTAGCAACCTAGAACTACTACTTACTGAAGGGTTGTACTTGTAGAATTTTCATTCTCTGTTTACGCACTCAAGCTTGAGATGCTTTGGCATCATTCTTGAGCTAACTATCTCTCGGACGTGAACCTCGTTGGACATGGAGTCTAAATTCGTCACTCATGGTACAACCCATACAGCCTTGCGTGTCAGTCTGCTTGAAGCGTGGTATGCTTGCTGGATGCGTTCCTAATGACTCAACTTACAGTCCAGACAATGGCCTTTATCTGAGTGAGTTTGCCTTAAAGTAGTACCTACCTAGTTTGTCTTATACACCTAATCGCAAACAATGGTGGCATTGGAGCTGTCATTGGCAAATATGAGGTCTCATCACCCTTTTGGGCAAGACGTTACCAATAACAGGGTACGAGGAAAGAGAAGTAAAAAGAGATAAAGGGATGGCATTTGTTTCCTTCATATATCTCAGAGATTCTGGAAGGAGTCGGCACCAGACAACAAGGTTCGACGACCGATTTCTGAGACCGTAACCCCTTCACTCGTAGTATATAATCATCACCGCATTTGTAAAGGACCTTATACCACACTCACCTCACTGGTCCTGTGTTAGGTGGTTTTGGTATATTGGGCGATTGGATGGAAGTTAAAGAGGTAGGAGGTAGGTACTAGTACTCTAAGGCAGGTACCTACCTGAACTGCCACCGTTTCGTTTCTGATAAAGGCAGGTACCTACGTTTCTTAAGTGAGAATCAAATCACAAGTTGCTCAAGAAACTTTTCCAGCGTGACTCACCGTCGCGTCTTCCTTCGCGTTTGCCTATGGCGCCCTCTTTTCGTTTTGCGCAGTTCAAGTCGGCTTTCGATTCGCAAACCTCAACCCATCGGTCAACCTCATCTATTACCGCATTTCCTGTCGAGCCCAATACTCGCACAATTCTCCATCACTTACCGCATTTCTGAACTCACTACTCGCATGTATCATCCCTTCGCCCATCCAAAAAGGACTCATCGGCTGACTTGAGCAGTTTGAATCAAGATGACGTGGATGACTAGGAACGCTTGCAGCACCGCGAGCTATCTATACAGACTCCCAGTGGAGTTGCATGAACCGATTTTTGCAAAGCTGTCCTTCCGAGATATCATCGTACTGGCAGAGTATGCTGCAGAGGGATGCACCTTGGCCGTCGCATTGAGCATCAGCCCGGTTTGGAGAGCTTGGCTCGGATTTGTTTTCAGCATCACACTTTCGGGTGAAAGAACCGCTGGAATCTGACGTGAAGCATGTCATCCCATGTCTTCGGCCTCAAGACTGGTGCCTGCGACTTTGGATCAGAGCGGCCGAGGCCGAAGGTGTGCTTGGTGTGCTAGCCGTGGAGGCGTCGCCCAAACTTTTGAGGAAGAAGGAGAAGCTCCTTTCCAAGTCTTACCCGCTATCTCTTCCGGACGCTATCATCCAAGACATTCGGACGGTAAGGGAAGGGCGGGAAAAGTACTTCGCAGCATTCGGCCGAACGTACGGGGTATTCGCAGCGATTAAAAGAATACGGATTATCGAGGCGAAGACACTTGAGGACAGTAAGTTCAAGCACCGCTGAGTGACAGTACGAACCTGGTTTCGAATAACATCGCTGCGCCCTTTGACTTGGATGATCCCTTCCTCCCCTGCCCACAGAGTCGGCTTCAGTGCTGGGCTGCTGGCTAAGACTGATCTCTGTGTACCACAGGAGTTGGGGCTAAAACCCTTCTTTCCATGGACTATGGCTCAAGTCCCCGCCCGGGATCCTCAATATTCGGACCGCCCCCGAACACCCTCGTGTTTTACCAGCCCATAGATTTCCTCGAGCCTATACTACCCAGGACCAGCTCCGACACTTCCCGAGATCCTCGAGATTCAGGTTGCACCTTGAGAACCTCGACGTTGAGCTGCCTCCCGAGATTCGCGGGATTACGACAAATTCAAAGTCCAATACCCCTCGTCCTCGTCCACCTCGTCCTCGCCCCCGTGTATACAGATGAGTCTGAACTCACGTTTGTGGATTGGTTCGTGGCGTTTCTTGACGTTGTGGAATGGATGGAGAAGACATTCCCTGGCATCGCGAGGAGGGCCAAGTTAGCGGGCAGCTTGTGAATAGAGCAGGGGCACAAGTGCAATGGGCTGAGCAAGTTGGCGGTTCGTCTCAGGGTTGAGGAATGCTATGGTATGCAGGATATGGAGATTCTGTATGAGCAGAATACAAACCCAGGATGTGGGGAAGAATCGAAGTGTGAGGTAATTAGTATCGACAATGATGCTTAACGAAAGTATAATGTCTAATCAAGTCTTGACTGGGGAGACTTGATCTCCCTGAAGCTGTGTAGGTAGCTTTCCCCATCACTCCCCCCTTTGCTCTCTTCTTATTAAGTCTCTGTTCAGAATCAAACCTCATTACCTACCACGACCCCCAACATATCCATCGCGTATATTGCCCCAACATTCTTAAAACCGGCCACCATCCGCCTCCCCGACCCCGATTCGCAATGGGTACAGCACCCTGACTCTCTCGGGCTGTCTTTTACATTATAGTACCATAAGAATTGCCGAAAGAAGAGAATAAAGTTTGAGAGAATGGCGTGTTGACTCTGGGGAACAGTAAGCAGGTACAGGTTATGCGAGAAGCCTCCATATTTATGGGAGTATTACTCTCGCATCTCGCTCAGAGGCCAATGCTGTGTGACTTGGAGTCTTAGACCGTTAGACGCACAATCTCATTCGCCCCTTTCCCTAGACAGTGGTCTTTTCTACTCTTCAAATTTCCAGATGGCACTCAATTTCTTCTACTTTGAAAAAAGGGAACTGCTCCTTAACTAAGCGGACCTAAAGCTTGATAGGATGGCCGGGAAAGGGCTGGAGCAAAGAAGGGGACACATTGACATTTGCACATAGTGCATGAGACCTTTAGAGCATCAGTAAGAGCTGACAACTCTCATTCATTCTGAACTGCTGGGCCATTTCCAGCTTTATTGATATAACCTCTGTAACACCATTGATCCATGGACACTGGCGTTCTAATCCCGGCGGTTCAAGTCCGAATCTATCCCTTAGCATACAAAACCTCTATAGGGTAGCCTTTTGAATGTACTGAACAGCAATTCAAGGAATGGTTCCGTGGTGTAGTTGGTTATCACGTCAGTCTAACACACTGAAGGTCTCCAGTTCGAACCTGGACGGAATCATCATGCGATTACTTTTGCCGAGCGACACACCCCTTATTTTTGTCATGCATCCATGTCATATTTTTGGTCTAGAAAGGGCAAATATGTAGGCGCAATTCGTGAAGTTGAGGCCTCCTTATGGATAGCTGATGAGGTGTCAGACGAGTGGGACGGGACCGGTGCAAGGCCGCAAACGCCGAGCTTGTCCCCTGCCTACGTCATCGCAAACGTTTCCTGCCCTGACAGCCTCGCATCTCTCCCATACAAAAGCAGATCAACCCTTGACTGAAGATCCCCAAGCCTATGCACCATCTTCACATCCCCAGAATACCCCGAATATCGCTGCATACAACCAGAACTTTGCATACTCGACTTCTGCACAACACAACGAAGATGCCGCTCGTCGTTCCCGGAATCACAAACAACTCGGGCGACCTAACCCAGGAATGGATGAACAAGCTTGTTGGGAAGACACTGTCAGATGAGCCAACTTCGGAAACTGCAAGTAGCCGGCCATTCTTCATCATCTTGCAGGACCCTAACTGACACTCTTTCTAACAGTGCTTCTGCAAGAAAGACCTTCCTCAGCAGGCTCGCATCATTGAGCCCGGTATGATGGTGACCAAGGACTTCAACCCCGATCGCCTCAACGTCCATGTCAAAGAGGACGGGACAGTTTCGCACGTGTCTCACGGCTGAGAGTGACGGAGGGGCGGATTCAAGTTTCAGAAGAGGGCGATAATGGTTGGAGCAGGCGGTGTATATCATTTTCTTAATGTAATAATACCATAGCCTGGGGTCTGAATTCCATCTTTTCTCTAGGAAGCACTTTCTTAGCTGTTTGTGATGCCTTTTTCCTCCCGCAGCCACAACTGAACCCTCATCATGCCACTTGTGAGGACCCCAGGATGACGACACACTGTGGCTGGCGGGGCTCAAGTCCCAGGCCCAACTACCCCGCCAAAAGGCTTGGCAGTCAGGACCCCACCATTGTTCCCCTCCGTCCATTGATCCCAACCATCGCGGGGCATCCAAGGACTGCATCGCGATTGTACTATTTTCTTTCGAATACACGGCAAGATAGCCGTTAACCCAATACTCCAGCGTATATCACAACCAGGAGGCTCACTGCCCCCGCCAAAGCCCAAAATGTTTAAAAAGGAGTAAGAAAATCCCAATGCCCATCGAAAACCAAAGCTAATGCCACCCTCCCTTCTCTCACAGCATCACCCCCTCACCAAAACAAAAACTCAAGTCCTCCATCCAACGCTCTCTCCGACAGAACCTCGTATCAACCTACCCGCTGCTGAACGCACACATCGACGAGGTCCTCCCCAAAAAGTCGCAGCTCGAGCAGATCAAGCTGCCTGACCGGGTCTCGCTCTACGTGCTCGACAACCGGCCGCTCTTCTACCAGGAAGGCGGCGACGGCGTGCTGGTGCCGCACCTGCGCCTGGTGCATCGCTTCCCGCACTGCTTCCCCACCGTGCGCATCGACCGCGGCGCCATCCGCTTCGTCCTCAGCGGTGCCACCCTCATGGCCCCCGGGCTGACCAGCAAGGGCGGGAGGCTGCCGCTGCCGGGATCACGGAAGTCTGCGGTGGAGGTGAAGAAGAAGACGAGTGAGGCAACGGAAAAGACGGAGGAGGGAGAGGGTGAGGGTGAGGGTGAGGAGGATGGGGACGGTGAAGGTGCGGTGCCGGATGAGGGGCCGGATGAGGATGGACACTGGAGCAGAGAGCTGGAAAAGGGCGAGCCCGTGGTTGTTATGGCTGAGGGGAAGGAGGAGGCCTGCGCCGTTGGGGTGTTGACCATGGGGACAAAAGAGATTAAGGAAAAGGGGAAGGGGCCGGTCATGGAGGAGGCGCATTACCTTGGTGACGGGCTTTGGCGGTTGAATGTGGAGTAACCAGACGGTTGGTTATCAAGGGGTTTGTTGTTTGTGTGCTTCGGGTACCGCTTGTTGCCGGCAGTGCAACTGTGGATGGGCACCTTGGAGAGCCAGGGTATCAAGTAGCTTGTTTATCCATTTCGTGGTCAATGGTCGCAAATAATCAGCGACTTCACTCTGGATCACAGGCAGCCGGCTGTCGTTTAGCCGTTGCCCATGTCCCTGCAGGAGGTCAGTACATCGCGGACCCTGTTTCGCTGTGCCTTTTGGGCTTGGCGGCCGCATTTCTCTCCTCGCTAGGTAGAGCTAAAGCCCGAGAAACGTAGATTTGTGCTTGTGAAGTTTTTCCCAGTATCCGACGACCAAGACCGACTCGATAGCCGGCAAACCAGGAGAAAGTTGTAACATCAGGTTGCCGGTGTATGCAGCTGAGTAGTCGGTGAAGAGTTCAGACAATCTGATCAAGGATTGTCGATATCTCTGGCAAAAATATCAACGAGGCAAAAGTAATCGACAACGAGCGGATTCGAACCGCTGCGGCCGAAGCCATACGCTTTCGAGGCGTACCCATTAACCACTCTGGCACGTTGCCTTTGAACGAAAATTTGCTCTAGATTTCCGGTTGATGTAACTATACCTTAGGGTTAGGGTGTAAGGTTAATTACCAGGCTATGACGCAGGACTAAGGCCAAAGAACCGCTCCTTGGCTCCCCAAGCGCCAAGGCGCAGGTGCCGCCCACCCATCTGCCCCTCTCCGCCACTTCCCCAGACCAACCGGGTGTCAGTCAGCCATGTGTTCCTGTTTGGCCAGCCCGTTACCAACCCCAACATCGTGACGGACGCTCATCTTCCATCACCCCATTCCCTCAACGCCTGCGCGAATCATCGGTCTTCACCAGACAGACGATTGCAAACATGGCTGCGAGGGGCGTTTCGCTGCTCAAGTTTGTCGGCACCGTGTCGCTCGGTGTGCTAACGGTACGTCTTGCCTTTTCTTCCCCGCGTGCAGCCACACCTCAGCACTGTTGGAAGATGCATCCATCGTGCCTTGCATCATCCCCAGCAAGGAAACAAAAAATCGCTTGCCATTCACTAACGCCCAACCTCGTTAGGGTCTTTCCTACACACTCTCCTCGCTCACCATCCCAGCGCTCTTGACCCTCCCGTTCGCCAGCACCGCCGCGCGCGCCTTTGACTCCCTAACTTCTTCCGCACGGCGGCAGCTGCTCTCCCTCAGCGCCGTCTCCTCATCCGCCTTTGGACTCGCCTACCTCCTCTCGCCACGGCCCCTGCGCCACCCGTACCTACTCTACGTGTCGTTGCTGGTCGGGGTGTCGCACCTCGCGGCCTCAGACCTGGTAGCGCCGTATCTGCTCAACCTCGGCCCGGCGTCGCCGTCATCGTCACCTAACGCGTCGGCGGCCGCCAAGCAGAAGCAGAAGCAAACCAAGGAGCGCGCCGCGCTCGAGCGGGCCCGCGCCCGCATGGAGGCCAGCTACGAGGTGCTTGGCAGCGGGCTGGATGCGCACAGCGAGGGCAGCACGGCCAGCGGCGGCGAGGAGATGGAGGCTGAGGAGGGCAATGACGTGGTGAACGGCGAGGAGGTGCGCTTCGAGGTGGAGGCGTTCCTCAAGAAGCAGATGGTCAGGAGCGCCGTGGCCGGCCTGGGCTTCCTCCTGTCGGTCGTGGGCATCTGGGGGGACGGTGTGTCACCTGTCTATGGGCAGGCGGTTGTTATTGAAGTCTGAGTGGTTTGGGCATTGTGGTGAATGCCTGACAGCTGAAGAAGCCTTGGGGAGTGGTATTGCGTTATTGATGGAAGAATACATGTGTGGCCCCCTCGTCGAGAGACCTTGAACTCTCTCTCAATTCTTTTGAACAATTGGCAAATAGCCTTTTCCTTGCTCTTTTAGCTAGAGACTGTACCTAAGGGAACAATCGGAGTTGGGTTTTTGGACTAGCTTCCATTGCTGTCTCCGTGACGTGGTCCTCCCATTACTCCTGGCTCCGTTGGTGAACGTTCTGGGGGCCTCGAGCTAGCACATACGTTTCTTCTGGAGACATCATCATCAGGATATGTTCTCCTGGGGAGGTGAAGCATGCTTGTATCTGCTGTTAGTGCAGCCCAATTTTGGCACGTTAGAATTCTCATGTCGACTACACCTCTTCACAGATTCGGCCGCTCGATACCTTCCCAAAGGTATAACCCGCCGAACCCATGGACTGCCGCACGTGACGAATCATGCCCGGATCCAACTGGCAGCCAATCGTTGAGTGCCTCAGTCGCCAAGAACCCCACCGTGCTTCCTGCGGGCAAGTTACGCCTTCGGGGAAAGCCACGGATCTGATTCCGGCCTCAAAACTCCGCCGCAGAAATCATCACAGGATATCGAGAGAATAAAAGGCCGGTCCAATTGCGCCGGGCCAGAGTCGCCATGCGATCCGATCTTCCCTCTTCACTCTTCCGTTCCGTCCCTGTCTCCCAGGCACTACCACGGCCCAGATGCAGCGGGCAATGATGCTCGTCCGGCACACACTCCGCCGCCCCGCCATCCACCTCTCGATACCGTCCGCTTGCACCCCCTCGACGCGACATCTCGTCTCCCTGCCTCGCCATAACCAATCCTCACCCGCCATCACCACCACAACCACTGGCCGACGACGCACAATGGCAACCCGCTGCGGCACACCCCCCTCCTCGTCCGCCCTGGAAAAGCTCCCCTCATCCTCAATCCGGGTTTTGCGCACAGTGGAATCGGTCCGGCGCTGGCGAAAGCCGCACCAGCTCGACCAGCGTCGCGTCGCGCTAGTACCCACCATGGGCGCGCTGCACGAGGGCCACCTATCGTTAGTCCGCGCCGCGGCGCGCGAGAACCACCACGTGGTGGTGTCGGTCTACGTCAACCCGGCGCAGTTCGGCGTCGCCGAGGACCTGGCCTCGTACCCGGTCACGTGGGAGGCCGACGCGGCGGCGCTGGTGGCTTTGGATCGCGAGCTGGCTGATGATGGGCATAACCTGGGTCGTATTTCTGCTGTTTTTGTGCCCAGTACGCAGGAGATGTACCCTGGTGGGTTTCCGGGGCAGGAGGTGGATAGTAAGGGCAGTTTTGTGTCTATAACGCCGGTGGGGGAGGTTCTTGAGGGCAGGTCGCGGCCGACTTTTTTTCGGGGGGTGGCGACTGTGTGTATGAAGCTGTTTAATATTGTCCAGCCGGAGCGGGTGTATTTTGGGCAGAAGGATGTGCAGCAGACGGTGGTGATTAAGAGGATGGTAAGGGATTTTATGCTGCCCATTGAGGTTGTTGTCGGCCCTACAACGAGGGCGGCGGATGGGTTGGCATTGAGCTCGCGGAATGTTTACTTGGGGGAGAGGAGGCGGCCTGTTGCGACGGTGCTGTACCGGGCACTGTGTGCTGCCGAGAAGGCGTATAAGGATGGCGCAAAGGACCGGGAAACGGTGCTTGGCGCTGCGACTCGGGTTCTCGAGACGACGTTGGCGGAGCAGATGGCCCTTGGGCAGGAGGGGAGGGTCCGGTTCGAGGTTGACTACATCTCGCTGGCTGATCCTGACACTATGGAGGAGCTTCAGGCGGTGGACCCGGCGAGGGGTGGTATTCTCAGTGGCGCAGTGCGTATGCTGCCCGTTGAAGCCCCGCGGGAGGGGGAGGACCTCGGTCACAGTGGCGGTCCGCTTGTCAGGTTGATTGACAATATCATCCTGCCGCCTGTAGCATGAGTGACAACCCCTTTGATGGCGGCACAAGTTTATTTGCATTGTTAGGCGTCAGGGATTTGGTCCGCTCAGCGCGCGTGTTCCGCAGGTCCATAGACATGTTTGTTAGCTGCAAAGTTGGTATAGGAAGCTAGATGTATGCTATAGAAACATTGATAAATACCCATTCTGCTGCGGGCAGCACTCAAAATATCGCGACGGCATTGGATCGATTGGCCTTGCCCTTTCTCTGGGTTGCTATCATACATCTACCATCTCCAACACTGGGATTGAACAGCGTATCTCCAAGCCCTAGATAGCTGAATGGGATGCGAGCCAGTCCATGCTAATTATGAGGCCTGGCAGCTGCGGGGCCTTATCACTCAGCCCAACCTGAGCCTGGCCTGCGGCTAACCTTGCATCAATACTTCCCCTGAACCTAGGGAGATATTTCGAGCCAGGGGAGCCGCCATGGTAGGGCATTGTCTGTGCCACTACGTCTGCTGGGTGGTGTACTATCCCGTATTTCAGTTCGGCTGTCGCTTTCGGGGTGCCCATTCACGCATTATGCGCGATCAGATGGGTCAAATGCGAAAGACGAGCCAGACAAGCCCGAAGCAAATATGGGCGGGGTGTCTCCGTCGACACACTTACGGTACCGGCTAGCGCTTCCCAAGCGGCGCCTGGATCGGGACTCCATCGAAATGGCTCGCGGCATCTCCCAGCTACAACAAAGGTAGTCCGTCCTGGAAATTGATGCGCGCTCATTTTTGCGCTGAACGAACGTTAGCGATAGTTTGAGAGTTGTGTTAGATAGGAGTGTAATGGTTTTTGACATAGAAGCACCATACCGTTTCTTGGCCCTGCATTTTTGCTGGTGTCTGACCAGCACTAGCGGGGATGAACTGGAGACACGTTCCGTCTGTCATGGGGAAATGGTCTCTGCCTCCCTGCCCTCAAAGCTTGCTGGAAAAGTGCGAGCGGAACTTCCTCGATGCACGATCCGCGGAGCGGAACTGGAATTGCTCGCCGTGAACCTCGAAAACCATCGCTGAGGGGTGCTCCTGCTTCTGACCGGCCTGCTCCTCGCTCAACCCGTCCTGCGCCGCGGGAGCCGGCACGGGGACCTCAAACCGGAACACGGTCCCCTCTTTCGGCAACAGCTTCAACCTGTTTTTGAGCGTAATGATCTCGAACGCGAACCTCGAATCCTTGATCACAATCCCCTTGATGCCCACGCGGCTGACGCACCCGCTCCGGACCACCTCAACGCCGGCACCGTGAAAGTCAGCGCTGGCCAGCTTGGCCGCGGCGCCCTCGCCGCCCGTGTACACCTCGTTCCCCAGTATTTCGCGCACGTATCCCAGCCAGAGCTGGTGCAGCGGCTCGAAGAGAGCGTACTTTTGCCCTTCGCGCGGAACCTCATAGAGGCCCAACCTGCGGCGCTGGGCTGCTGAGAGGGGCTTTGGTTTCAGAGCCTTCTTGCGAGCCTGTTTCTTCTTTTGTCGCTCTCGGCGCCGGGCGGCGCGGGCGTCGGATGGCGGCGGGGAAGACGGGGCGAGGAAGAGAGGGCGTTGCTGGACTTTCTCTGTGAAGATGCGTGTTGCTTCGTCGGGGTCGTGGGCGCGGGATAAGAGAGCTACCGCTATCGGCTGCTCTTTTCTAGGTTTTGAGTCCATCGCTTGTTTACCGGTTTCTTCGTTGCCTTAGCCTTGGTGTTTCAAGAAACGTAGTACGGGAGTACATACAATACCTAGGACGAACTTGGTTGAGCTTTCGGCTTTTTGAGGAATTGCATGCACCTGCAGGGAACCGAACTTTGGCTGCATACACTTTACCTAGTTGCTGTACCATTTTAGGCTAGACCTGGCTTTGACACCGCACCTTTCCCCATGGCACTGCAGCGCGCCGTGGCTTTCCGTTCGGCAAGTTCCCTGTCCCATGCCACCTACTGCACATGAATCGCTAAACCGGATCTTAAGAGAAACCTCGGGAATCACAGGACAATGCAAGCGACGCGCTACTCCCGGTGTCCAGACCATGTTCTGACGAAAATGAGGCCATTTTGAACCATAAGCATCTACGTCTTGCCATTGCAAAGGATTTAGGAAGGGAAAAGGGCACATAGTGCGGCTCAATTGCGCCGTGAACAGAGAAAAGATCCCCTTCATTGCGGCCGAAAGTGATTGGTAGACGAACTGGAGGCAGCTTAGACAGCTAGTCGACAAAACCGCGATACCAGAGACCGCCAGCCATGGCGCCGGACGATCGCCATGACTCGGCACCCGACCTGCGCATTCTGGGTGACCGGATTACCCTTCAACCTGGTGGCTTCGTTGAGCCGCCGGCAAAGGCCGTAGGGGAGGAGGGCGAGGGGAAGGAAGAAGCGCTAATGAAGAATAATGCTCGTTTCCGCTCTGAACCGTTCAGGTATTCCCGTGTTGTCCTATGCCCTTATAATTACGACCTTCCTCGTTGCTGTATCTTTCATTTCCGCCAACTAACTCAGCCCGGCTCAGATTCCTTCGCGAGGTGTCGCTGTACGTCTCAGGTACCGGCTGGCGTGCGTATGACGATGTGATTGGACAGCCCATCTTCTACTCGGGCTTCTCAGAGCACATCAAGGCGCAAATCATGTCGGCCGCAATCCTCCAAACAAAGATCGCGCAGTTGGCTGATATGCGTCTCGCTGTCGAGGAGAACGAGGGCTTGCTCAACAAGGACGATAAGGATTTCCTGATCAAGCGGACCCAACGACGTGCCGTCCTTGCCCAGAGCTTGCTGGAGGTGGCCGAGAAGCTGACAGACAACATGATTTGCAAGTTCGACAGCAAACCGTTCATTCGAGGCGCCTACTACGTCGTGTCGCAGCTGCTGCTCAGGGCGTACCACCAGGGGATCCATGTCTCGAGCGAGGAGGTTCTGCGCTTGCGCAGTGTTGCCGAGAGGGCGGCAAAGAACAAGCAGAGCATCATATTCCTGCCCTGCCACCGGTCCCACGTCGACTATGTCTCACTGCAGCTCATTTGCTACAGACTCGGCTTAGCCCTGCCGATTGTAGTTGCTGGTGACAACCTAAATTTCCCGCTCGTCGGCAGCTTTCTCCAGCACGCCGGTAAGCTGCGACCTTGCCACGTCTTTCTCAGCAGCCAACATACTGACCTCAGTTAAAAGGAGCCATGTATATCCGCCGCTCTTTTGGGGACGATCAGCTCTACACAACGCTGGTTCAGACCTACATCGACGTCATGCTCCAAGGCGGCTACAACCTAGAATGCTTCATAGAAGGCGGGCGGTCACGGACCGGCAAGCTCCTCCCCCCCAAATTCGGCATCCTCAACTTCGTCCTTGACTCCCTACTCTCCGGGCGGGTCGACGACGCCATCATCTGCCCTGTCAGCACGCAGTACGACAAGGTGATCGAAACAGAAGGCTACGTGACCGAGCTGCTCGGGGTGCCCAAGAAGAAGGAGAACCTGGCCGACTTCCTCACGGGCGGGTCCAGCGTGCTGTCGCTGCGCCTGGGGCGGGTTGACGTGCGGTTCCACGAGCCGTGGAGCCTGCGCGGGTTCATCACTGACCAGATCACCCGCCTATCCAGGGCGCCGTCCCCGCCCACCGGCAGCAGCAGCGTTAATTGGCGAGACACGCAGAACCAGGTCGTCCGCCAGAAGCTGCTGCGCACCCTCGGCTACAAGGTCCTGGCCGACATCAACGATGTCTCGGTGGTCATGCCGACGGCGCTGATCGGCACGGTGCTGCTGACGCTCCGCGGCAGGGGTGTCGGCAGGACGGAGCTGATCCGCCGCGTCGAGTGGCTCTCGGCACGGGTCAGGGCGAAAGGGGGGCGGGTGGCGCATTTCGGCAACGCCCCGCTGTCGGACGTCATTGAGCGCGGGCTCGAGGTGCTCGGCAAGGACCTGGTGGGCGTCGTGGAGGGCTTGGCCGAGCCGACGTACTACGCCGTGGACCGGTTCCAGCTGTCCTTCTACAGGAACATGACGATCCACCTGTTCATCTCGGAGGCGCTGGTCGCCGCGGCCTTGTACACGCGCGTCAAACAGGGCGGAGGGCCCGCGATCCAGGACATGGCGTTTGAGGAGCTGTATAGGCAGGTGCTGTTCCTGTCGTCGCTGTTCCGGGGCGAGTTTATATACTCGGGCGAAGGGCTGGCGACGAACCTGGAGCGGACGCTTGCCGGGCTCGAGGCGGACAATGTCATCTTTATTGAGCGGGATGAGGAGGGTAAGATTACCAAGATTGGGCTGTCGGATGCCGAGAGGGCCGCTGGCAGAGAGAATTACGATTTTTACTGCTTTTTGATCTGGCCGTTCATCGAGGCCAGTTGGCTGGCCGCGGTGTCACTTCTGGGCTTGACCCCGCCACTGGGCTGGAAGGATGACATATGGATCCAGGTGTCCAAGGCGCAGGACCGCGCGCAATTTGTGAGTTTGAATTTCCCGCGCCCGATCCATCTATCTTCCCGACCAACCCCTTCATCCGAACGCTAACAATGTTTCCGGCAACAGCTAGGAAAAACCCTCTACCACCAAGGCGACCTGAGCTACTTCGAAGCCGTCAACAAGGAAACCCTCAAAAACTCGTACCAGCGCTTCGAAGAGGAAGGCATCATCCAGGTGGTCAAGTCCAAGGACGTGCGGGTTCCGCCGCGGCTGCGGCTTGCGCCCGAGTGGCGGCCCGCGCGCGACTCGGAAACGGGCAAGCTCCTCGCCTCGGGCCGCCTCTGGGACTTTACCGAAAAGATCGCATCCAGCCGCCGCGAGGGCAAGAACCGCCGTGACGGGGCCACCGTCAGCACCAGGGTTGTCAAGCTTACGGATGATTTGGGGAGGAAGCTGTTTGAGGAGGCTGTTAGGGGGGATAAGGAGGCGGGGAAGGGGAAGGGGAAGGGGAAGGGTAAAGGGTTTATGGCGCCTGCTAGGCTCAGTAGTGAGGAGGAGAGGAGTCTGAGTAGGGATGTGAGGGAACGGAGGAGGAGGCGGATGATGGAGGGGAGGGCGCATTTATGAGTGTGAGTGTGTGAGGTGTAGAGAGGGGTGCAGTGTATACGAGATGCCATGACTTGGGGCGGGTTGTGATGATTATGTGCATTGTATTCATGGCAGTTGAAGATGGGTTTTGATTTTCAGGGGGCTAAAAATCGGAGTTATACCTGTGTAGAGGCTGGAGGGGCAGGGTTGAGCATTGGGCTTGGGGTACTGTCGTGCATATCATAGGTATAAAGTGTACTGTATTACCGTGATAAGGACAAGGCGTCTGACTAGGTACTTAGGGTTCTAGTTCTAGAATACATCCCATACGCTGACCTTGCCGTCTTTACTCCCCGCCGCGAGCCAGTGAGCCGTCCTGGCCTGGCGGATTCGCTTGTCCCTGACGGTCATCTCGACGAGCTTGGGCACGGTTGCCAAGCTTTTGCTGCCATCGCTGATGTTGTTGTTGCTCTTGTCTTGCCCCTCGGCATCTCGTTTCTGAGAAGGTCCTTCCGTCTCACCCTCCCCGTCGCCGGAGTTTTCCGGTGCCGTTCCGGTCGCGACCTCGACCTCGGCAAAGGCGGTTGCGTAGCAGCCGGCCTGGTGCCACTTGAGCACGGCCACTTCGTTGAGCGTCTTGGTGGAGTAGAGGCGTATCCTGGAATCCCAGCCCGCTGTGGCGAATATGCGCCCGTCGGATCGGATCCGGAGACTTTGTTGCCCTGCGTGTCTGGTGTTGACTGCTTTTAGGGGCTCAGATGGGATACTCGGGTGGGGAGGGGCGGCTGTCGGGACAGGGCGGCGGGGTTCGTTGGCGAGGGCAGCGGAGAGCAGGGACTTGCCTGACGCCGGGCCGTGGAGGTCTGTGAGTTCCTTTGCCAAAATCTTGTCTTGGTCGGGCTGAGTAGCGTGGAATTGTGTTGCACCGGGTTGGTTGGGTGCCGGAAGGGGCAGAGGCAGGGGCAGGGGGTGCTTCGCAATGAAGGCGTCTGCGCTAGAGGTGAGGAAGAAATCTCGACCGGGCGATATGTCCAACGACAGTATGGGTTGCGAGTGGGACTTTGCCTGATATGTGACTGTCCAGCCGTTATGGTCGTCAAGGTAGGCTACGGTTGCCTGGCCATTCTCATAGCCGGCGACTAGTGCCAGTGTTCCTTCCCGATGGAAGAGCGACAGGGCCATGACCATGCCGTTCTTCTCTCCAAGCTTTACCGTATGACGGCGGGATTGGGACGGTAAATGATAGATGTCAATCTACTTTCACGGTTAGCGGATGTGGGATGGTGCACGGGCTAGGACAGACTTACGGCCTCTGAGGCAAGTGTGTTTGGCACCGCAACTAGAATATCGGACGAAGCGGAAGCAGTTGACTCCGGGCGGAGAGAGCAATATGAGAAGGAACAAAAGTTCATCGTATTGACTTCAAGCATATACAGCACCCACGGCTGCGGACGAGGTTCAGGAGACGGGTCCAGTGGTAGCCTCGTGCTTAACCCGCTCTCATCATCAGGGCTGAACTTCCAGACTATGAGCTTGTTGTCTCTCCCGTGGCTGCTCAGTTCCGCGTCTCAGTATGTATCCATTTCTCCCTACTCTGTCAGTAGCAACCTACGTGATCAGGCGGTCCCGCCCCCAGCCGGCGATGCCCAGGATGGCGTTGCTGTGGGCTTGCCAGACGGCCCGAGGCCGCATTATGGTGAGGTCCCATGCGACAATATATCCATCGGCATCCCCGGTCACAAGACGCTTGTTGCCGCGCACAAAGGCGGCGGCGTGCACCTGAGCCTTATGACCGCGCAGGATCGATGTGGGATGCGCTGGTTGAGCTTCGGTTGTCATATTAGGAATTCTTGCTCAAACCGATGATTATCGCTGAGCCGAGCCGTCAGCCGTGTGCAATGTAGCCGGGTTCCTGCAAACCCTCCTGCAAGCCAAGTCAAGCCAAGACTGGCGCTGCAAAAGTGATCTGCAAATTTTCCTCTGGTAGGTCATCAAGCCAGCGGCCATCCGTTAGTGACGGTTGGGCACGTCATGTACACTTGAATCGATGCGATGTGCGGCATCTCAACGGTAAAGGAATGAAGTCGTATCGGCAGAGTGAGCATGGTCCCACCTGCACCAGATCGATCGCTGGCCTGGGCCTGGAGAAGCAGATCCAGGACCCACTTCAGCAGCCTCGGCTCTCACAGGCACTCCCTGGCCAGTTGGGCTGTCGCCGCAGCGCGTGGGCTTGCCCTGAACAGAAACGGTTCCCGCGCAAACCCCTGCACACCGAGAACCACCGAGGAAACTGCCGCCAACAGAGCACGCGTGTCTCACGCCTGCTCGCTGTCGCCGTACACGAAGTGTCTGGTAAGGACATGTGTTGTATGTTTGACATCTGCAGCCACGACCAACCTCCGCATATCAAAGTTTAAATCGCTCGAGGGGAGAAGGAATTGATCCTTGAAACGAATGCTCATCAACTTGTAAGTCCTGTCGAGTATCCGTACCTTACATAGCTTGGATGCAGATTACTCTCCACAGAAGATAAGATACATGGAACGAATAGGCGCCTAACCCTGTATCTACGTCCAAGCCTGCCTACTTAAGGTTAACTTCATCCTGGACATTAAAACAATTCCAGAATGCTGTCGCATCCAGGATGCCGATCTTGATCGTTCTTGCTCAACCGTCAACGATCCCCATGCAGGGGGTTCGGAGGTCTGTGCCATGGGGTTGAGGCCATGTAACATCCCCTTGCCCTGCCTTGGACGACTGGAAGGGGAAGTGTCCTCGGCACCTCGTCTCGCCTTCCCTTCAGAGCCTCAACAGCCCCGAGATGCTTGTTTTATTTTCTTCTTTGTTTTCAAAACCAAACCTCGCTCGCAATAACATTGATTCAGCTCTGGCCCTGTCGGCTTTGAAGTTGGAGAGTTGAATGATCCTTTTTTTGCGCCGAGTTTGTCTCGCGTATCTATTTGGATCGCAGCGCAGCAGCAGCAGCAGCAACCCCAGCATTTACAGACACGACGACATGGGCCACTGAGTCTCGAGAATCGGTCCTTTTGCACTATTGCCCTGCTCAAATACATGGCTTTTTATACCTCGTCCAGCGTTCATGATCACAAGATCTCCTACTCAAACCCGGAGTGTGTGTCAACGGCAGAGGCAACGACCCAGGAACGAGATTGACTTTTCAAGCACCTGGCCAGCCAGACAATTCGGTCCTCACGACGAACAACATGGACCTTGGTCGACGGCGTCAACCACTCCACGCAGCCGCCGACCTTCACACCCGGCTGCGCCTGGAATCTGCGTACCCCGAGCTTGCGGAGCGGGCCTCGTCGCTCACGGCACCTAGCCTCACCAGCCATCCTTCAGGGGTGCGATCCAATGTTGTACCGGCGAAGCGGAAGGGGTTGCCTAGGGCTCGTCTGCATACACCAACGCATTCGCGGACGGTTAGCAGTGCTGGCAGCGACCCTAGGACTGAGCAGGGCTCTTCGATGAGTCCCACAGTTGGCGGTTCGAAGGCTAAGCGGGTCCGAACGGGCTGTCTTACATGTCGTGAACGCCACCTCAAGTGTGATGAGGCCGTGCCGGATTGCAACAATTGTCGCAGGAGCAACCGTGAGTGTAAGCGCGGGCTGCGTCTAAACTTCATCGACATCCAGGTCAAGGATCTCCCCAAAGCTGCCCCAACTGACGAATGGCTAGGTGAGTTGTGACTCCAGCTGACCCTCCTCTCTGACAAGATATCGCAGAAGAGCGGGCTGTAAGATGCTGATTTCACTTTAGTCGAGATCCAGGATGAATCGCGCCAGATTGCATCCGAGTACAAAGGGGGACTAAGCCGGTACCCCAACCCGGCGGAGGATCCAGATGCGGATGCGGCCAGCGAGCCGGCTTCCGATGGAGCAAGCGATCTGTTCCTGACAGCCCCGTTAGTCGCACCGACGCCACAGTTGGGATCAAGTCAGGTTCCAGTCAGAGGCCTCATCACGCCACCCATTGATGTCGCAAGCGAGCGCGACTACATAGACTCTGAACACGAAATCCGATTTCTGCAGGCCTTCGTCGATGGTGTGGCGGTATGGATGGACTTACTGGCCAAGGACCAACATTTTACGGACCATGTTCCGTATATGGCGCTCAAGTCGTCTATGCTACTCAACGCCTTGCTGGCATGCGGTGCCAGACACTTATCCTCCTTAGGGTCACCTGGCGATGAAGATGGCGCCCCGTATTACGACGCAGCCACGGCGCTGCTGCGGCGTAAGCTCCAAGACCCAGATTGCAACAGGGACGAATGTGCTGTTGCATCTGTTCTCCTGGATGTGTATGTGATCATGGGCAAGGACTCAGAACTGGCCACAGATCGTCTTGTCGATACACGGTCGTGGATCCGCAGGTGTGGATGGGACGCAGCATCAGGAGGTATTGGATCGTCGTGTTTCTGGGTCAACATTTGCTTGGAGGTGCTCAGCTGCGTCTGCTCTGGGCAGCAGACGGCTTGGGACCCGGATCAATGGGGATTGGATCTCGAGTTTGTCCAGGAAACATCGGGGAGCAGCAGCCAGAGCGTGGTAGGAAACGATGAGTTGCCAAATTATCGCCGCAACGTTGGCGGTCACACCCTCAATGACGGTGCGGACGAGGAAATCTGGTTGCAACGCATCTTCTATGTCCTGGCCAAAGTTGCCAATTTTCATGCTGATACCTCTCAGCCCCAAGGGTCGTTCCCGCACGACGAGCAAGTCCGTCAGCAGAGCAGGCTCTCTGAGTGGAACAGACTCAAGGCCATGTGTGACGCCTGGAACCGCAAATGTCCAAGGTCGATGCGTCCTTACGGCTACTCGCCCACACCATCGGCCAAGTCTCTGTTTCCTAACGTATGGTAGGTCAAGCTCAGGTCCATGTCCTTACTTGAATTAAGCACTGATCACTCTACAGGCTGATCAAGCGCTCGGCCAAACTCGGGCGCATGTTCTATCACACCGCCCTGTGCCTCCTAGCACAAGTCAGTCCGCTCAGCCCACCTGGCAGCATGGAGAACCGTACACTACTGGAGCACCACGCCCACCACGTTTGCGGCATAATGGCACACACAGACGATTGCGCCGTGGCCACGGTGGCCGTCCGCGGCTTGGCCATCACCAGCGCTGTACTAGTCGACCGGCGCGAGCAGAACGAGGTACTGGCGATTCTCGAGCGAATCGCTACACAGACGGGATGGCGGCCTGGGATGCTTGTGGCCCACCTGAGGAGAGCTTGGGGCTGGGGAAGCGGGGCGGACACTTTCTCCTTGTCACCCAGCCTAGGCTCTCTTCCCCCAATTTCTGCAGCCGAGCTCTCGAGGAGGAGTGACCTCCAGAGCGGCATGGCAGATATAGACGGAGGAGGGATGATGACCGAACCGAGTATGAAGCTAGGATGGAACTGTCCGAGGCATTCCTCTTCATGCTCCTCTGCATCCTCCTCCTCCTTATCTACAGCAGCGGTGTCTGTCTCGCAACCGCAACCGCCTCTGGGAAAGACACACTTGACGCCTCCACCTGCGCCATCCCCAAGTGAGTCTGCCCACCCAGGTGATCCCTACCAGGGATTCTATGAGCCAAACCCATTGAATGGGTTGCATGGGCCACAAGGACTTTGGATGGGATAAGCGATCTCTTCCTGGAGAAGGAATCCCATCGGGCGGTTCAGGTGACTTGATTGTCTTTATTTCGTTTCTCAAAGACGCCACATAATGCGAGATACCCAATGAACATTATTGTACCAATCAACATTATCTTCACATGGACCAGGCACCTCACAGCATAGCTTCTTTTGGATTGACCAAAATAATAGCTGCTCTCGAGTCTAAGAGTCTAAGATTAGGGGGTGTGCCCAGGCCAGCTAGGCTAAGTCTACTCTAATCTACCGTGTCTCCGAGTGCTCCCCTCTATGATCTATGGTTTCTAGGTCTTTGTCGGTTGGGTATCTCTACTTTCTGGGGTTCCTATGCCGCAGTCGAAACTTGACGCAACAGAAACCAGAACTTCCCGGCGATGGAGATCTCCTAGGCCGCAGCCGTCCCGCCCACCGAGACGCAGGCCTGCTCTCCACGACCTGCACCACCTCCCCATCCTCAATTCTCCCCCCGTCCACCATCATGGCGTCCTGCCGTTCCACCTCCTTAGGCGGTACGACAATCCCATACTTTCCATACGGAAAGTCCACCAGGCTCTCCATGTACTCCGCCCACCCATCATCAACCTCCCCAAGCTGATGCGCATCAACCATCCCCGCCCCATCCCCCGTCCGCCCCGCAAGCACCAGCGCCTCGCGGCCCGCGTACTCCTTTTTCAGCATCGGATGCGGCACCCACACGACGCGCATGCCCGCGCGCCGGCCGGCTTCGACGCCCGGAACGCTGTCTTCAAAAACAAGGCACTCTTCGGGTGTGATCGGGGATTCACCGGGGGGGAGGGAATTGTTGATCGTTTGCAATGCGACAAGGTAGATGTCGGGCATGGGCTTGCCGCGCCCTGGAGGGATGCGCGGGTCGTCGCCCAGCACGCGGCGGTGGCGCTCGAAGACGCTGAAGAGGGATTCTAGGTGGGAGGTTTTGAGGCGGAAGTTGGATTCGTGGGCGGAGGTGGCTAACGCGATGTGCACCCTGTGCGGTGGCCTAACGTTGCTGGTGCCGTTGGTGGTGGGCTGTTGTCCGTGAGAGTCCCAGTAGCGGGTGCGGCAGAGGTTGCGGAGGAGCCCGGGCACGCCGGCAAGGGGCTGGGTGTCGGGGAATACCTGCGCCTGCAGGGCGTAGTACTCCTCTTTGTACTCTTCGAGGGAGATGGGCAGCTGCGCCCAGTCGTGGAAGAGCTTGGTCGAGGCGGGCCCCGGGCGGCCCTGCAGTTTGGCCTTGATGCTCCATGGCAGGCTGGGCCGGTTGTACTTGGATAGGATTTGGTTTTGGCAGTATGTGTACCGGTCCTCTGTGTCGAGCAAGAGTCCGTCCATGTCGAACAGGCAGGCACGGACAGGGGGGAAGCTGGAGTAAACATGTTAGTGGAGAAGGTCAGGGGTGAAAAAAGGGGGAGGGGGGATGGAGGAGTCTCTTACTCAGTTCGGGGAGCCATTGTACTTAGCTGTGGTAGTAATGCTAGTATATACTACTGTGTGAAGTGTAAAAGACAAAATATAGGAAATGCGGTACTAGTCTCTAGAGAATGGACAATAAGAAGCAAACAGGTTCGTGAAATGCCCACCAGGGGTACTGTTATATACGTAGCAGAAGAAGAACTCTGTGGTTCCTTGGGAATTGGAAGTCGTGACTTGATGCTCTGGTCTGAGTTACACCGACACGAGAGAGGATACGAACAGCATTTATACACGAGAAGGTTCATCCAGCCCGGGGCCGCCCCCGAGGAACGAGGATAAAGATATCGAGGGGACCGTGGCGATATCGAGGTTGAACAAAGGGGAGAACAGCTTGCGGGAGCTCCCCTGGCTGCGGGGCATTTAGCTCTTTGGGTTGCTAATTACAGGTACAGTACATACATACCTCTGTATACCGCCAGTACCTTGGGGAGACAGGGGCAAGCCATTTTCTAATCCGGGCAGCTTCATTGTTCATTGTTCAGTCGTCTTGGACTCTTGGTTAATCCTGCACGCTGCTGTTGATGATGCTAAAGCATGCAAGATCCTCGGCCCGTCTGACACCTACCACGGGGGCTGCAGGATACCTAACTTAGCTAATTCACCCGGGATCGGTCGTCTGATGTTTGGTGTTGACATTTGATACTGTAGCTGGACAGACTGCCCAATCGCATGCACTACCTTGGGGAGGAGGGGACCTAATTAGGCGGGTGAACCGTGCACGATCGGTGAGCATGTGAAATGCAAGCATTGATGTTGATAAATCGTGGGGCATTGTTTGTACCGAAGAGAGAACTGAAGATAAAGAATTCTCTAGGCACAAAGGGCACAACACTGTTCCTTAACTCGCAAAGCCTCATCCACTTCCATTACCATGGCAATCAATGACGACAAGGCCGAGGCTCGGGCAACTACGGATTCTGGACGACCGTCGAAGCAAGCCAATGATGACGATGCAGACGAGGGTGCCCAGCTGGAGAGGTTCTCCCCCGAGGACGAGGCGGTAAGTCCTTTGACTTGAAGTCTTGACTTCCGGCTCGGCGCTTTGTCCTACCGGGACGGGAGGCTGAGTTCCCACGCTGCACAGTCCATGGTAGCCGAGTCCAATTTGCACAAGACCGAAGCGAACGCGCTCTTCTCATCAGGCAAATACGATGCTGCGATCACCAAGTACGACGAGGCCCTTGCTGTGTGCCCAAACTACCTGGACTACGAACTGGCCGTTCTGCGATCCAACATTGCCGCGTGCCATCTGAAGCTAGAAGAATGGAAGGAAGCCGTCAACAACGCCACTACTGCGCTCGACTGCCTCGACCGCCTGGAGAAGCAGAGCAACGACGATAAGAAGAGCAAGGCTGAAGAGTCAATGCCTACCAAAGACGATTCTACCGAGGCGGAGGAGGAAATTGTCAGTGCTGGCGCCGCCAAGGCAGGGCCGGCGGTCCAATCCGAGTCCGACAGCGCCTCAAAATTGGCGGCCCGGCGAAAGCGTCAAGAGGATATTGCCAGGATAAGATCCAAGGCGCTGATGCGACGCGCGCGCGCGAGGAGCGAGCTAGGCGGCTGGTCGAACCTGGAGGGCGCAATCGAGGACTACAAGCGATTGGCGGGCATGGGGAATCTCTCGCCGGCTGATAGGAAGATTGTCCAGGCGCAGCTCTGGGCATTGCCGCCTCGTGCCAAGGAAGCTCAGGAAAAGGAGACAGCCGAGATGTGGGCCAAACTCAAGGACCTGGGCAACGGGCTGCTCAAGCCGTTCGGGCTGAGTACGGACAGTTTCAAGATGGTCAAGGATGAGAAGACGGGGGGTTACAGCATGAGCTTTCAGGGCGGGGGCGGGAGCAAGACGTAAGGTTGTATGTTTGGCCAGCCATGGCATGCTCTAGAGGCCCTTGGCCCGTTCTCAGAGCCTGCCCGTATATCAGAGTTGCAGACATAGGGAGGTAGGTGTCTACCACGGATAATTTGCTTGGGTGATTCATCAGCAGACTTGCACTAACGTCAATGTCAAGCGTGATGTACCTATAGGGTGTGCTAGCCAATGGTTTGGTAGCCGCATCCACCGACACTGCGCGGTCTACCGCAAATACCTACTCGATAGAAGGAAACGCTAGAATCGGCGCTACTGCAGCCAGGCCTCCGACCATTCAACGACAGCCAACCAAGGTACGCCTTTACCCACTTTTTATCATCGTGGTCGAATTGAAACTGAGGGAGGATCTGAGAGCCGGAGAGAGCTTGGCAGAGCAGTCGCGCAGAATCTAGATGTCGCTAGCTGTAATAGGTTTAGCGTTTCCTTCTATCGAGTGAGTATTGACGGTAGAGGGCAACACCGACATACCGGCCTGAACGGGATTAAGAGAGCCCGGGCTTCAAAGCAAGCCATGAGGTAGTATTGACTTGAATCAGATTCTGGATTCCCTACATAGAAGACTTATCCTCATCTATCATTCATGTGTAAGTCCTACTCACTGAGCGACCTCTACGAAGTGCTCATGTAGGTAAGGTGCTTGTACCTAACTGAGGTACAATACCCCCAGGGTACGTATCCCCTAGAGGCTGTTGGCACGTGCGCGGCAGGGGTCAGCAACAAAGATCTCGTTGCCAAGCCCCGTTGAAGAGTGGGTCTTTAACCCCACCGATTTGATAAGCTGCTTATCAACCAGCGCGGGGCGAATTTCATCCAAAATTCCATGAGTTTACAAAAGTTGCCCGTCTGCCTCTGCTTAAGAAGGCACTGTCGCCAACTCCTGCAATCGCAAGACATTATCACACCGCGAAGTGTTGTTGTCAGGTCCGGATACTCACCAAACCGAATACTAGCAAGTCCGATATACGCCCGCTATGGATCTCGACGCCCCCATGGGCATGGCCCCGTTGATGGGCACTGCGCGCACCGGCGCTACGTGAGTGTCCTGCGCTTGCTCTTACGACGTGGGCAAATCCTAACACTTCTGCCAGAATCCTTTGCTGCAACTGCGGCGCTCCTATTGATGGTACGGCCTCTGCCGGTGCCATGTGCTATGACTGGTGCGTACTTGCCCAACGGTGGTGGCCACCCTGCGGCCCGACTGACCTCATCCCAGCATCAAATCCACCGTCGATATCTCCCAAGGCATTCAACGAGAGGGTACCTTGCACTTCTGCCGCGACTGCGATCGATGGCTTCTTCCCCCTGCAAGCTGGGTGTCAGCTGCCCCCGAATCTCGAGAGCTTCTATCGCTGTGCCTGAAACGCTTGCGGAATTTGGGCAAAGTTCGGATTATCGACGCCCGCTTCGTCTGGACAGAGCCTCATTCACGGCGCATCAAAGTCAAGATTACCGTTCAAGATTCGGTCGCCGACGGTGTCTTGATGCAGCAGAGCTTCGAGGTGGTCTATGTCGTAGCACATCAACAATGCCGCGAATGTGCCAAGTCGTACACGGCCAACGTCTGGCGGGCGGCGGTGCAGGTGCGGCAGAAGGTGACACACAAGAGGACGTTCCTCCTCCTGGAGCAGTTAATCCTCAAGCACCAGGCCCATCGGGACACGATAAACATCAAGGAAGAGAAGGACGGCATCGACTTCTTCTTCGCGCAAAGGAACCAGGCCGAAGCCTTCATTCACTTCCTCAAATCAGTGGTGCCAATCAACGTCAAAGACTCGAGGCACTTGATTTCGGCAGATACCCACACAGGCAACAAGCAATACAAGTTCACATACTCGGCTGAGATCGTCCCAATATGTAGGGAGGATCTAGTAGCGCTGCCTCTGAAGCTCGCGAAACAGATAGGCAACATCTCGCCGCTCGTCCTCTGCTGGCGGATAGGCACATCAGTCAACCTTATCGACCCAAACACGCTTCAGACTGCCGAACTCAGCTCGGACGTCTACTGGAGGGCACCGTTCCAGCCACTCGCTGGCTCAACCGATCTGGTCGAGTTTATTGTCATGGATATCGAGCCTACAGGGCAGCGCAAGGGAAAATGGCTGCTCTCCGAGGTCCAGGTAGCCCGGGCATCGGACTTGGGCGTCAACGACAACACATACTTTGTGAGGACACACATTGGTCACCTGCTGCGGCCCGGGGACTCCGTTTTAGGGTACATGCTCACCGGGACCAACTTCAACTCGTCGGCGCTCGACGCCATCGAGGAGTCGCGGGCATACGGGTCCACCATACCCGACGTGGTGTTGGTCAAGAAGCATTATCCCAACCGGCGCAAGAATAGGAGGCGCAACTGGAAGCTCAAGCGCATGGCCAAAGACGAGGGCGAGCTGCTGCCCAAGGCGGCCGACCAGGAGCGCCTCGAGGCCGAGTACGAGATGTTCCTCCGGGATGTGGAAGAGGATGAGGAGCTGCGCGCCGCGCTGGCGTTGTACAAGAACACAAAGAAGAAGAAGCCGCAGGAAGCGGATGCCATGAGTATTGCCGAGACGGAGATGACTGCTGGGGAGGACGATGGGCCCAAGATCAACATGGATGAGCTGCTTGATGACTTTGACGAGCTGGATATTCAGGATAATGAGGCCTGATGGGGTGTCAGGAAGGCTTGTGGGTCGGTCGGGTCAAAGCTGTAGCTTATACTTAGATGGTAACTAACGACTCTACTGCCCATATCGAAGCTCCTGACCTTTAAGAAGTACACTCACTACATGGGAATTCTGCCATTGATGCTTGATTATCGACGGGCTGAGTATTTATATGGCTTCTCGCCGCCACGCTTTGCCTGCATGTCATCGCAGATCATGCACCAGAAGCAGGGTCGCCATCACCCCTTGCGAGAAGTCAACAATTTTGTGATTGCACATAAAGTATCACATATTACAGCTCTGTTGCCCCCTCGTATGAGGCACACTTGGCGGATTGGAAATCGGGGTATACTTTCAACCTCATGGGGTGGGAGTCTTCAACAGGACGATGTTCATCATAGTATATTTTCAAGAGATGATTCATATCCGAAGAAAATGCCTGGCTGTAGAAGTGGAACGCAAACCGAGAAGAGGCAAGAGAAGGCAAATGAGCAAAAGAAATGGTGGTTGATCGAGGGATCGAACCTACAAAAAAGAGGGTATGAGCCTGGGCAGAAGTTTGGGACTGTAACACCCGTCGACCAGAGCCTGTCCAGGGATTTTCTCAACCCTGCGCTTGGAACCGCTACGCTTGGAACCGCTACGCCACAACGCCGTTGGATTGGAAGCGTAGCGGTTCCTGTTGAGGGCCTGGGACCGAGAACTTGCCTATATACCTCCTCCCTACACTACCCACAATCCACCTCCTTCCCTGCCCTGCTTTTCATCCCGTCAACCCGCATATTTGTCCCAGTAGAGTTCGTCAGAACACATTCATTTTGCTTGCTCTTAACTTGGGAAGTTGAATGCTCTCGGTACATGACGCCTTGCTCTTTGCCTCGCTAGATGCCTTGAGAATTCAGCAAGTCCAACCCATACATTTCAGATCAGTATAACGCGCCACCCCCCCCCCCCCCCCCCCCCCCCCCCCCCCCCCACCCAACTTCTCCCTCCAACTTCTCAGAGCGATGAGGTTCCATGACTGGCAACATTCTGGCCTGAACAAGCTCGATTGCAAAGAAGCAGCGCTATGCTTGGGTATAATTACGTACACAAGTCAAAATGAGTAGGCAAATGTCTGACAAGAGACGGAATCCAGATTCCAGAACCTATCCTTCCTTGTTCCACACGCCAAGTCAGGTCAGAAGATCTTACTAAGAACTCTCTGGACTTGCTCGGGTTGCTCGTCTTGTTTCCTCTTCTTTGCCAGCGGTATTTGTTTGAACGTCCGTCTTCTCTCTTGCGTAGTCCCGCCGTTAGCCACACCAGCCCCATCCGCGGCCCCCTCCTCCTCCTCCACGTCTCCCTTGGAGAGCTTTTTCCTCTTCGCGGCAGCCTTGGCCTGTATGCCGTTGAGAACCTTGGCCCGCTCGACGTTCCGAACGAATTCCTTGTTCTCCCGGGTCGTCCTGCTGATTTCGGCGCGCATTCTGCTGGCACGCTCGGCGTTCTCGGCAGCGATTTGTTCTGTTAAGTGGTGCCTAGAGCGATGGGAGGTCAGTTTCGTCCTGGTTTTAACTAGCAAAAGATCCAAACACACCATTTGAAACCCTTCAGGTACTTCAGCGCCCACACATCGTCGCGGTACCAGCTGGATTTCTTGCCGCCAATGGTTTGCGCGTTGAGCAGGTCGCATGCCTTCTTGGCGTCCTTCTTCTTCACAAATTCCACCCACCCCTCGGTGTAGCACCGCTTCTTGTTGCCCCCGTTGCGGACGCGGCGGCTGTGCTCGGCGGGGTCCTCGGGCGTTAGGAAGATTCTGTTGATCTTCCCGTAGGGCTCAAGAAGTGATCGTAGTTTTTGAGGCTTCATGAAGGGTGGGATTCTTGACAGGTAGACTACGCCAGACTTTTTGATGGCCGCCTCAGTCGCAACGAGGTTCTTCTTGGTAATTGGTCTTGTGATGTCGGGGAGTTCCAGCTTTTGGCTCTTGGGCAATTGGCTCGTCCCATCCTGTTCGCTCGGCTTTCCGTCCTCACTCAAGTTTTTCTTGGATTCAGTATCGTCGCCCTCTCCCAATTCTGCACCATCAGCATCGCTCTCGTCCGGCTCGGCATCACTGTCGGGGACCTCCACTCTCTGACGCTTTGCACTTCGGCCTCCTTTCTGTAAGTCATCGTCGGAGTCGTAGTCGCGGCCCACATCGTCGTCGCTGTCGCCAGCGTCAAGGAATTCGTTTCGGTTGCTGGAAGACATGCTCAAGGTATTGCGGTCACGGAAGAAACTGTTCGAGCCAAGAGACTGACGTTGGAATTGGCTGTCCAGGGCGACACCCGAAAATTGGTCGATAAGTTCTGGCCCCGCTCTTATCTTATCGATGCTTATCTTATCACAATCTCCATAGACCGAAGATCGGAGACGGGGGGGCATGGATCCATTGCTGCCGCAGTTACCCGTTACATTAATTGGGATAGGGGAGGAGGGGATGATAGGGCGACCTAACTTCACCTAAGCAACGTTTCTCCTCCTAAGATTCATATCAAATTTCCACCTTAGAGTTGGAAACCACATAGCAGCACATTAACCCTTACTTCACGCGCCATGTCTGTCGAGGTGATCACGACCATATCCCCCACAACCGACGAGCCTATCCTCGTACGCAACGGCATCTCGGCGACGGAGCTCGAGGAGCTCCCCAAGAATGCAGTCCAAGCCTTCGAGTCATGGCGGGCAACCCCGCTGAGCAAACGACAGGAAATCATCAAGAGCGCTCTCAAGATCCTCGACAAAAAGAAGGATGAGCTGGCCACAGAGCTCACCGTCCAGATGGGCCGTCCCATTGCCTACACAGCCAAGGAAATTGCCACGGCCATCAAGAGGTCAGAGTATCTCCTCAAGATTAGCGACGAGGTTCTGCAGGATACGCCGGGAGAGGCAGAGAAGGGCTTCAGGAGGTTTATCCGCAAAGTTCCCGTGGGGCCCGTCCTCATCATCTTTGCCTGGAACGTAGGTGCGCCTTAGCAGGATGCCCGGAGGCACAATCGCTGACAAAGTGCTAGTATCCATATTTAATCCTCGTCAATGCCTTGATACCAGCACTCCTGTGCGGCAACTCGGTCATCCTCAAGCCCTCTCCTCAGACGCCCACCGTCGTCGAGCAGGTAGCCAAAGCCTTCACAGAGGCGGGATTGCCCAACGGGGTGATACAATACTTCCACTCCGGCTCGCCCACTATCATCGAGTCCATTGTCCGAAATCCCAAGGTCGCCCTGGTCTGTTTCACCGGCTCAGTAGCAGGCGGTTTGGCCGTTCAAGGCGCTGCGTCAGATCGCATCGTCAATGTCGGCTTGGAGCTTGGGGGAAAAGACCCCGCATATGTTCGTGGAGATGTCGACATTGCATGGGCAGCCGAAGAAATCGTTGACGGCGCTGTTTTCAACTCGGGACAAAGCTGCTGCTCCATCGAGCGCGTTTATGTGGATGAAACGATCCATGATGAATTCATCTCTGCTGTCCAAAACGTTCTCAAGGGATACAAGCTCGGGGATCCCCTTGACAAAGACACGCACCTCGGTCCAGTAATCTCAAAGCGGTCAAAGGAAACCATTCACACCCACATCAAGGACGCATTGGACAAGGGTGCGACTGACGCCACGCCCGCGAACGACACGTTCACTAATCTTCCTGAGCGAGGGAACTTCGTTGCACCGACCCTGCTTATAAACGTGGACCATAATATGACAGTCATGAAAGACGAAACCTTTGGACCCGTCATTCCGGTCATGAAGGTGAAGAGTGACGAGGAGGCAGTGAGGCTAATGAATGACAGCGAATTTGGCTTGACAGCTAGCATATGGACAAAAGACACGGAGAAGGGCTATGAGTTGTGCAATGAAATTGAGGCCGGTACCGTTTTCGTCAATCGTTGCGATTTCCCCAGTCCGGTAAGTTGGACATTGGATCCTGCGCTGTTGAATGCTGCTGACACAGACATGCAGGATCTGGCTTGGACAGGGTGGAAGAACTCCGGAAAAGGCGTTACTCTAAGCAGATATGGTTTTGACCAGTTTGTCAAGCTAAAGAGCTATCATTTGAAGGCCTACCCTAAATAGGGGGCATCTGGACCTTGAGCGCCACAACTGACGCAGGGAGGAATCCAGCAAGGGATCTCGTCAGCGCCGCATATGGGATTCAAGTCTAATAAATGACAGATCGTTGTATTCTCGATGAGAGAATCTCAGGTGATTGCGGCACATTCCAAAATCCTCGTCAGCGCGGTGCGGAACCGGCCTGAACGTCCCCCGGACCTGCTTCCCCTGCCGACTCACATTCCTACTCCCTAACCCTACTTCGGCCCTTTAGTTAAGGGGCACGTTCCAGAGCTATGGGATCGTCGATCCGATGCGGCGGTATTTCTCTGACATTTCCCACCCTCCCTCGGTTATGTGCCGCCAGCATTTTCTTTGTATGCCGAACCCGTGGTTTGAGTGCCATGCATCATCGGCCCAGCTTACAAAAAGGGGAACTTTCAGGAGACGGGATGGTTTGTTAATGACAAGCTCAACTCCCTCTTGCCACTCCTTTGTCCTCTTGATCCTCAGTTCTGTGTATTCGTCCCACGCTCGTTTCAGTTCGCCCATTGTGGCATCGCACTCGTTTCCATCCCGCCGGTGTCGTCGTCGTTGCAAGCCCTCGCGCTCATTACTTCATCCTTACAAATCCCGTCCTCAACTGTGGCATTGTTGTCTTGCCACGTGCCTATCCTGCGCATCCTCAGTCAGGATATCTTGATATATACAGCGAACAGAGGCCCGTCTTCTAGAGTCTGCTCGCCTCTTCCCCTCCTGCCAACCAACCCAACGGTGTCTCGAAACCCGAAGCTATCAGTATCTTTCAAATGGACACCATGGGCATGTGTTGCGACGTCAAGAAACTCTACTCTTCCGTGCAGGATATGGTCGGCCTCCGGCGCAAAGAGGCCGTCAAGCGCCCGTTGCAAATCGTCCGTCCTCAACCCCATCACGTGTTACTTCCCGCTTGAAGCAAGCACCAGTCTAACCCCCAATTCACACACCAGTCGGAACCGTACAATTTCAAAAAAGTGACTACCATCCTGCCCGGCTTCACAGAGGACGAGTACGTTACCCTTCTCTACCCACCTTTACCGTCACTCAACACTAACATGCCACCCAACCTAACCAAACAGACTCGCCGTCCTCCGCGAAAAAGCAGCCGCTTCCCGCCTCGGAGTCGCCTCCTACCACCACCACCAGCACCACCATCACCACCAGCGGGACAGAGACAGCAGCGCCGCCAGCCTCCTCCCGCTCTCCCCGCCATCATGCTCCTCTTCCCGCCTGTCCGGCCCCCTCCCTCCGCTGCCCCTGTCCCCTTCCTACTCCTCCTCCTCCTCGGCGATAGCTGCGGCAGGAGCAGGAGCATTCTCGCCCTCGCCCACAGGGACTGAATCTAGCACTGGGCCTGTGGTGGTAGCTACCGCCAGCGCCAGCGGTTCGTCTGCTGCTTCATCATCCCGAGTGGGGGGTGGTGGTGGTGGCGGCAACATGCCCGTTCCGGTCCTGCCCATGCCCATCCCCATTTCTTCGAGTAATAATAATAATAATAATAATAATAACGTGCCACATGGATGCGGGTATGGATATGGATATGGGCATGGATGTGGACATGGCAGGTCGGGCTCGTCGTCGGTCACGGTGCGGAGTACCAGTAGCAGCAGCGGGATTGCCAATTGCAAGACAGGTGGTGGTGGTGGGGTTGGGAGTAAGACGTACTCGATGAATGATCTGATGTTGCTTGGTTACGGTGGTGGTGAAGACCATCATCATGATCATCATGACGGGGGCGCCGGCGCTGGGGTGGATCTGGATATGATGGACGGTGGTATGGAGATGGAGTTTGACTTTGATTTGGAGATGGATTTTGGGTCGGCGCTTGGTCTTAGTAGTGGTGGTGGCGGTTTGGCGCTGCCGCCGTCTCCTTTTGCTCCCTTTGCGACGAGCGGGTATCATGTCGGAACGGGCACGCCGGGGTTTAGTAGGGTGGGCAGGAAGGGGAGGGGTGGGATTTGAACGGGGATTGTTGGTGGTGGGTAGGGGAGGGTGGTGTAGGGCAGGATGGTGTAGGGAAAGGGGGTTTCGAAAAGAGAAGGGAGTGTGCGAGTGGGTAAGGGTATGTCTGGGTCGTTGATTTTCATGCTTATGTTCCCCAGCCTTCTTTCGATCATTTTCATTTTCTTCTTACTTTCGCTCAGCGGGGCGTTGGTTTATACAAAGAGAACTCTGGGTATTGGTGTTGCTAGCACTCTAATGAGAGGGAAGTATGTACGGACGCACGGCTTAATACGAGCTGCTTCGGATGGCAGCTCCATTCGTTTGTTGTTGGGATAAAGGAAAGAAGATGGCTAGGAGTTGTTGTCGCTGCTGGGTGCAAGCATTGCAATGCCCACTTAGCCTCAAAAGTCTTGTTTCAATATCTAAACCTAATTGACTAAAAAGAAACCTAGCTGGGAGCAATCCAAAGCCACTTGGGCTGAAGTCCTGATTCGAACATCGCTGCTGGTTGACTCTGCGTCCGCTAATATCTCGCTCTAAGTTGAACCTGTTCTTACCTTACCCACCGCATCCTCACAAACCGTTAGTGAAGCCAGCTTCTGAACTGGTTTACATCCTCTTTCCGTATTCCTTCCGTCTCCCCCCTGACCGCCATCAGGCTGACGCGGATTCCATGCTCCTTGCTCCAGCCCTCCAGAAATTCTTTCACCTTCTGCTCCGTCTCCTTATCATCCCTCATCACCACCGCAGCAGCGTCATACCCGCCGGCACCTGGAACAACCGTCCCGTACACACCAGCCACCTTTTCCAGCGCGTCGAGCATGGCTGTCTGGCTCTCCGGCTCAATTGGCGCGCCGCTGTCCTGGCCCATCCTCCGCATCAGCTCCCGCACGGGGCGCATCGCACCCCCAATCTCGTCGGTCTTTCCCCCGCGGAGCACCTCCGCCAGTCTCTCGACGCACGCCTGCAGGCTACCGTATACCCCTGCGGCGTCGTGCGGGTGCGCGTCGCGCCAGTCGTGCACCTTCTTGACCATACCGACCGTCTGCGTGCCGCAGTCGACGTCGACCATCCGGATGGCCACGCCCGGGGGCAAGGCAACCGGGTGGATGTTGTAGTCCCAGTTGTCCTTCTCCACCCCGTCGCCAACGGTCTTGGTCACCAGACTGGCAAAACCGGCTTCCCCTGGGGCGACCCCCGGTACCAGGCTGGGGCTGAAGCGCTGGTAGACCGAGGAGCCGTAGACGGCCGTCGCCACGTCGAAGCCGCTGCCAATCTTGCCCTGCGCGGCGCAGTGCGCGAGCTGCGCCAGGTTGTGCAGAACGCGTCTGCCCGCGGGAGAGGTTATGTCGAAGGCGCGCGGGTCCATGTAGTGCGCGAGCAGAGCGGCCGTTAGTGAGGTGACGATGGCGGCTGAGGAGCCTAGTCCTGTCTTGTGCGCATCGCGCAGGGTCGTGCCGTAGTGCCTGAAGCGATGCTGGCCATCTTTGCCAGCTCCAGCGCTCGCTTCGTCGGCTGGCGAGAGCGGGCTGGAGTAGTAGTCGTTGTCGGCAAGGACGACGAAGGAGGCGGGCTTGAAACTGCCCTTGGTGCGGTCCTTATCCGCATAGGCGATGTACGTAAGGACGTAGTTGAGGGTTGTCTCTATAAAGTGGTTTGCGTCGACCGGAGGACCCCTGGTGACCTAGGTGAGCAAAATGTTCCGAAATACATACGGTGTCCTTGAGCTTGACAGGAAGGACCAAACTCACGTTTGCAGCTGAGTGACCTTAATCCCGCCGTCATTGTCAACGAGACGGTAGCCGTATCTCCAGGTGGCGTTCAAGAACTGGGGACTTTGCACGACAATCTCGGAGATGTGCACGCCCTCGCTGGTGGGTATCTCGTGGGCGAGGACATGGATCCGGGCACTGAGGCCGAACACGAGGCCCGTGTAACGGCGGTCGAGAACAATGTACCCGCCAGCCAGGAGAACCTTGCCAGGAGCCGAGACGGCAACGGTGGGGTTTCTCTCAGCTATTGTTGTGTCGGACATTTTCCTTTGGGAGCTTGTGATGGGCGGTGTTGTTGTTGTACTTGATAGGGCTGAGAGAAGATTGGTTAAGATAGGGTAGAAAAAGGGGGAATAACTTAGAACGTTGCTCGGAACTGACCGGACGATTATGAATAACTAATGGCCACAGTTGAAGCAATGTTTTGGCATCAATTGCAGTTAGCCAGGCGTTCAAGGGTTAATCATCACATTTATTGTTTTGTTTCTGTGTTTGGTTTGCTTGCTTCTACAATCAAAGGGACGGAGGCATGTGTTCGGATAGTTCTCGCCCTAAGACCTGGAGCACCAGGAGGGGTAATGCCCGGCGGCGGGGCAGGTCCTGATTGGACCATTACGGGGCATTTGAGCAAGTCGACAGGAAGCTGAGTGAGACGCATTTCATGAGTTTCTGTGATCTGGAAGGAATGATGATGTTGTTTCGACCTGATTGAGTGAGAGCGAGTCTTTGTCAATGTCATATGTACGTAAGGTCCGATGGGGAAGTAGGTAGGTGGCTGGATGGCTCATTCCTCAGCAGTCATCCTAAACGCTAATGAGGTAGGTACGAAGTACGGAATACGGATAGTGTAAGAAGAGACAGCAATTTGCATCACGCCGACATCAAGAGCAGCGGAAGCACACAAAATCTCATGGAGTTCAAGTGAACGTCGGGTGAAACGTCCGATGAGGTATGAAGATGAAAAGCATGAATGTAACAAATTAACGGCGGGACTTGGCGGATCTTCGGACTTCTCAGCCCTCCGAGCTTGACTCGGTGCTCAGCCGAATGTCCCCGGAGATAAAGATGCCGTGGCACCAAGCTCTCGGTGCCTGTCAGCCGGGCTACGACGTCGAGTCAACTCGTCGCGGGGAATTTTCGTTTCCTGAGGCACATGTGACCCCCCATGGCATCCCCCACCTTTCTGGTTGGCGATCTGATACAGCAGCGGGAGCCCACCATATTCAGGGGGATTGTTGCCCTGTCTTGCTACGAAAAATCCGATGATGAAAAGATTGGATTCTATGTATTTACTCTAAGGAAAGGTAAATAAACGAATACTCACCGGTCCAAACCGATCAGATTATGCATCGTGGCACTGCGAGAGCAATCCCCAGCTCAACATTATCATACACTTCTACAGTGACTCGAGTAGGTATAGGTGACCTGGGATTTTCGTGAGGGTGTTCCTGAAAAAATAGGAGACAGGCTTCATGTTTGGGAGCCTTAACGTTAACCCTAACCAGGGATACAACTCCTGCGATTTGAGTTGTTAGTGAAGGATAGGAAGGCAGGCGTTTTTAGGTGAGATATCCATCATCCCACTAACACTTGGACTTGGCCTCGTTGCATGGCTGAGCCTAAATGACCGCCATAGCCCCTGCTCCCACGCAGCCCTAGGGGCCTTCTCCCGCCGGTTTCTCTTCGTTCTTTTACGTGTCCCGGGACATGCCCCGCCTCAGCCCGCGCCCGAGTCTTCCGTCAGCACGGTCCCATTCGTCATCTTCTGCCTGGATTGCGGGGGCCCTTGTCGTCACCGCGCGCGAAAGGAGGGTATTGTCAAAGTGGACAAGTGCGCGAGAAGACACTTTGCTTTCGCGGCCGGCTCGAACTTGCCATCTGTTCTTTTCGGCTCTTATGGTATGTGACCGCTGGACTGGATGATGCCTAATATAATTAGCCAATGTCAAGGCTCGGTTTGACTGCAGGAGCCTTTGATGCTTTTGAGACGCCTTTATTCAGGTGAAGGGTGAGCTCTGCATTTCCAAGTGTACCGTATCCAGTACTCCATACCCGCGTCCCAAGCAATAAGAGGCCGCTCCGAATCCACCCGCGGGAACGGGAAGCGAGAAAAAAAAGTCGCACTTCGTCCGAATCGATCCAATCACATCTGGATTCGTTTTGCGGCCACAGATCCTCACGCACCCCTGCAACCCATCGATATTTGAAAAACGACAATCACCGCCCCTTGCTTCCTCTCCCCTCTGATGCTGTTCAACTCCTAAACATCAATTAATCCAATTCAATCCGGATCGCGCGTTTATTTGACGGCTTCACTGTCCGTCAAATGAACCTGCAAATACGCATCCTTCAATTCTTCCCTGTAAGTTTATGTCAAGTCATTCCCTGAAAACATGTCGCGTGCGCGGCGCTCATCCCGGACGATCCGGTCCGCCGGAACCCGCGTTGCGTTGCGATCTGCCCACGACAAAACTGTCGATTTCGTGGTAATCAGTTGAGGCAGTCTGACAGTCTGCTGACCATTCTTTCCAACAGACTCCCTCCACTCTAGGTGTCTCCTAAATGCCCTCCGTTTACTCGTCGGTCTTCCAGAACTTTATCCGACAAGGATTTTCAAAGTCTTTCACCCACGGCTACGCCCAGTCGGTCGTAGCTGCCACCCATCCTCATGTTCTAAACGCGCAGAACCGCCCGTCGTTTGCGCGGCGAAACACCGCAAGGGTTGGCCGGATCTCAGCCCTAGGGCTACAGACCGCCTTCCATACCGTCAGCTCGTACGCAGCAGCTGGTCCGTTAGATCACCGCCATGACAAGGTAATCAGCCATGGCGGCTTAGACGCCTATTTCGAGCACCTCCAAAAGGCCCAGGCTACCCACTCCGAGGGCGCCGATCATGAGTGGGTTCAGTTCCAGTTCCCCAAGCGCATCGAATGGAAGCCCACAGCCGCCTCGGTCCTCGGCTCCGACCCCAAGACTCTCGCCCTAGGCAGCGAGGAAGCAACCTCCAGCGATGACGTCCCGAGGGTGCCGCCAGAGGCCGAGGCGGCCCTGGCTCATATCGATGCAGCCATAAACAAGGAGATCGAGGTCCGCAAGCAGCTGGAGGCCCTGGAAGAGGAGGTGGAATCCCTCCGAGCAGTGTCTCCAGCCTTGGCCGAGCAGCTTGAAGAGGAAATCCGCTCGCGGACTATCACGCCTCTGTCGCGCACTCGGACGCCGGCCAGCATCGCCCGCTCCGTCACGCCACCAGTCGACCCGCAGTCCCAGACCTATGCCGACCATCTTACCAAGCTCTCCGAGGCCGGTCGCTATGCCGAGATTCCGGCCGTCTTCGAGGCCATGTTGGTTGCCAATGTCAGGCCGATCGCGACTGCATACAATGCCCTTCTCATGGCGGCGATCCATCTGCCGTCCGAGAAGTGGGAGGTCGTTTCCAAGGCCCTGGATGTCTACGCTGACATGCTGCGGCGGAAGATCCACCCGGACAGCGACACGTACAACATCCTAGTCGGACTGCTCGCCTCACGCTCGCTGGAGGTTACATCGCTCAAGCAGATTCTCGAAGACAAGCGTGTCCGTTTCGGGGGTATGGACGAGCCTGGCAAGTTCATGCTGGCGTCCCACGAGCTTGAGCATGCCATTCTGTGCGAAGATGATCGCTTGGACCTTGCGGTCAAGCTGTTTGAGTCGTCCGTATCATCAAACAAGGCGCTGTACTCGTCCGAGACGTATCATCAACTCATTTCGGCTTGTGCCCAGGCTGGTCGCGTCTCTGACATGCTCCGGCTGTTTGAGCATATGGAATCTACCCGGACCACGCCATTCGCCGCCACGTTTCCGGCCATGATTACGGCGTTTGCCAACTCCGGGGATCTTATCAGCGCCGTTGAGTGCTACAACGAGTACCGCAACCTGGCCATCGCGAACGACAAGGGTGAGTCTACGCTGCAGGATCGGCTAGACGCCCAAGTCTATGCTGCCGTGGTAAACGCCTATGTAATCTCCGACAAGCTCGAAGGTGCCATGAAGTTCTACATGAAGATCGTGCAGGAGTACGGTGTTCGCGCTTCTGACATCAAGGATGCCATCATTGCCAGCGGTTTCGTCAAGGGTTTCATCGACCGCGGAATCTACCGGGAAGCACTCCAGTGGGCTGAGAGAATTGAGAACGAAATCAGAAGCTCGACGATGGGGCAGGTGGCTGTCGCCGCTGCCGACCACGGGGACAAGCAGATTGCTGCCGCCGCACTGGCCAGCGTTTCTACCACCGATGGCATCGCCGCTCCGGCAATTGCTCTGCTCGCAATGAGCGTCCGCGATGGCGACGTAGCAGCCGCTACCCGCTACTGGGACATGTTGCGCAGCCCCGAGGTCGTCCCAACGGCGTCCTTCATTGAGCCTACGGCCATGTACGCAGTCGCCATGATTGGCTCCGGCCAGATTCTCGAAGGCCTGACGGAAGCGGAGTGGATGTTTCAGCGGATCCGCGACAGCGCCGTTGACCAGAAGTCGCAGCTGACTGACGAGATTGAAGAAGGCGCCGAGTTTATATCGCGGTTCATGTCTACCCGGGGCATCGTTGATCCTCGCCTAGCCCCGCCGGTTTTGCCTTCTCCGCCGGCCCTTGCCCCGACACCATACCCGACGACCCCGACCGTCTCGAGCCAAGAGGACTCGTTCGACCCATATGCTGCCACTACTGACTTCAAGGGATCCTTCTTAATTGCTGATGAGCTAGAAGGCGCCGCCGGCCGCAAGTGGAAGTTCCATCAAGCGCTTGATCGCTTCAAGAACATGCGCCGCGCCGGCCGTCATCCCCGCTATGTCACGTACGCCAAGCTCATCTCGGCCGCTGCTCGGCACGGAAGGGCAGACATTTGCCGTGAAATCCTTGCCACGGCACGTACCGACGTCCCCTTGCTCCCTGAGTACGCTGTGGTTCGATACGGCTGGACATCGATACTCGATGCTATGGTAGGCGCTTGCCTTACTCTCGGTGACAGGACTCAGGCCGAGCAGTACCACCAGGAACTGCTTGCCATGGGTGCTGCCCCGTCCGCCAACACGTTCGGTCTCTACATCACCACGCTGAAGGAGTCGGTCAAGACCTTTGACGAGGCGACGGAGGCGGTCAAGATTTTCCAGCGCGCAAAGGCCGAAGGCGTTCAACCGAGTTCGTTCCTGTACAATGCCATGATCGGAAAACTTGGCAAGGCCCGTCGCATCGACGACTGTCTTTTCTACTTTGCCGAGATGCGATCATTAGGCATCAAACCTACCTCGGTCACCTATGGCTCCATTATCAACGCGCTATGCCGCGTCAGCGACGAGAAGTTTGCCGAGGAGCTCTTTGACGAGATGGAGGCCATGCCGAACTACAAGGCCCGGCCGGCGCCGTACAACACCATGATGCAATTCTTCTTGACCACAAAGCGCGACAAGACAAAGGTCCTGGAGTACTTTGACCGCATGAAGACAAAGGGCATCGCCCCAACAGCGCACACCTTCAAGCTCCTCATCGACGCCCACGCCAGCCTCGAGCCCATCGACATGGACGCCGCCTCGGACGTGATCGGCATGATCCGCGCCGCCGACCAGCAGCCCGAGCCCGTCCACTACGCCTCGCTGATCCACGCGCGGGGGTGTGTCCTGCACGACATGGAGGGCGCCCGCCGCGCGTTTGACAGTGTCATGAAGGACCCGACCGTCCCGCCGCACCCGTCTCTGTTCCAGGCGCTCTTCGAGGCCATGGTCGCCAACCACCGCGTCGCGGATACCGAAGCGGTGATGGAGATCATGCGCGCCAGGGGCGTGGAGCTGACGCCGTACATTGCCAACACGCTCATCCACGGCTGGGCCGCCGAAAAGAAGATTGCAAAGGCCAGGGAGATGTACGACGCCCTTGGCCCGGACCGCCGCGAGCCCAGCACGTACGAGGCCATGACGCGCGCGTATCTTGCTGTGGCTGACCGCAGGGCTGCTGAGGAGGTGGCTGGTGAGATGCTTGGCAGGGGGTATCCCAATGCGGTCGTCAACAAGGTCCTTGAGCTCCTCGGTGGTGGTGGCGGTGCTGGTGCTGGTGTGGTGCATGAGATGGCACCCGCTGCTACTGCTGTGGCTGCTTAGCTTGGTGGTGGCTTCAATCTGTGGTGATTGTATGCATGCATGATTCCCGTTTGTCATGTCCGGATCCTCTTTCCTTGCGCGCTCTGCTTTTTCTTTGTTTAAGTAGGGAAATGATACCCCCTGGTGTGTGTGTGACTTGGCGGAGTGGGAGTGGCGGGTTGTGTCCTTGGTACTGGGCCAGGGGGGGTTGGCTGTCTTGCGAGCGGGGGAGAGCTGAAGGTTGAGATGTTTTCTTATGTCTTTGTCTCCTTTGTCTATTTGTCGTGTCGTTAAAAAAAATGCGTGGGGTTTCGGTCTAGCGGCATGGCGTTAAGGGGATAGACGGGTTCGGCTGTGTTGGGCTGGAGCGGGAGCGGAGAGAGAGACCTGGAGCCACGTGTGGCTCGGCTCGGCTTAGTGGCCTGCTTCATTTTCAGTTCGTGTTATTATTTGCTCGATTATTTATTCCTTTCCCTTTCGGTGGGCCCTGAATCAAGGCGGGTTTGAGGGCGGTGGACAAGACGAACTTGGACGGGTCACTTTGGGACGGGATGGGGATAACCTAAGCAAGCGATTATGGGTTGGGTCAGGGCGGCGGCGGGCAAGATGGGTTTGGGTTTTGCGATTGTGCAACTCCCTCTTGCGATTATTAGACACATCTCCACTCTGCATAAGAAGAAGAAGAAGAAGCGAACAGCTATCTGTTTGGTCATATAAAAGAAGATTTTTCTTTTACTGTTACTGTACTTATAGAAGCGAGGAGTAATAGAGGAGGTAGGTGGGATCGCATGGCATGGCATAGGTATGGGTTGCATGGGATTGTGTGAACTTGAGCTAGATTAGGGTGGATGGGGATGGGTTCATCGCGGAAGAGTGTTGAAGACTGGACTGGGCGGAGGTTCGTTTGTAATGCCAGAGCCTAGAGCTGTGCGATCGTGACTTGCTTCTATATGTACTACTAGTAGTGTAGTGTACTTAAAATACGACGGAGCTGTTCGTGGATGACCTCCTCCTAGTGTGTGTTCTTACCGGACTTGTTCAGAGTATTACCCGTTGGCCTTCTGAGAGTTGAAGTGCCCTTACTAACCCAGGGTTCCAATGCATCAATGCTGCATTGAGGAAGGCAGTTCCTGCCCTGACATAAATTGAGGGATTGAGTTGGGTTCAGCCTAACGTTCAGCTGAGGTAGCCATTAGGCAACTACTTCCACTCCCAACCATTGCTCTTTCCCTTCCACATGGCCATCAGCCCAAATGGGCAGCAACAATTTTCCAGACAGCTCGTTCTGACACCAAGATCAAGTGATCAACCCTGTTTCGACGACCACACAGTTGCATCCTCGCACTCGCTGCATATATACGGTATACCTGGGACCTGCGTAATCGGTCCAAAACGAATCCAGCCCATGATAGGAGACGACCGCATACGACTGCTAGACATATTACCAGGAGGACCCGACGATCCCATCTGTGCGAGGCTATTCAGTGTTTCGCTCAGCGAATCTCCAGCGTACGAGGCGCTGTCGTACACATGGGGCGATCTGTCTCGGGTGAAAGAGATCCAAGTTTCTCACGAGAGCTCAAAAAAAGAGGGTACTTCTAGTAGTAGTACTAGTATTGTGCCAACCTGGGTCACGTCAAATTGCTATGCCGCTCTGAGACGGCTTCGCCAGGGCGCCACCGACCGCTCGCGGACCGTCTGGATATACTCGATCTGTATCAACCAGGCCAATATTGACGAGAAGAACCACCAACTGACGCTCATGAAGCGAATCTACGAGAAGGCGTCCTGCGTCATTGTCTACCTCGGCGAGCATGCGGATGACAGCGACAAGGCCATGAATTGGATCCAAGAGATCGATACACCTTCTGGCTATGCTAGTACGAGCGGTGACGAGACGGAGCTCCTTGACCTCAACTTGGATAAGTCCATTATGGAGGCTCTCTTTCGCCGCCCTTGGTTCAGGCGTGTCTGGGTGCTACAGGAGGTGTGGGTGGCCAAGAAGGCAGTTGTGTACTGCGGTGATCGGTCGGTGAGTTGGGACAGCTTCCGTGCCTTCTACCATTGGAACGTATCCTGCCACTTGATCGACGAGCTGCCATACGTTGTCAAATCGGGGCCTGGAAGGTTCCCCTACCTCACATTTGTCGAGAAGCTGATGCACGAGCTTCGAGATACGAGCAATTGCGAAGCCAGCGATGAGAGGGACAAGTTGTATGCCATCTTGCCGCTCATTCAGCAGTCGAACATCGAGGGTGATGCTGAGGGGAATAAGGCGATCAAGGTGGACTATCATCTCTCTCCTACACAGGTCTTTATCAACCTTGGAACATACCTCGTGTACGCCTTAGGACCCGAGGTCATGACGGAAGTCATTGGTCCTTCAGCGCTGTCCGGATTGCCGTCTTGGGTGCCCGACTGGAGCATGAAACCAAGGCGTAAGCTATTCCCAGGTTTTGGCAAGTGGCATCACAGGGTAAGAACAACAGAAGTGCAGGTCTCAAAGGCTCGGAATACCGACGGCGAGCTTCTCTACGAACTCCATGGGCTCGGCAGGCAAGAGGGCTCCATAGTCTTCGTTGGCGACAAATGCGACCTACAGAACGACGTATTCCCACTTGCGCCGTGGCAGACTATGGAGTCTGTCCAAGAAATATCACGGCAAGAGTTCTGGAATTCGATTAGAGGAATGCACGAGTATGTCCTAGACATTCTGGAGGAGCGAGTCCAGGCATACCACGAAGAGTATGAAGCAATCGCATCTCCAAGAGCCGCACAGGATGTTGAAGTCCCCATGGGCGACAAACAGCCATCGTCAAACCGCCAGACCACCCTGGTCGACTTCTGTATGGCTGGTTATATAGCGACTGCCCTGGCAAATATGCAATCCGTATTCGCCACTTGCGATGGCCGACGGTATTTTGTAACCGACACGGGCTTGCGAGGTCTCGCTCCAGAGGACTCTAGAGTGGGAGACTTCGTATATCGTATCGAGGGAGCCCCAAGATGTCCGTTCATTTTTAGGGCCCATCGAGAAGAATCCAGATGCGCTGGCAGCCAAGAACAGGAAAGAATAACGGAAAGTAAAGCCACTAGGAGATTCAAACTTGTGGGCCACTGCTACGTGCATTGGCGTATGGATGTGCCTGATACTGTTACAGAAAGGATTGTAATCCGGTGAATTTGACTAAACAGTTTCAGCATGGCAGAACATACGGAGGTACATCATGATGTGAATGAAATCAGGGGTGTCTGATACAAGTCTCTTCTTCCACTGCACGACAGGTTCAGCTGGAATCCCACTGCAGGAAAACTACCTTACCTAGGTTGGCGCCGCTCGCAAGAAGAAAACGGCAATCTTCCACACTCGAGGCCAGTTTGATTAGACAGTTGACAGTATACATATAAGGACTAACCTTATGACCACTAGTCCGACAATTTTGCCTTCCTTACATCGTTCGATGTTCCCTTATGAGAACCTCCATTAACAGCCCCGGATGTTTCCACCAGCGCCTTTTCTAGTTCCTCAACTGGTCCTTCGGGCCGCCCTTCGGCATCAGATTCCTTCCTACCAATGGCCAGAACATCCCTTCTGATCGCCCACCCTCCAGACCATCCAATCCATCCCGTCTCCCTTGGACCTCGTGCAAGGCACACAATCAAGGCAAGACCAATGAAGGCAACTTTGAACGTCGGAGTAAGCGGGCAATCACCACCACCGGACTCAATAGGTAGAACGTCAGAAACTTACTACTGCACCCTCCGCTATACACCCACCCGCCATGGGCATACAGCCGATTCCCCACGGCCGTCCCAGTCAGCTGCCCAGAAAACGCAGCTACCATGTACGCCGTGTTAACCCTGTTCCTCGCAGCGGGCTGGATCCCATAGATGGCCGCGCGATTCGCAATCTGGGTGAACTGCCCTCCGATATCAACCAGAATGGCCTGTACCACAGGGCCGGCGACATGGAACGAGCCAGTAAATGTGCCAACGACCGTGCCAGCCAGCTCGACCAGCAGGCCGACGAGGGCCGAGAACAGCGGCACCACCTTGTCCATGACCAACCTGCTGTACACGGGCGCCGTCAAGATTACCACGACGCCAATGAGCCCAAACAGCCCCACCGCAGTTGTCGAATACCGAAAGGGCTCCGACGAGAGCAGGAAGCTCAGCGTCGTCCAGAAGGACGTGAAGACGGCGCTGATGAGAAACCCCACCATCGACGCCTGCGCGAGCAGCGGCTCCGTGACCAACAGCCGGAAAATGTCGAGCAGCATGCCCAGGTACCCCACGCCCATGTCCGTCAAGGACCAATTCGATTTCAACCCCCCCGACCCGGCGTCCCCATCGCCCACCCTGCCAGAGGAGAACCCAGAAGAAGAAGGGTTCTTACTCGGGTAGTCCGGCATCCAGGCGTACAGCAGCGCCCAAACAAGCGCCTGCACGCCCAGCCCGAACCAGTACACACCCCTCCAGTCGCCCCCCGTGCCGTCCGCGAGCACGCCGCCCAGGATGCGCGCCACCAGCACGCCCAGCGATAACCCCGACACGACGATGGCCAGGGAGCTGGCGCGCCGTTCGGCTGGGGCAAGGTCCCCCACCAGCGGCAGCATCAGCTGCGGGGTGACGGTTGTCAAGCCGCAGAGGAAGGAGACGGCGCGGAAGGTGGTGAAGGAGGTTGTTACGCAGAGGGTGATCCACTGTTTTTTTCCCCCTTGGAAGGGTTGGTTGGGTTGTGGTGAGTAGTAGTACATACGCGCTACTGGTAGTATAGGTATGCTGTGCTGTGGTTGTGCCTGGCGTGGGGGTGGGTAGGTGTTTTGGGTAGGGGGTGGAAGTAAACAAAGGTGAGGCCAGGGGGTTGGATGGGGATCGGGACATGGTGAATAACTAAGTAGGGTTGGTACTAGTGGGAGGACTAACCATCGCAGCGGTGAGAAAAACCAGGCTCAGGATGAATGGCCTCCGTGGAAAGACGTCGCCCAGCGGGCACAGCAGGAGCAGACCGCCCGCGTAGCCGGCCTGCATGAGGGTGGCGACCGACGAGGCCTCTTCAAAGCTCACCGAGAACGTGGCGGCCATGCGGTTGAGGATGGCTTGGTTGTAGTACAGGTTGGAGACGGTGAAGCAGGCGGCCTGATGGGAGAGTCAGAGAAGTCAGTCTCGTGACTCAGGAGAAAGTGATCGGGGTGGAGGAGGCTGCGGTAGGTAGGCCACTACTAACAAACCCGAATAGAATGTTCAGCCATATTGTGAACTTCGGAGGGTTCTCCGGGTCGTAGCGGGCTGGTTTGGGCTTCCAGCTCCATAGGCGGCTGATGATGTCCCGTTTTCCGGCGTCATTGGTGGTCGTATGGGATTCGTCGACGGGTGTGTTTGTGTTTTCATCGGATGATTCTTGGGGTTCTTTGATCTCCGGCTGCGGAAACCCTTTTCCGTTGTTGGCCTGGGAGCTGCACTCTGGGGTCGGCTTCTGATCGTGATCGTGCCCCTGAGACTGAGCCGTCTTCGTACATGACATCGTACTACTAGCAGTACACGACATTGTCTGCGAGTTGTCTGGTGTCTAGAACTGCTCGTTCCTGTGAAAGAGGAGTGAGGTTCGGTATACCGGCAGAAATCCAACAGGCAACAGCATCATGCTGGGTTGTGTGGGTACTAGTACCGTAACGTTATGCTCGATTGTCCAAGCACCTAGGTAACGGCGGGTAGATCGCCCCGGCTTGGCATGTTGAGCGGATCCGACGGAGCGGGCCGTCAATCCACACGTGTATCTCAGCAACTGGTACGGAGGCGCCGTTATCTACATGCAAGGTGGAGGCCTAGTAACGGCCGGGGCTCGGCAGTTGACGAGCCGATTAGACCCATCCTTCCTGGCAGTCGAGAGCTTATGCACAGAGATATCGAAAAGTTGACGGCATTCTTCGTCCTGGCCCGAACCTTATATCACGTTGCCATGGGCGATTTCGGTTGCGGTGCCAAGTGTCAGCATCATATCCCCATCAGTTGCTTGGCTCGGGAATAACACGGCCAACGTCAGCTTAAGCTGGTGTGGAAGTTGACCACGGCATTCAACCGATATCCCTAGCAGGCTGGTGGGCGTTCAGCATTGTATCTAGGTCTTGGTAGTTAGCATCATTAACGTATAAGATGCCATTCAATTTCATAATGTACACCCAAAAATGCAGGGAAGCGAGGGAGAACAGGTGAAGAGGAAATGTTGAGTGCATGTGGGTCTGTTGACAAGCGCCCCCTATTTATTAGCAACCAAAACTAGAAAGTATTGGGCTTCATACTGACGATGCCGGTGACCTGGACCTGGCTTGATCATAAGGGTCCCGGCCGCGACGAAGAATCCCATAACTGCGATTACTATGTAGTAGCACTAAGATACTTCGTTTACCTACTCCCATTTCGACTATGAGATAAGTTATGACCCTGCCCACGGCCGAGGCAAAACAAGATCAGTTGATTCAGTTCTCAAACTTAGAATCAATCGTCTACACCACATGTAAACCACAGGAAGCCACAGGAAGCCGGATTAAAGTGCGCCACGGGTTTCTAGTGGACCTGGTTTTCTGAAGCTGGTTTCGAGCAAAGTTCATGCGTGTGCTCCTCTCTTGGGTCTGAAAACATGAAACAGTTCCCCCTCACAGCCCATACCTCCAGGCTCTCCCTCGGTGCGGGCAGTCCCAGTTCCGTGCCGAGTGAAGCCTGAGAAGCGCCGGTATTTTGAGCGTCTCCTTGGCATAGAATAAAGTTGTATCCTGTGACCTGTCGAACATGACCCTCATCTGTCCGCGGTCGGTTTTCTACCTCGACTCCTCGTGAAGAGTAAGGCTCAAACAAACATATCGCCTCGTATAGGGGAGATCAATCTTGCTGTCAATACCGTATGATTCATGGCATCATACCAACAATTAACAATGAGAGGCTGCATTCAAGACTCACCTGCAATGACCCAGAGACGGTTTCGGAGACTCCATCAACGCTCACATGCAGAGCCGGCCTTCCACAAGTTCGAGAGCCTCGGGTCTAGGGACCATGGCTCGAGGGATCACGACGAAGACGAAGAACGAGATGAGGACGACGGCGAAGGCGAGGGCGCCAACCCGGCTTCCATTACCCCCGGTGCTGGGCAGGGAAAGGGCAAAGGAAAGGGACAGGCGTCATCCACATTATCTACACCCGAATCATCAAGCACTTCGATTGCATCCACGTCAAGCTTGTCCTCTACGCCGCCTCCAACTTCAACTTCAACTTCGCCTTCGCCTTTGCCAGTGGCCCCTACCACAGGCCTTTCCACTTCGTCGGACTCGCTGCCATCATTATCTTCTAGTACTTCTCCGCAGTCACCATCCTCCCCATTATCCACATCGTCCATACTATCTACTAGTACATCCTCCCTGTTATCCACGATCTCACTACTATCCCCATCCCCGATGTCATCCCAGACGTCACAAACAGTGCCGCCTGGCAATGTGATTTATATCTCGCAGTCGGCAACATCTTCCATGAAGGACAGTCAAAGCAGCAGCATTATCGCTGTGCGTCCAAGTGATACCGTTTTCGTGGTACCAACATCAGCATCAGGTACGACGTACCCCTTTATATGTTCTGTACCTCGTCAAATGCTTACTGACCAAGATGTCTCAGATCCCACCATAACTGCAGGGCTTGGGAGCATGAGAGCCCAGACCAATCTGGGCTTACCCCCTGGACAGATAGGTGGAATTGCCGTCGGCTCTCTAGGTAAGTAATTACCCTCCCTAGCCGTACATTCAATAAGTAGTAACTCACTCTCTCAAGCTGGTCTTCTCCTCATCCTTTCATCCATCTTCCTCCTATACCGCAGGAGACAAAGACGAGGCTATCCAGACCCAACCCCCAGGTCCCTCTTCAGCCGCATCCTGCCATGCTTCGCAGGACAAAACCCCTTCCGAGGAAGACCTTCCCTCAACCAAGACGACTCGGGACAGCCCGAGATGCAGGATACTCGCACCCTCATTTCGCCGCCAATCGTCACTTATCATCCTGGCGGAACCTGGCCACTCTACCACGACCACGATCACGCCGCCACAGCTGGAGCCGGGGTCGAAGCAGTCGAGGGGCCTTGGCCGAGACTCTCCGCCTGGCTCCGGCAAGTGCAAATGCGCCATCGCAACTCACATCTCTCGGCAACCGCCAACACAAACAGTTACAGGCTTCCGAGTGCTAGTACACATGCAAGCAGCAGCCACACCTCCGAGATCTCGTCTTCTCTTAGCTGGATGGCCCCAGCCGTCAGGAAGAACCACACCGGCAGCGGGATCTCCCAACCCATAGTAGCTACGCCGCTCGGCTATCCTGGACTCGGGGCTGTGCAGACACGACAGCAACAGGGGGAGCAGCAGCAGGGACAGGGAATAGGGGTAGCGGTGAGCACGAAGGAACATGGTGTCACCAGTCCCAATGAGGGTTTTGATGGCAGTAGCCTTGTCTCGCTACCTACTCCTCCTCCCGCTGTAAGAATATCCGGTTTCGGAGCTTGGTCGCCGGACGGCGGTTTTCAGGCGTCTGTGGCATCCACCAGCAGGGGAAGTTTTGGGTGATGCAAAGGTCATGTACTGTACTTTTAGCCCAGGATTCCAAGGTTGGGTTATCTTTTGAGATATCAAAAAATCCAAGGAGAACACTGCGCCCGGTGCCTTAGCCTGGTACACCTGGGCTTGAGCATCGTGGCTGTCGTCGATCGTGTTGTCGAACGTGTCGTCGATCGTGTCGTCGATCGTGCCGTGTCAACACAATAGTTCCGGTCAGGTCCTCCGACTAGGTCTTCCCGCGTGATCAATGCCACCATCCCTTCCAAGTGTCAGAGAACGCCTTCTTTCTATCGGAGAATTCCTTCTTTCCTTTATTCTTCCACATTTCGTTCAGCCATGGAATGATGACGAACGCAAGCAGAATGCAAATCACAACAACAGCAACGGTTACAGGGACTGGGAGTCGTGGTTGGTAGGTGTAAGCGAGTTCGTTCCCGTCAATGCTGGATAGGTTGAAGTACGGTCTGGGTAGCAGACTCACATATAATCCTAAGAACGAAGGCTAGTGTCATTGGCCTGGCAAGTTCCTCTATCTCTATGGCAAAGAAGGAGGTCAAGAACGATAGGGGAGCCTGCCACCGCAAAACTTCTCGTGAGCTTGACTGACAGGGCTGAGAGCCTGAGTTGTTGCTGGCAGGGTTGCCGCGCGTATACTTACAAAAACTATCGTCACAATTGTAAATGTCGTGATTGCCTGCCCTTGCTTGGCCGTCTGATCGTTTTGGATGCTCAGAAAGTGCGTCTCCTGCATGTTGGCCTGTTTCTGCTTGAGATCGAGGAGGTGTTTAAGCTGCCAACCCACACGTTATACAGTCAGCCCTTCCAACCCTTGCGTTACATATGCTGCATTCACACGCATAGTCCTCTTAGGCACTTACCGCCTCCTCGGTCTGGTACGCATAGCGGTCGATCCTTCCCACATCTTTGACTCGGGTATCAACATCTTTCACGACCGCCTTGAAGTCGCTTAAACACTCCAGAATCTCTCGTTGAGTCTGGAAGATTGTTTTGATCATCTTCAATTCGTCGCGGATGTCTTTTACTTTGTTGAGAAGCTGTGCTTCCTCGTCGATATTGAATTTGGAGCGGATTCCCTCGCCGCCCCGGCTTGGAACGTTTTCCACGTCTGATGTGAACGATCTGAAGAGCTCCGCTTCACTGTTGGCCTGTCGTAAATTGTGGTTCGTACCTGAACGTGTCCTCGGGCGACGTAGGGAGGGGAAGGGGATGGGGGTGAACGGCGGACCTACCACGCTGCAGATTTCCTCCTCGTAGATCTCCCGGACTTGGAGCCATTTCTCTCTATGCTTGCCGATATCGAAGAGAATGCCTGAACATTCATTGACGATAAGCTGCGCCACATGGCTAGCATCCAATTTCTTGCCCCGTAATGCCCTCCCGAGACCGAGTAGACGCCTCTCTATTGACGAATGCACGTTTGTGATGTCATTTCTATCGCAGTGCTCATCGAGCTGGTCACGCTGGCCACTCTGGTCACGGTTCCACCTCTGCGGAAAACTCGTTACCACTACATCTAAGGATTCATGTTAGCGACTGAAAGTTTGGCGGATACAGAGACGACAAACTCTTATCGAGCACCCACAGCCATAGCTGGTCAACCATCAAGAGAGGGAAATTGTAAACTATGCCTTTTTCGTGGGTACTTGACCCCCCGCTTGACTGTATGAAATGCAACGAGAGAGTTTGGGTCTCGTCGCGGTATGTAATGCCTTCATCGTCGAGGCTGAAGTAATGGTACTGGTCTAGGGTCCGTCGGGTATGTAAAGGACGAGGCCGGTGTAGATAATGATCCACTAGCTTTTGATGACTCTGTGGCAACGTGCCGACTTGCTCGGTTTTTTGACCGGAGAGGCTATTCAGCCCGTTCTTCTTCAAGTGCATAGCATTTCTCAGTCTGAGCCTCTCAGAATTCGTGCCCCAATGGAGGTAAGGCATCTACTGCTGATTGTAAGTTCTCCGTGAATGAATGGAAACCTCGGGTTTAACATATTGGTATGCTTACCACCACCATATACCCGTTGACCTCCGCGCCTACAATGCACTGACGGTTAGGGAATTGCTATTCGGGTGGGAAAAGAGGCTGACTTGCCGGTGATATGCTTGCAACCAGGGCGGAGACACCGAGCGTGAAGCTTCAGGTCCCTTCCGCGGATGGCGTTCGCCCAGCGGTTGGAGGGTAGCACTTTGGTCAGGTCCTCGCGATTGCTCACGAGCTTCGCCATCAATATCTTGGGATTTGTCAGCTGCGAAGTCGCAAGGAAAGACGTTACGACTGGTGTTGCAGGCTCCGGGTTTCTAACCTCGATCCATTCCATCTGCGACGTGGTTAGCTCCAGGGTAAGAACTGAATCGAACCGCAGCCTACGTTGTTTTCAGGAAGATGAATCCACCTAACGGATCTACCATTCCACTCGGATCTTATCGACGCGGCCCGGGATCTTATCGGCCCGTCTCCCAGCATGAGTTCGTCCAGTTTAATCTCAGGGGCAAGGATTTGATCAACTGTCACTGGCTTCATACAGTAATCCCTCGAGTCTGGTGAGACATCTGCGATTCTTCCCCAGAATTTATTATCGACGTCCTTAGAATCTGACCTAGGTTTTCTTGTCAGTTGAATATGCTCTATAAGAACCTGCTGGATATCTGTGGGTGCCATGGGTAAGAGCTTGTCCGGATCGAACTCAGCGCCGTGGCTCAGAAGCAGCTGGACCATTGTTCTATGCCTGGCCTTCACAGCTACTTCCAGGATTGAAAGCTGATCGGATACAGTTTGGGCAAGAACATTGGCACCAGCCGCTAGCAAGCGCCTAGCAACTTCACAATCTCCATGACGTGCTGCCAAGTGGAGGGGAGTTCGCCCCAGGCCGTCGGTGGCGTCGACGTGAATGCGAACGAGGGTCCTTCTGACAGCGCGCTGGAGCTTGAAGCGGGCCATGGTCATCGACATCTTGTGAAACGCTGATTGATCACCTCGAGCCGCCGCCCACAGTTGGAGCAATGCTCCAACCAATTGATCGTATCCTGATTCCGCAGCAATGTGTAGTATGGTGAAATTTCCGGGCTGCGGTTCTCCTGGGCCGTGCTTCAGCCTCCAGTACAATGCAAAGCAGCGTGTCAGACCCGGCGAGTCAGTCGTGAAGACGAACAAATATTTCTTGATCAAGTCAATGAGGTCCCCCTCGGTCTGTGAGGACTGCCGCCCGTGCTCCATCCAGTAGAGCACTGGGTACTCGAGAATATCGACTTCAGTATTGGCGACGGCTTCAGCAATGTAGTTGAGACAGCGTTCGGAGACTTTCCTGTGCTGGATCTGTAGGGAACCGTAACCGAGGCTTTTCCTAGCATCATCGGACGCCAAGAGAGTCTTCAATGAGTCGTTGATGAGGTAGATTTTGTTATCCCTGACTTCGATCAGCGATCCACATATCGTCCTCAATCTCCTCTCCAACTCCAGCGTCTCACGGTCATTGGCCACCTTCTTCACGGAGTCTGATAGTATCTCCAGGACATGGAAAGATACTGGGCCACAGGCAACGGCCATCACTGCGAGGATACTCTTCAGCGCCTTTTTGATGTCGTCCTCAGCGGTCTGAAACATTTTCGAGAGTGCTGGCTCGTATATCGAATATTGCAAGACCTCGGAAAGCTTGTTAGGGCCTGTAGCCCCAGCGTCCCGCTTGTTGGCATAGTCGAAACCTTTGGCATTCAAGTCGATCTTGAATGCGGTTGAAAATGCCGCCTCGGCAACTGGGCTATCACGGCTGAACAATAGCCATTTTGCCTTGGGGCTTACGGGCAATGACTCTAGATTTCGTTGGAGGTCTATAAGCAGCTCATCACAGTTCCCGGAAGTATCGACGATGAAGTAAGCGACTTGAACCCGATGATCGCTAATGATAGCTTGAATGACCTTCCAGAGCTTGTCCGGGTTGGAAAACAACCCGCTTCCCACGTCTGGTTCTTTAAAGACATCGAGTAGATGGCCTATCAGATCTGGCAACTGCAGGATGAGACGATGGATTAGGGTTCTAAGCACTTCGGCCATCTCCGGCCACCGGCTAACTTTCTGCTCGTGGAAGTAGTAAGCGACAAAGATTGCCGGTTGCTGCGCGGGTCCATGGGGTTCCTGCTGTAGAGACTGCGTAACAAAGGCAGCGAGGGTGGATTTTCCTTGGCCGCGACGCCCATGGATCCACAAGAGTTGGGACTCGGGCTGCCCACCACGTCCTGAGAGCCAGTCGTTGTAGACAGTGTCTTTTAGCAGCCATTGCACGGACTCAAGGAGCTCCCCTTTCAGCAGCTGGGACACGTTGAACAGTTGTTGCTCAGGGATGGAGAGCATCGCCAGGCACCGCAGACCCTCGTTGTCCAGCTTAACTAGAGCACTCGCTGACACTGGGCCGGCCTTTTTCAGATCTATGTAGACAGCAAGTTGCATGTTAGCTCACCAAGCGCCTTGCCACTCCCGAGGCATGAGATAGGGAGCTAACCTTGCATAATGTATTCTAAGTTGTTCGGATATGGCGCCAGCGCACCTGCAACCGCCGGGGTGTCTGGCGGAGGCTCGACTCTGAAGCTCAGTATTCTCAATTCAGGCTTCCGCCGATCTTGTGATGATGATCCAGAGCGGTCACGTTCGACTCTTATCCGGCACTCGACGAGGAACGGTTCCTTGGTGTGTCGACTTATGAGGACCGCAGGTTTCACAAGAGGAAAGACCGCATCCCCGTTTGTCGTCCAAGAAACGGTGTCCGGGCCCCTGTGTTTGGTACGCTGTCGGGGCGAGAACGCGATGGCTGACGTTATTTCGTACGCCTCGCTCATGCTGGCGTCGTTAAGCTTTTGTTTGGGCGGTCTAAAATCCCATGATGACGGGGGCATCATGTCGAGAATATTGGGATCTGGTTGGTCTTCGCGCAATGCTTTGAACTGCATGAGAAATTCGACCTTGCAAATATCTTTGCCCACAACCTTAAGCTCCATCATCAAAATGGAGGCTAAAGTGCTGCTCTCGGGGTTGAGGAGGCCATGGAGACGCTCGTAGACCAGGACGGACACGTAAACTCTGTCAACATTCGAAACAGCACCGTTGAGGGCCATATTGGGCTACATAAGGTAGGCAGAGAGAATCTGACGGAGTTTTCGAGATCCGCAGAAAGGGAGAATTGAGAAGAGAAGGCAGGCTTCCAAGACTGATATGGGAAAGAGCACTACAATAGTAGCCTCGATGATTCCGGGAGCCTTGGGAGCCTGCCAGCCTGGAAGGTGAGAAAGTCCTTGGCAGCAGGGTCTTGCAGCGCCATGGCTGCTTGTTTTGGGCTGACAATGCAGCGCGGATCCTAATACGGCCATGATGGCTGCCAACCTGCCGTGGTCTGTGGTTGATTTCATGCAGGTTGACCGTGACTTGAAAGGAATATTGAGCCCAGCTGTGCTGAAGGAGGTTGGGGTGGGGAGAATGCAACGCCAGTAGGGTAGCAGTGACGGGAAGAAGCTGAAGGTGTGTGGGAGTTTTGTGGGTGGGGCCAGGTCGGGTACGACTCTCGTAGCCACGCTGCCAGATGTAGGACTTCCAAGACAGTCATGCACTGTCCACCACCTTAGAAAGTTCCAACTGATGTCCAGCCTTGCGAGCTTCTCAGCTGATAACGCGCGGAACCAGATTAGTAAAGCTAGAACCACCCGACGGACGAGAAGTGAGACGCAATCCCTGCGGCAGTGGCCTGCGTTTGGTAACTTTGGTTGCCATCTTCGCCTGGAGGCCGGTGGAAAGGGTCCTGGAATCCGAACAGCCGTGTACCACAGGAAACCTTGGTCCCGTCTCCGTTATCTGGTCTATTGACACGGACCGTCCGAAAGCGTTTGCGAGTAAATGTTGAGCAGGTAAAATAAGCATAATCTGAACTTTTTGAAGACAGTGTTAGAAACTTGTCGAGCCGAGACATCGCTCATACCACATGCGGGGATGTCGGTAAGAACAGGAATCGGCTATCGACGCAGTCGAACACAGCTGTGGACAGGAACAGTTGGAAGGACCGAGTCCCGTCTGTTCCCGTCATGGGAAAGGGCACCGCAGCGCTACCTACCTTAACAATTTACCGAATCTGGAAGGCCGCATATCCGGGGTCGCTCCTGCTTCAATGACAATCCTCAGACCTCACTCGCAGCCTCACTTCAACCACCACCATCCTTGGGTCCAGGCGAGATTCTAGATATCAACAAACATTGAGACAGTTTCCTCGCTCCGGCCACCTTAGATTTGGGCTTTGCTGAAGAATTGTGAGCCACAAATCTCGTTAAGTTAGTTTATGAACAATACAGGGGCAGGAAGGAGAGCGGGACGCTGCCGTACACAGAGCCTTCTATAACACATACCGAGTACCTGATCACCGATTAGTGGTTGTATAAGATACTATCCAGGTAATGTATTGTATGAATGTAAAGGTATACACAAATTGTACATAACGTCACTGTGCGTTAAGATTCGTTGAGTCGTTGACTCGCAGAACTTTCAGCCGTCTCCCAAAGCAGGGCTTGGATTAGTCTAGTACTAGTCTAGTACTGACCCCGTACTAGTACTAGTACTGATTCTGTACTAGTACAGTACTAGAGCAAAACACATAGTAAACCCGTACTAGACTAGTACTTTAGTCTAGTACAGTACTAGTACTAGTACTAGTCTAGTCTAGTACTGAGCCTGTACTAGTACTAGTACTAGAGTACTAATTCCAAACTCTGTCCCAAAGTTTATCATTTTCGACCTCGCAACCGAGTCACCGACTGGACAAAAGACATGGATAAAGAAGACTCGAATTCATGCGAATCTGTTTCGTCATCATATTCCGATGAATATATTTCATCGTCCTCACCAAGGACAATGGTAAGCATTTATATCACCATCGGCAACATTGGACTGACATTGTCAGCACTTCCGCTTCGGAAGCCGTACCGTCAAGGCAATCGGCAAACCATCCGACTCAGAGCACCCCAATGTCCTGAGGCTTAGTGTCTGTGACTCCATCCCCCAGCTCGTGATCCAGACACTTTTCCACTGGCTTCCTTCGCCACTCCGCTCCTGGGCCAATGCATCCTTCCCAGAATGGTTCTTACCAACAAAGATTGTTTTGAAGAAGCAGAAAGACGGGTGGGAGGAAGAGTTCGACAACGAAATCGCGGTCTACGAGAGGTTGAAATGTCTACAAGGGCTCGTGATCCCAAGATGCTACGGCCAGGCTCAGTACGAGGGGACTCGTGCTCTGGTCTTGTCGGATATCGGAGGGGTATGTGTCGTAGAGCCTGAGGGCGCGGTCCTGAGCGTGCAAGACATGCGGCTGCTTTTCGACCAAGCACTACGTGCTCTTGCCAGCCGGGGGATTACCCATGACGACCTGAAGCTCGACAATTTCCATCTCATCAACAATAATGGCAGGGATTGGGCCATTAGGGTTGTAGACCTGGAACGCATAAACATCATACCGCCTGATTACAATCCTATGGAGGAGATGCAATATGACCTTGATCATTTGATGAGGCAGTATAAAGGCCATTTCGAGTCCTTACGAGCAGACCGCAAGCCGCCTCCCCGACCTCTAGGGATCTAGCATAGCTATACTTAGTATACGAATGATTCAGGGGCGGTTTAATGTTCCATGATAAGAAAGGTTTATAACAGGTCCAGCTTAAATCAAACAGAACCCGAGGAGTACGGCAACGCTACTGGGCGGACCTGTACTGCTGTAGTCCGCGTGCATGATCATGTAGAAGGTGAGGTTAAATCTCCTGAGCAAGTCACTTGAATCCAGATCAACGCTGCTTTAAATCAATGTTATTGCACTGGCAGCCCCTGCAGCAACTACTTTCTTCTTGTATACATTACACGGCCATAGCCGTACACTCGAAATCGGCCTCGCAGTTGTAGCAAGGCAAGGTATTCCCCCCTCTGCGTCGTACCCTCCCACCCCTTCTCCCCGCCATCATCACCATCACCAATCCAGATCTCAACCAGTCTCACCACTGCCACTGCCCACGTTCATGTCCCGCTCATCATTTATCCGTCCGCACATCCACACCCATACCCACCCTTGCCATGCCGGTACCGGTGCTGGTGCCTACCGAAGCAGCGACAGGCTGCTTCTTGGCAGCCGTCTTCTTCTTGCGCCTGCTGCGCGCGCCGTCGCCGGCCGCCGCGGGCCCAGACCCGGCGGCACTGGGGAGCGGCGCCTCGAGTACCCACCGCGCGACGGCGCTGGCACGCTCTGTTTGCATCGGGTAGTGGTGCCCGCAGTCGTGGTCAACAAACGCCGGGCGGCTGCAGGGGGTAGGGGCAGCAGCTGGTGATGGTGAGGGTTTGGCTGTTTTCTCGCCGTTGCTGATACTGGTACTGGTACTGTTGGTGTTAATATTGGTCGTTCCGGCGGTGCTGCTGCTGCTGCTGCTGCTAGCCGTTGGAGCAAGACTTTGATTTTGAGATCCTGCTGTATTTGTAGTGGAATGAAAAGCGGGTGCTGGAGTGGGATCTGTTGTATTGTTGTCGTCGCTGGTTGTTGCCGGCGGGTTCTTGAGCCCGCCCCGTGCGAGCTTGGCGTCGAGCGCGGCTACGGCGTTCTCGATGCGGTAGTCGTGCTCGGCGCGCAGCTGGCGCGCCCGGATGGCCACGTGGAACGGGGGCTCGTCTTCGACACGATCAGCGTCCGGGGCAGCTTGGCGCTGGATATGATCCATGCGCCGCTTTTCGGCCTCATTAGCTGCAGCGTCGTCGGCTAAGACCGCAGGCGCTGGCGCAGTGGGAGACTCGGGACTCGTGGCCGCGCTATCGTTTCTCGGTGTAGGCAGCGCCTTGGCCCGGTTGAGCGGCGGTAGCGAGACGGGGATTTGCTGCCCGGTACCGCTCCCGGTCGATTGGAACAGCGGCAGGGGAGCCGGCGCACAGAGATCCTCCCACTTGCCCGCCAACTGAATCCAGTTGCCGGCCGCTCGCAGGACCTCGACCCAGTCGGTCCGAGCTGGGCACCTGCTGGACTGGAACACTGGGTAGCCGTCGGCGAGGCGCGCGAGTCGGGCCACCATGTAGGCGTGGCGGAGTAGCTCTTTGGCGGATGTCTGTATGAGACAGTGACACAACAAGAGCGCATGGAGCGCGTCGGTGAGGAGCGGGTGGCAAGTCAGGGTTTCCGTCGTAGTCCGCACCGGGCCAGGAGATGGGGGTTGCTGGTGTCGCAATGAGGCAAGCTCTGTGCTTGGATAAGGGGGCAGGCCGGAAGGAGGGGAAGATGTGAAGAGGTCTGGAAGTGCATATATGCGGTAGGGTGCGATGCCGGCACCGCCCTCACCGGCCGCAGGGGAGCGAGAGCCCGGAGGATAACTTGGTGATCGGGGCATCCTAGCGCCGTTCACGGCATAGTTAACTTTCCGGGTGAACTCCTCGGCAATTTCGATGGGCAGATCCGGCGAATACTCAAAGTGGGAGAGATAGGCTGTGTAGTCACGTAATGCCCGCTTCGCGTTGTGTCTTACAAGCTTTCTTGCCTCGGCCATCCTCGACCGAGCTTCCTTCTCCGCCAGTGACAATTCTAGTTCTGGTTCTTGTCCCGCGACTCCACCGTCGCTCCCGGGACCGGTTTCGCGATGCCCGTTCGCCGCATCCAAGTGTGTGGCAGCAGACTCCCGCAGGGATAAGGGCTGCTCTGGAAGGGCAAGCGGAACATGGCGGCAGGCAATTGTTAGGTAGACGCCTGCGCGCTGGAAGAGTAGCTGCATCTCCAGGCTGCTGGGCTGGTCTTCGTCCTTCAAGACAACATCCTCTGATCTCCGGCCATTCCCCTGCCTCTCAGAAATCTGGGTTTCTTGAAAAGACGCCTTTCGAGCGGTGAGAGCTGGCCGGTACAGACGGTGGAGCCTGAGGGCATCTGTCAGGTCATCAATGGCCCCCTGATAGTCTCCTTTAAAGACTCGCACCATGGCTCGGGTCCTCAAGGGCTCTGGGTCGCTTGGTCTCGCAGCGATGATGTCGTTGAGTGGCGCCAGGCTAGTGCAATCGGCTAGCTGGCGACTCGGTATCTTCTCGTGGAAGAAGTGGACATACTTTGCATCTGGGTCCTGGGCATTCCGCTGGAGCACCAGAGACGCCACCTCCTCAAGGGACGAGGCGCTCTGCATGGTGGCGACACTACAGGCGATCTCGTCGAGGCGATATGCCTTGACCAGCTTCTGTGTTGCTTGCTCCCTCATCCGATGCTTCCTTTCCGAACTCAGTTTCGTCTGGAGCGCCGGCCGGAAACCGAAGTCGAGACCTAACGCGGCTGCATGGGGAGGGGCGCCGGGCAGGCTCCGATGGCCAATGGTAGCCACACCACTGGCAGCGCGAACAGCAAGATCTGTGGCCTCATCGACTAGGCGCCTGATTTTGACCAGATCAAAGAAGACGGCCGGGTCTATGGGACGGGGCCGGGGCGTGTTGTAGTTGAAATTGGCCATTGTCTCGAGGATCTCGGGGGGCAGCTGAAGCCATGGTCCATGGAAAGACGATATGTAGCGCCAATGCCTGTGGTACACAGAGCTATCAGTCTTGGCCAGCACGGGAGAGGAGTCAAAGGACTGTGTGGGCAGAGGAGGAGGGGATTGTCTAAGTCAAAGGACGCGGGGCTGTTGGATCGTCAGCTCGACGAGGAGCAGCAACGTATGACCACAGCGACGAAACACTTCAGCGTGGCCAATTGGCAAGTAATGAGTAATGCAACAAGGGAGCTGGAGCTGAGGCTGGGATAAAAGCGCACTTATTCCTACAGATTACAAGCACCTGCTGCTGCGAGGGCGGAAGTGGCGGGGGACCCTCATTCTTGGTCCCGGTCGGCTTCTTCACATCGGGCGGCGGCGGCGGAGGCAATGTCGAGGCCCACGGAGAGGGCATCGGCATCGGCATCGGCTGGGTCTCGGTCTCGGGAGACTGCGAGTGGCCATTGATGTGCTCACCATTGTCCGCAGAGGCCGACTTCGGTTTCGTAGGCATGCTCATGCTCGGCAATCGAAGGAAATGTCGGCCGAGGGCCCCGAGAATGCACGAATCGGGCGGGTCGCTGCGGCGCGGGCGGCAGCAATTGAGCCACGTCGTCGCGTTTCCGCTAGAGCGCGCAAAAACGTCGGAGTGGGAATTGAATTTGACGTCAGGTCAGCGCTGAAACCGGTGCTTGCACATCTTTTGTTCTAATAGAACACGGCAGCAGAGAAACTGCCGATGCCCAAACCCCATTTTCATCGATTTGAAAATCTCGGCGTTGTAACACGCATACCATCTTTTTGTTCTGAAGGGCATTGAACAATCACGTGAAATTGCACGTGGAATCTCGGCGGATGAGCGGAATCAAGGCAAGCATCATCGAGACACTGGGAATCGGTCATTGGACAGCTCCAAGGAACGTCTTGCCACGAGGATCTAGGAATGTGCAACAGAACGCTGTTGTTGCGAGCGCTGCTGGCAGGAACGAAGATGGCGGACATTGAGTCTAGGACGGACAGCAAGCCCTAACCCTGCACTAAAACAGTCAAAATACCTGACTCTCGTTGCTTCAATGAAACTTAACCGTTGCAACTTATTGCAACGTTGGAAACTACGGTATCTTATTTTGGGAAGCAGTGTTCTGCACGATATTCCCGCTGGAGCCGTACCCATGATTGGTCGGTCATTGCTAGATGCATCATCGTCAACAGTTGCGTGGGCGCTTCGAAGACCAATTGCGCCGAGGAATCATACTTCCACGGGCTTAAGCGCCCACGATCCATCCTGGGCCGTCCTTTTGGTAGTCACTGAGCACCGGAAGGGCTACAATAACCATAATGGCTCCTTCGGTCAGATTCTCGGGGCTCGGCTTCACCTGGTCCCTCATTCCATGTTGATGAGCATAATCGCGTGGACGCGATCGAACTTGTTGCAGATCTTCAAGAACTAGAAAGCGTATTGCAACTGTCGTGTGATAATGGGCTTCGGTGGGCGATGGTTGCATTTGCTATCCCTTGGTGAGTTCTTCTCTCGGTAACATCAATATCCAGAACTGCTTCCTTTAACAGCAACAACTGGACTCCAGGCATCATCGTGCAATTGCAGCTCGCGAGAGCACAAACTGCCTCAACCTTCTTCATCCCCGACACCAACACCATCGTCGCAGTCAACCTACCTGAAGGATCTGATGATGTCAACTTTTATGTTGCCACCCCGGATTGGTATCAGTATACTGCCATTGGCTTCGGCCGGTCAATGGCCGATGCCCTGATGCTTGTCATGTACCCGTCAGCAGATGGCAAGGGTAAGTCACAACTCACAAGTGGCAGCCAACAAGCCGAACTTGGTTTCATTCGATATAATATTTGGCAACTAACAAGTCAAACCAGGAGTGACCGTGAGTCCGAGGCTGAGCACGCAAGTCTTGATCGATGCTTCCAACCGTATTACCCCTTTCCAATCACTAACACGACCTACCCAGGGGCAACACCGAGCCTGTCTTTTCCGGCGGGATACGCATCACCCTCCACGAGGGCTCCGGCATCAGCAACTCGGATCTAATTGCCAACGGCACGTGCCACAGCTGCCGTGTGCTGGGAGCAGGCAGGCCCTCGGTCGAGGCCACCGGCGCCTCACCCATGATGTTCGCCGTGGGTCCCAGCATCGTGCTGAACTCTGACGACCTGGATGCTCGCATCCGGCGTCACGTCGCATACGGTTTGTTGTTTTTCCCGCATCATCATCAAATAAATCACCAGCTAGCGGCATCTAACAATTCGCAACAACACGTTAGGCCGATTCACAGCAGACCTAGTCAGGGCAACCGGCCCGGGCGGCGTGGGCGACCCGCTCAACACAGCCGCGAGCGCGACCACGGTGCTAGCCGGAGACAGCAGCGGCAGTATGGTCCGCGACAGCAACCGGGCAGCGACCGCCCACGGCGTGTTGTACATCATCGCCACGCTGGCCGTGGCCCCGGTTGACACGCTCATCGCCGGCGCGTGCAGGCGCTGGTCCTGGCTGCATGCCTTCACGGGGACCATGTATTTCCTGTTTGTTGTCGGGGCCATGGTTCCGGGGATTTTGATCAGCCGGGAGCATGTTGTGGTAAGCAAGCAATCATTGTTATCCCTGCCAGTAGTAGTGTTCTTAGTGGATTGGGAGCTCATGTTGGATGATTACTAAGTTTACTACAGACTCAGCAGTTCCGCACCGGACATCAGGTCCTCGGCCTGCTGACCTTCGTCATCATGGCCTGCATGTTCTTCTGGGGCATCGGCCTGTCCTTGATCAAGCGCACGGCCAAGAAACGCGGCCAGGAGCCGCCAGAAAGCACCCCCCTGTTGGCAGCCATCCACAGGTGGGTTGGTAGGCTGATATGGGTGCTTCTCCTTATCAGCAACGGACTGTAGGTCTTCCAGGCACTGAAAGGGTTGCCATTATTTTAGCTAATTTGTTGGTGATAGGGGTTTGAGGCTTTCGGAGCAACCCACGTTGGTCATGTTGGGTTATGCCGCTCTGGCTGGCGGTGTTGTGGTCTTCCTTGTGCCCGTCTACTTCTTCGTCTGGAGGTGCTTCAAGCGGCAGAAGCAAAAGGACGAAGCTATACATGAGCTTCAAGCCATCTACCGATGAGCGACGGATGAAAATGGTTCTCATGGTGCATTTTACAGGTGCCAGTTCATGCACAGGATAGAGGATAGCCTTAGTTAAATTTTGCCCGCACAGCATGCGACTCGGAGAAAACGTCGTCGGTCGTCGCATCGCTACAGCTACAGGTAAGATGTCATCAACTAGGCGAGTACGTCGCACTGCCCATATATTTGTTGAACCTCCCCCTGAACTACCACTATAGTAATGAGCACCTATCGGGTTATGATGTCGTGTCCCAACTTTTCAAGTCCAATGGAGCTTCGCAGAATCCCATATCACTCTACACACTCGGGTCTGTTTGCGACGTCCATTGCAACGAAGTAGGTAAGGTATCAAGGGAAGTTTCAGGTTGTCTACCGAGTACCTACTAGTACGGTAGTACCTAGGTTCGGCGCTCATCACGACCGTGGACCTATATACCGCTAGGCTCCTGGCCAGCAGTGAGCAGAGAGCACAACGCGTCGCCGCCTGAGGTCGGATCGGAGCTCCCCATGCGTCCAGTCCAGTCCAGTCCAGTCCAGCCCATAGTCCAAACCACATCCACACAAGTCCCGTATCCTTTCCTAACGGACCCCTTGATGCAATTGATTAAATTATCCGTAGACACCACCCATCCGGTAGCAATCATTCACCACTTGGACTCCGCTCCTAGAAGAACGACTCGGGATTGACACCGTGACGTCGTATTGGGTCGGGCACTTGCGGCAGGACCCAAATACTTAGCCGTCACTATAGTCTATACCGGCGAGGGCGCGCCGCCAAGGCTCCCCTCCTTCTCTCCCGCCTCTGCCGGACTCCGATAGGGCAGGGCTATTTGCGGGGAGAAAGGCTGATATTGCCCTTTTGCAAGTCCTCTCGATCCAATTTGGCGGCTGATCTACGCGTTGTAAGTGACGCCGGGCGTGCCGGTCACGCGCTGGTGCTGGTCATTGCTGGTCATTGCTGGTTGAAGGACAATGTCCGTCCGGTGTGATTGCGTTCACCATCTATGGACTATGGACCCGGTCTAAGGTAAAGCGTACTACGTACTACGGACCTGGGCGGCCGGCAATTGTCTGGCTTGGGTACATGTACGGCAGTGGCATCATAATGATCATATAAACAACCAGACACCGAGCCGAAGGAGAGCATGCAGCAGCCGGCTCGGAGAAAACCTTCTCAAACCACCTCAGTCACAGTGTCACAGTGTTGCCCGCTCAAACCTTCTCATACCTACCTACTCATAACGAAGATGCTCACTACCAGTACTAGTCCCCTTCTTCATCTAGCCTTGGCCCTGGCTGCTGCCACCACTAGCACCGTCCACGCAGCCAGCCACCGCATCGACGTGGGCCGGGGGGGCCTGACATTCACGCCAGACACGATCACCGCCGCCGTCGGGGACACGGTCGACTTCTACTTTGTCGGCGGCACGCACGACGCCGTGACGAGCGAGTATGCCACGCCCTGCAGCCCGCGGGCGAGCGGCGAGCGGTTTTCGTCTGGTGTCCAAGCTGGGTCGGCGAATAATGTAAGACCTCTTCGTCTCCTTCTCGTCCAACATCAATGTGTATGTGTAAAGATGGGTACCAAACAGGGGCACTAACTTATGTATCACTCTCGTAAAAGAAAAATGTCTTCAGAGTCACCATCAACTCGACCGAGCCCATGTACTACTACTGCTCGGTCGGCATGCACTGCGCCAACGGCATGGTGGCCGCCATCAACCCCCTCGCCAACCAGACCGTGGCTGATCTCAAGACGTCGGCTCGCGGGAAGTCGGCGGGGAAGCCAACCGGTGTTTATGGTGGTGTCATGACGACTGTCCCGTAGGGCGGGCCACTGGCTGGGTGGTATGTAAATTGGTACTGTACCCCCTGGGTGTGGAATGGATGGAGGGCTGCCCGTGACTCGGGATACAAGGACCTGATGGGTGCAGTGAGCAGAATACTGTTTTGGCTCGAGCAATAGTAGCGAAAGTTCCGCCGATACAAGCGAAGCCAACTGGATGCTTCATGGCCGTGTTTTCCGAGTTCCAGTGCTGTACCCAGGCCCATTGACGTTCAAAAAGCGTGGGGGCCAGGGCGCTGTTTAAGCTGCGTGGAGTCGTGCCATTGCAATCATGATTCGTATATAAAATTACCCAGTAACCATGCTAGGGCACATGTACGTCTCTTGTCGACTTCTTCCCCTTGACCTTCTGCACCGCGACAAGCGTGGGACCCTCGTCCCTGCCCTGATTCACGGCTACAATCCCCCAATCTCTGAGCGACGACGCCATGCGCCAACCAGACGTCGTCTCGCGCCGTGTCAACGCCGCCACGCCCTCCGGAAGATGCACGACCATCCTCCCATCCCCTCTCCTATCCGTAAAGCCCTGCCCGCCGCCACTTCCTCTCCGCTGTTGCCCGTGTGAATCCGGCCCATCCCACCCGCCAGCCCGCAGAATATCGAGCTCGGGAATCCCGCTGCTCCCCAGAACGGGCGTCGGTCGGCTCAGCAGCCACCAGATCCCGCCGCCAGCCAGCAGCAGCATGGCCACGGTGCCAGCGATGAAGGCCCAGCCGGTCCACTCCTGGATGAGCAGGCGGGAGGTGGAGCGGCCGCCGACCGCCACCGTGATCATGTCGTCGGGCAGCGGCAGGCCCTGGGGGCCAAAGAAGGCCTTGAGGAGTTCGGGATTCTGCGTGTAGTTTGCAAACTCCATGGCAACGATGCCGAACTGGATGGGCACGGCAAGGAAGTTCTGTAGGTACGACAGCGGCGCGTCCTCCTGGTCAGGGAACGACACCTGGTAGGTGCGGTGCAGCCAGATCAGGTCGTACGTGAACGAGTCGATCTTGGTCCTCTCGAGCGCGTTCGACGAGCCGTTGACGGGTACCAGCAGTTTGCGGTACAGGGTGCGGTAGTCGGGGGCCGACAGCGGGATGGGAGAGGCGAGCAGGGTCTGGTTGGCCGAAGGGGGTGGCGCGATGGGTTGGACATCGATCAGGGAGCCGTTGAGACGGTCGTAGGTTGCCGTAGCGTAGTGATAGTGCCCCGTCATCTTGGTCGTCCACTCCATGGGCTTGCGCGTCCAGCTGAGGTCGTCCCAACAGGCGGTAGAGTAGGTATCGTTATTTCTGTCCCAGATCTCCTGGGTACACGAGGTCCATCCTGCAAGGGATGTCGTCAGCGTACATAGAAGTGGCGAGCGAAGAACGGTGCGATACAAACCTGCAATCACCGAGTCCCCCGACTGCTGTACGCAAAGCTGAACGCCGTCGTCGATCTGTTCGCCGGCGTATATGCACTCCTCTTCCCAGTCAAACATGAAATCGGGACTTGTCTTCTCAAAACTCAGGACAATGCCCCGCGAAGCCTCGACTCTGATGGCTTCATTGTTGTCGAAGATACCGCCGTGGAAAAGCGTCAAGTTGAGGGCCGGCGCCACCTGACGGGCCATCTCGAGGCCTCCGGGGAGCAGAAACGACTTGCAAGAACCGGTACATCCATTGGCGGAAAAGGGGACGGAGTAGTTGGGATGCCCCAACAACAGATTAGTGAAGGACTGGAAGTAGATCCAAAGGTCTGTTGTCCGGATGTTTTGCAGGAGAAGGATTTCGATGGGAACGAGCCCTGCGTAAACGGGAATGCTGACTTTGCTAGGTATGAAGTAATAGCCAAAGTTGGCTTGGACTGCAGCCGCGAGTCAGCGGCAGCAACATTATCTATCGTGGTTGGAGGTTAAGCTTACACTTTAGGACGGAACTGAATAGCAAGCCTAGGACGGGCAACGTAAGCCTGGAATACTGTCAGCCTACTTGTCTCGGGTACTGTAGCGCGTGGCTTGGATTGAGGATGATCTGCCATTTACCTAAAGTTGCACCACAGATCCCGGAACCTGCTGACCAGAACGAGGCGAAACACCGAGAGCCAGCCGGTCGCGGCGCTGATGCCAAAGAAGGCTGTCGCGGTAGTGCCCGCCTCCCTACCGGCCAGGGCGCCCCTCAGTGTATCCAGGAAGTTGCTGACCAAGGCTTCGGCCAGCAGGACAAAGATCTGGGAAAAGATGGAGATGAGCAAGTTGGATGTTGTGGCATCGAGCAGCACGGAACCGATTTGCGGGTTCTTCCGGATGAGGACGTAGTAAATGAAGAGACAGTAGAACAGGCTGAAGAGCAGTGAGATGGCGAAATACCAAATCAGCGACTGATTTAGCGACAAATTATCCCACAGACGAGACCGTCTCTCGTTAAGGTCGTGTCTCGCGGATTCCTCGCGGACAAGTGGAAGTGAATGGGCGACTGTTGAGGGCCTCTTCTCCCGCGGGCCCATCCAGTCGGAGTCGTCGGCGATGTAGAAAGTCGCCGGGCTTGCTATGGGCTCTTCCATCCCCGCCATGTTGATGGCAGCGCCGGCGGGCGCTCTTCAAGTTCGGGAACATGATTTGGACACAGTTCGGAACCAGGCTGGGGAAGTGCTTTGGTAAAATAGAGTGCCAAGTTGAAGCTGACTCAGAAAACCCCTGATATATCGCAGGTTACACAAGATCCTCTGCAACGTCCATCGGGTGTGTCTTCATATAGGATTGGCTGCAGCGGTGACATTTGCCATGTTCAGCCCAAAGGGCGCCGACCTCCGACAGTGAACGCGCAATGCGCCCCCCACATGCCGATTATATCCTCTTTCGACGCATTGCAACCCTTCACGTTACTCGGATCCATGTGTATTGTCTTGGTCTGTGAAGGGGATTGCTGAGTTCGGGATGTCATTGGCGACAAGATTTAACAGAATGTCGCACAGCAATCAATGTGACTTGGGGAAAAGTGAAATGCGGAGATGAATTGTCTCGGGATCGTCTTTCCTGAACCTGAAGCCTCGCACACTGTTTGATGAACGTGGTTAGCACGGTGCAGTGCAGCCCTGCAGTGGCAGGCACACCTTATGTAAGCTAGCGCCCATGTCAAATGCTAACTTCTTCAGGAATAGCGGCCCACTCTGCGATGCGTCGCGTTTTGACTGCATTCAAGCATTCACAGGAAAGAAAGCGTTTCCCAAGAACATTGCGAGAAAACAAAGCACGAGTCAAGCTTGTCGCGCCTTGGTGAAATAAATCCTACAATTCTTTCTTAAAACATATAGACACTGGCAAAACCCGATTCAAACAGCTATCCGTCCCCGCGATAGCTTTTGAAGGCACCCCGACGCCGGTTGCTGTCGCAGCCGCACCGAGCGACTCGACCTACCACAAGAAGCGATCCTCTTTTACTTCAACTCGGCGCGCCCCAAGTGTCCCAGCCGATATGAGATAACCCGCGCACTGCGAAACTTGATCATCGATTCTCACGATGGCGGTGCGGTCTGACTTTCAGCAGGCCGTGCTGTCGTCCTATCCACCCCGGCTGCGCACATACAACAATGCACTTCTTGCTCCTGTCTTGCCCAGTGCCGCGCCCTCGAACCCACTCGCGCGCACCACAAAGCGGGGCACCACCATCATAAACTACGCCGAGGACGGTTACGATGACTACGACGACGACGATGATGACGGTCGCCGTCGGCCCACAGGCCTGCGCAGTCTGCGACGCGACGACAGCAGCGCCAAAACCGACCCTAGCGAAAAGGTTGGCAAGGACACATCAGTACCCGTCGAGGTGCAAGGCGTCTGGCGCGAGTGGATGGGCAAGATGCGCCTCAATCGCTCCGATGCCCAGAACTTTGCTCAATCCTGCCTGCCTCTCACCCTTATTCCCATCCGAATCGACCTCGACATCCCCGCCTTTACCCCACAGGTCCCCGTGCCGACACAAAGCATCGTGGATCCGACTCACCCATTCTTCAAGCCGCAAGAGCTAACAGTCCCATACCGTCTGCGCGACACCTTCCTGTGGAATCTCCACGAAACCCTAATCACAACCGACCAGTTCGCCACACAGCTGGTGCAGGACCTTGACCTCCCAAACCGCGCCGCGACCATCGCCGAAATTAGCAAGCAGATAAGGACTCAGCTAGAGGAATACGCCGGCGTCGCGCTTCACCCGCTCTTCCACTCGCATGTCAGCCGCCCCGAACCGCCCAAACAAACCACTACCACCACAGCCAATATCACAACCCAACTCGACCGCGGCACACCCTTACCCAACACTGGCTCGAGAGCTGACACCCCCATGGGAGGCGTGGGAGCCGGAGGCCGAACAATTAGCGCCATGCCATCCACACCATCCAAACCCGCCGGTCCCGGCACCCCAGCAGCGGTGGTGCAGACGGGGCAGGGGGCGGTGACAGCGGAGGCGACGCCCATGCCGGACGACGGCGGGGATGCAGGTGACAGCAGCCCGGACGACACATACCGGTGCATAATCAACCTCAACATCACCCTCTCATCTCAGGTGTACACAGACCGGTTTGAGTGGTCGCTCCTGCACCCTCCGGGCACGGCCGAGATGTTTGCCAAGCAGACCTGCGCCGACCTGGGGCTGCACGGCGAGTGGATCCCCGCCATGACGCACGCCATCTACGAGGCAGTTCTCAAGCTTAAAAAAGAGGCGTGCGAATCCGGCGGGCTGGTGGCCGGCTGGGGCGCCGGTGCCGGTGTCGGCGCTATTCCCGGTGCCGGTGAGTTCCCCAACGACGCGGCCGTGACCGCCGGCGGGGAGGGCGCCGGCTGGCGCTACGACCCGGAGCACCTGGCCGACGAGTGGGAGCCCAAGCTGGAGACGCTCAGCAAGGAAGAAATCGAAAAGCGCGAGGGCGACAGGGAGCGGCAGATCCGCCGCCTGCGCCGTGAGACGGCCCGGTTCAGCAGCAATACCGGCATGGCGGGCGGCGTGCCCATTGGGTTTGCGTTTAGTGGTTTGATTGAGCAGGAGGAGGAACGCATGGGCAGGGGCGAGCGTAATAGAAGGAAGAAGAGGGGGTTCCGGAGCCCGTCGCCCTTTGGCAGATCGGGCACGCCCGGCGGCCGTGGGACCCCGTCTGCCGGCGACGCGGGCGGCTACGGAGGCGGCGGCACCCTCACCGAGGCGGAGCGCATGACGTGGCGCTGCTCGCACTGCCGCGTGTGGGGTACCAGCGTGTGGGCGGTCAGGGACGGGCCGTTGGGACCGAGGGTGAGTAATCCATTCATCTACCTCACCTAGCCTACACCGTTTCATACGCTAACAACATGAATCACCAGTCCCTCTGCAACAACTGCGGCTTCATCTACGAGCGCGACCGCAAACTGCCCCGCTGGCTCATGAACCTGCACCTCAACGATGCCCGGCCATTCTAGGTGGATGGCGGCGGCAACAAGAAGCGCACCGCTGGCGCAGCAGCTGCTGGAAACAGCCGCAGCCCCGTCAAACGGCTCAAGCGCGATTCGTCGGCCCTCACTAGCGGTGGTCACTCGAACCCGTCGCCTACGCCCCGCAGGTCGCGCAGAGGACGGCCCGCTGCGGCGGCGAACTTGCTCTAGATAGAGTACAAGAGTCGGGTCGGGTCCTGTGACGGCGGGATACCATGCGGTGCGGTGCGGTGCGGTGGGGAGAGGAGAGTGAATGGGATTGACGTGTGCTGCGCAGGGAGATTCTGGCCGGCCACTATGGGTTGGGCTGGACTAGGCTAGCTGCTAAATAGCGACCAAGACAGGATGATCGAGACAGGATGAGATCATGGGAACAGCTCGCTCGCGGATGGAGGATTGTGTAGTATGGTTGTATGATCAGATTCAGATGCTCCCGAGACGCGCTTTGTGGCTTTGTGGCTTTGTGGTAATTTCAGGCGAGGGAGGATAGTTAGGGAGCTCGCTGCGAGTTAGTAGTGCCCTATTGACATCTGGCGCCGGGAAAAGGGTCTGAGAGATTTCCATTTGGGGTTCAGGCTGTGTCTTTCCTGTTCTTTGAGCTCGTGACTGTCACTGGCGGTCATCAACAGCTGGAGGTCTGTATATCCAACTAACGTTATGTGGAACTGAGTTCCGGGGGGAGCGGGGGGGTGAGAGCACTGGTGTTTTGGTAGGGACGGGCTGGGCTGTGGCGTAAAGATGGTTGGGTTGGTTTCCGCCGCTCATGTTGTAGATCAGTAGTAGTAGTATCTTGATTCCCGGGTGAGAGGGACTGGATTGCCGGGTTCATTTCATAAAAGTTCTTGTCTTCATGTTTCCATACTCCAGCCTGAAATATGGTGTTTCTTAGGTGTCACGGTATGGAAGTGTTCTGTTGGATGTCAATGGTGGTGCGTGGAGGTGTATCGTACTGTACTTTAGGAGTAGGTCCCTACGAGATGAATTTTGGCCTGCGGGTGGTCAACTTGAACAGGGGCCGCTCCATGATCTTAAGGCCAGGGCAACATGAACCCTCTACATGCATGTCAGCCTAGGTACTTACGACTGTATGTACACTTACACCTGGATTGTTCGGCGTACTTCTATGCTTGGTACCTAGGTCACTTCGTATAGTCCTTGGTAAAGCTTTTGTTACACTCACTTGTACTGCCTTAGGTATTGAGTCTTGAAAACGGAGTAAGCACTGGCAGTATGAGATTGCACATGGTGAATGGGGCAGTATCGGGTAGGTAAAATGAGTCAACTTGTTCGCTATCAGGGTTCCGTTTCGTTCCCGTTCCCGTTCCCGTTCCCCCAGATCCAATCTAAGTAGATAGGGAGTACTCACCTGTTTATAACCATAACGATCAGTATTGCAGGTTGTATTTACCCTGGAGTTCACATGAACGAGTCAGTTCAGCGCCGCGGTGTTCGGAAAGAGACCTACCGGCTGTACTAGCCGTCAAAAGATATGAATGCCCTGTGTTCCAAGCACTCAGGGGTCCGAAATGCGCCTGCCCCGGCGAACGGCCCGGATCTGCTCCGGGGTCAGAGGAGGATGACGCTCAGGGTCTTCATAGCCAGTCCCCTTGGGCCTGAGGCCGGGGAACACTTGATTCATGCTGGTCATGAGGACAATGAGGGGGACGCCAATGACCAAGAAGAGGAGGCGACAGCAAAGAGGACGATTGCCGTGATCAAGACCACGTGGTCAGCCATTGTCGGTGATGAAATATGCGCAGAGTTTCCGCAGGGGTGGAGTGAGTGTTTGTAGTTTGTTAGTGATTCAAAGCCGCAGTGGTTCAGGTAGCAGTACTCAACTCAAGGTCTGGGTGATTATTGAGACAAGGGAGTTCCCGAAAACGGATAGTCCTGCTTTATATATCATCAGTTTTGGTCGGTCTGGTCAGGGCCGGCTTCCAAACAGCTGAGCTGTTGGTGGTAGTTTGAAGTTTGGGTACGTGGCCTTAACATCACGCTCGCTTGTCGAGTAGTAGAACGAGTGGTTGATTCTAGCTACAATGTCCCAAGTTTGCACAGTTTAGTATTCAGTTAGAGCAACCTACGTGCTACCTGTTCATTGAGACAAAGGTAATGTCGTTATCCCTCACCTGCACTTGTGGTGTTTTCAAGAGGACGGATACACCAGGACCAAGAGAAGCTTGCATACCTAGGCAGGTCGGCAGCTTTGCTTGGACTCTTGGAGGGCTGTATGATATGGTTGTATTCGGCATGGCAGCCCGAGAATAGCAGCTGCTGTGTTACACAGATAGATTGTGGGCAGAATTGATGATTCTCGCCTCTTCATACCTCAGTAGATGGTACTATATTTGGACCAGATCTCAGATTCTGCTGCATATGCGTGTATTGAAGTATTCCGGGACCTCATCACTTTGAGGACGACAATGTCTCACACTCACATTGTTTCACTGAAACTTCATAGTTGACGGCAAGAAGGCCTGATCTGTATGCTTCAACATGTGGCTTTTGGTCGTCCCTTGGTGCCCATTCAGGAAGCCACATGGCGGGGGCAAGTGGTTCCGTCCCTTGCCTTCCGGATCATCGGTTGCTCGCTCCGTCAAGTCGCAGTAGGCTGACGTGGTGGATCAAGCCGAGTTAGGTGAGGGGACATGGCAGCTGAAGTCACCACATCATGAAGTCGTGAATGGGGCTGACAAGTCACGGCTTCTCACCAGCTCATGCCCATCACTTTCCGGCGCAGCCCATCAAGAAGGCGCGTATATGGCAAGCCATTGCTAGTCGTCGGCTTGTTGGGCGGACGTTGTCGGGCTCGGACTTTCAATAGCCCGGCAAAGTCGTTGGTGAGCTTCAAACCCCCTTTGCCCTACAAAGGTGCCAGTTAGGCTGATACCGTGCGATTATTGAGGGCGAAGAAGATGTTGCTAGAACACAGCCCACAATGATCTCGACGAGGCCACTGAGGTAAACAGAAACTTGCTCTCGGCCTGTCCGCGACTAGATTCGTTCCGATTCACTCACGAGTCGATGTAAGGCAGCTGTGAGTGTGGGTTTGTGGGGAAGGAATCACGTCCAAGTGAAAAGGGGTGTTGACCAGAAGTTCCAGCGCTCAAAATGCTTGAAACAGAACAAACCGTTAAGCCGTGTGGGGATCCTGCCCTAAGGTAAGTTGCCAATTCTAGGCAAAGTTAGAGTGGGTGGGGCAGAATCTGGCGATGCGGGAGGCTTCAACCCACCTTCCTGCCGCGTTTCTCGGTCTCACTCAACGGCAACAGGGCAGTTACACGGGTAGCATGACGTCCGCCAATATAGGCAAATTGCGAGGACGAGCTTTTTCCCGGTTGTCGGGCGACCCGGTCAACTGGGGTGTATTCTCAATTTGTTCCTGTTCATTTATTTTTTGAGCCTCAGTCTTCTTGTCCACGACATGGAACAACAACATCGTTTACCAAGGTGAAATGTTAGACCTAAAAACGGCCTGGAACCGTTTAGATCTGCAATCAGATTGCGGGGAAAACGGGGAAAGAGGAGTCGGCGGAGTCTTCCCCAGCCTCGCTTGTCGTCTTGGTTCAAGAAATTTCCCGTCTCCATCAATCGAACGCGAACCACGCTGCCACGCCCGCGAGAGGCTGTTAGCGAACTTAGCGTCCAGTTATGCGGCGGCGCGTGGCTGCACACAGTCATCGATTATCAACGGCAACTTCGGCGCGTTCTGCGCTGGTTTTTCGATCCCATGTTCCCTAGTTCCTGGTTCCGCAAAGGGCAACGGGACATTGCCAGGCCAAGAGGAGGTGGCTGACCCGGTCTCCAAGTCGCACTCGGCGCATGGCCTCCGTGAGACCCCGGTTTCCGTAACGAAAACCCTCCAATGAGAGCCGCCAGCCCCTGCCGGCTCTCCGCCAACCTTAATCTATTCCCTTGCTCGGCTCCACGAACTCGTCTGTCTGTGTGTTCAGCATGTGCCAGTCTCGATGTGACATGGCTGCCCGAAACCCCGGCCATCACGAACCCTTTGGGCTTGCCGTTGCCGAACTGGCGAACTGGAGACGAGTGTCGCTGGCAGTCCCTCCCTCAGGACCCTCCCTCACCCTGGGCTACTCGCTACCGAGGAGGCAATGACCAAGAGGGACAAGCAACTTGACTTGGGCTGTGTCGGCTATGGCTTGCAGCCCCCCTTCCTCCTAGTGTCCATCGTTTGGCCTTAGGCCACGAGGCGGCGCTATTCCCCATGGATCATGGCGGGCGGACAGACTAGGGCGCTTTGGGAGAGCATCGACGGGCCGAGAGCCGTCTTCACCAAGTCAACGAGTGGCGACTATGCACGGGCTGACCCCTTGAGGAAGGCTGCTCCCGACTGTCCGGAAGGACGGCCCTCAGCCCTCATGGAGTTCACGATGGAGAGTAAAGGAGAAACACAACTGGGTATATAACAGGAGGACACCAAGCTTGGCTCGCTGTTCTTGATTTCTCACCCTCAGCACGCACTCATTGCCTTCTCCGCATCTCCACCATGTACAAGAAGTTCGCGACCCTGGCCGCCCTCGTGGCGTCGGCCTCCGCTCAGCAGGTGTGCACCCTCACCGCTGAGAATCACCCCTCGTTGTCATGGTCCAGGTGCACCGGAAATGGCAGTTGCACTAGCGTCGCGGGCTCCGTCGTCCTCGATTCCAACTGGCGGTGGACGCACCAAGTGTCCGGCGCGACCAATTGCTACAGCGGCAACGAGTGGGACACGTCGATCTGCACAGACGGCAAGACTTGCGCTTCCAAGTGCTGCGTTGACGGCGCCGACTACTCAGGCACCTACGGCATCACCACCAGCGGCAACTCGCTGAACCTTAAGTTCGTCACCAAGGGCCCGTACTCGACCAACATCGGCTCGCGTACCTACCTGATGGAGAGCGACACCAAGTACCAGAGTAAGTCTTGCGCACAAGGTGAGGTGCATAGCGGGCACTCGGCTGACGGCGAGCAGTGTTCAACCTCCTCGGCAACGAGTTTACCTTTGATGTCGATGTGTCCAACCTGGGCTGTGGCCTCAACGGCGCTCTGTACTTTGTCTCGATGGACCCCGATGGCGGTCTGTCCAAGTACTCGGGCAACAAGGCCGGCGCCAAGTACGGCACAGGCTACTGCGACTCGCAGTGCCCGCGCGACATCAAGTTCATCAACGGTGAGGCCAATGTTGAGGGCTGGGCCGGCTCGACCAACGACGCCAACGCCGGGTTCGGCAGGTACGGCACGTGCTGCGACGAGATGGACATTTGGGAGGCCAACAAGGTCTCAACGGCCTTTACCCCGCACCCTTGCACCACCATCGGCCAGCACAGGTGCGAGGGCGATTCGTGCGGCGGCACCTACAGCTCGGACCGCTACGGCGGCACCTGCGACCCTGACGGATGCGACTTCAACTCGTACCGCCAGGGCGACAGGACCTTTTACGGCGAGGGCAAGACGGTCGACACTACCAAGAAGTTCACCGTCGTCACCCAGTTCCTCAAGAACGCGGCCGGCGAGCTGTCCGAGATCAAGCGCTTCTACGCGCAGAACGGCGTCATCATCCCCAACTCCGAGTCCAAGATCACCGGCGTGCCGGGCAACTCCATCACGGAGGCCTACTGCGATGCCCAAAAGCAGGCCTTTGGCGACATTGACGACTTCGGCCGTAAGGGCGGCCTGGCGCAGATGGGCCGCGCCCTCGAGAGCATGGTGCTGGTCATGTCAATTTGGGACGACCACGCGGCCAACATGCTGTGGCTGGACTCGACCTACCCGGTCGACGCTGCCGGCCGCCCGGGCGCCGAGCGCGGCGAGTGCCCGACCACGTCGGGGGTCCCCGCCGAGGTCGAGGCCCAGTTCCCCAACTCCAACGTCGTCTTTTCCAACATCCGCTTCGGCCCCATCAACTCGACCGTTGCGGGTCTCGGCAGCGTTGGCGGCGGCAACCCGCCCGTCTCGAGCTCCACCACCATCCGCACCACCTCGACATCGACGCGCACTACGTCCACCAGTACCAGGACCACGACCTCGACCAGCAGCACCCCGACCTCGGGCGGCACCGTCCCCCGCTGGGGCCAGTGCGGCGGCCGGGATTATACCGGCCCGACGGTCTGCCAGAGCCCGTATACCTGCACCTACTCGAACCCGTGGTACTCTCAGTGCCTGTAAGGGGTGGTGGTATGACTCGACATGGTGAATACTGAATAGCGTGGAGTGTACATAGCTTTGGGGATGACATGACAGTGGGGGATTTCATTCACTCTAAATTTCGCTGTACATAGTTACTGCATTGAATCTTTTTGGATAAACATCGCTTCAGGTTGCGTGCATCCGAGTGTGATCCAGTGTCCATGGGTACATCACTGCCTGCTCCGAGCTCAGTTGTCTGCCATACTTTCAGGTATAGATCAACGGGACGCTTTCTTTCCAAGCTAACAGCCAGCGAAGTATGACAAGACACTCCCCCTGCTTCTACCTGATCCAGATAGCGTGGTTACTCTTTATCATCTTGAAATTTATCAACATCTCGAATCTACACGTATCAAGCCCAACCTCAATCCACCCGGTGCTAACATAGTAGCACACCACACCGCACCGCACACCCCTTACCCCGGGGTGTATAATATCCGTACCGGTACCCACCCCGGACACCCTCTGAGTCACTTGAGCGCAAGCTCAACAATGGCATGCAGCGTCCCACCTTCTTCATCCCGGTACAAACCCGACACTCTGAGCCCCGCAGCATCAGCAATAGCAGCAAACTGCTCGCGGGAACGCTCCTTGCCGCCAACGGACAGCATGGAATAGTCCTTGAAGGCGGCGTACAGCGGGAGCGGGCCGTCCCCCGCGTCCGGGTTGAGCTGTTCGGCAATCAGCACCCGGCTGTCGGCGTCGCCGGCCATGGCAAGGGCTATGTTGCGCAGGATGGTGGTGGCGACTGGGTCGGAGTAGTCTCGGAGGATGTGACGGAGGTAGTAGATTAGGGCGCCTGGGGTTTTGTTAATTCTAGGGCTGGGCTGGGGGGTAGGGTGGGCAGTTTGTGTGTTGTGGGTGGTGGTTGGAGTGCTAAGGTAAGGAGGGAGGTAGGTGAGGTAAGGTAGGTACTTACCCCTGACGGGCGGTTCAGAGTGGAAATCCATACTCATCCACCTCACGCCCTCCAAGCCCATCTCATTCGCAACCCCATCCCTTGCAGCGTCCCCCTTCGCCTTCCCTTCCGCAACCTTCACAACCTCCTCCAAATCCTGGACCACACACCACCCCTCCCTTCTCCCCAGCCCCGGATACCTCTTCCTCCACAAACTCAACACATGCCCCGCACCACCACCAACATCCACCCAAACCACCTCCCGACCCTGCCTTTCCGCCATAGCAATTATCTCCGCCACCCTCGCGGACGGGTACATCCCGACAACAGGAACCCTCGCATGGCTGACAGCCATGGCGCGCATAAAGTTCTGTGTTGCAGCCGGGTCGCGGCGCAAGACTGTGAAATAATCCAGTTCCGGCTGGCCGGCGAGATAGGAGGTTGGGATGTGGGCCGGTCCGATGGGTTCCGTCCGGCCGTAGTGGGTGAAGTAGTCGGGCAGGATGGTGGAGGTGTGGACTATGTTGGTGTACAGAAGGGAGAACATGGCTGAGAAAGGGCTGCGTGGGAGGAGGAGGAGGGAGGTTGGGGTGTGGGAGACGGAGATTGAGGGTGATTCTGATTCATCCGGTGAAGATGAAATAGGGGCGTGGTAGGACAGGATGGAGGAGGAGGTGAGCATGTTCCCTACGCGGGCTGGGATTGGTTATACCCGGCCCGGGGAGTGATTAGAATGGATTCGGAGTTGACGGTTTGATTGATAGGGGTATAAGGGGTGAGCGGTGTTAGAGGTTAGACGTACTAACGAGTCCCTCCTCCGCATCAATGCGCTTTGCCAACTCACGATAGGTAATTTGCTCGCCTGGTCCTGTGGGGATAGCCTCGAAGGCGCGCCAGTGCATGAACAGGCGCACGGCCGACACGACTGACATGGTCGCGAACAGGTTCATGACGACGTCTGGCGGCGGGCGCACCGCACCGGCCAGCTCGGCGGCGGCTGTGGCTGTCTTGACGCGCAAGCTGGCGGCATCCGAGTCGGTTGTGTCCGGGGATGATATCAGGGAGATGTTGCGGCTGATTTGATCGCTGAGCTGGCGGAGGCGGGCTGTCTTGGGGTCGGCGGCTGGTGGTTCTTCAATGGTAGGGGGCTGCAGGTCACGGTGGCAGGCCGGGGTTATACTCGTTGGCGCGGTAGCAGACTCAGATCCATTCATGTCACCATCAGACATCACATTTTCCGCCAGGTTGACTTCATCACCAGTTACTACCTGCTCCTGCTCTCTTTCCGCAATGTCGTCGACATCACCCTCGACAAACTCTTCCAATTTTGGAACTGGACTTCGCTCAGGCGTCGGGATAAGGGGTTGTCCCAGCAGAGTGCCGTTGGAGAGAAACGAGTTGACGATCTCCTGGACAGCCTTGAGCGCTTCGACGGCGTTGGCGGCAGCTGTGAGCTCGGGTGCGACCTGGTTGAGATTCACTCGGCCGGTATCGCCATGGTCAACGGTGACGATAGGAGCCATGGTACTGAAGATGGCTTCGTATATATCAAAGTGCTTTTACCAAATGTCAGCAACGCTCAGAGAAAATATCGAGTCTTCATCCAACCTGAACTGAGAAACTGAACCAGCGTAAGCCCTTTGCATACCGGACGCGAGCCCCTATTTATTTGTATATTGCTTCGACATCCTTCAGATGACATCCCAAGAAGGGCATGTCCCTAGCTGCAGACTGCAGTGTCGACGCGACGCGGGGCCCGGCCCGTCGGTGTATGTTGGCATTGGAAGGATTGCTCGACAGGCCTGGTACTCGTAAGCAGTGGAAGTTGACTAAGGTAACTTCACCATACATAGCCTGATTCATTGTTAATGTTGGCGGTGTCGGCATCGCTCGCTCCACAGCTCTCGGGACCGAGGCTGCGGATCGGGCGCGCGGGAGATGTATAAACCCCGAAAGTGATTGGCCCCGATCCTTCAAAATACAAAGCCGATGCAAAAGAGTTCCTTTGAGGCTGCAGCAGCCAATAGCACCCGTTTTGGATAGAGTTGATTGCTTGCTTCCCCTAGATAGTGCCCCCTGTGGGAATCAAATGCCTTCCCCTGTGTGTTCATAAGATCTCGGTTGCCCGAAGGGACAAAGAAAGCGACGAGATCTCCGACGCCGCTGACATCAAATGGATTGACCCCTATCGCCTTAATCCGATCCTTCCGAGCTTTCAGGGTCTGATCTGCCTGCGCCCGCTACATGTTGTTGTCATCCGGACCAGGTAAACAGCGGTGTGTTTGAATGTTCTCAACTCAAGCATTACCGTCAAATGTGCATGTCGTCGAACATGGTGTGGTACCATCGCTAAGTTGCTCCTGAAGGTTGATACTATGTTAAGATGTCATTGCTAACCCATTATTATGACTCTCCAGCGCCTGTGGAATATTATCTCGCCTCTGCACGCTCCTGCTTTCCCTGGTATTCATGGTGGTGTCGTCGCCCGTTTTGAGACTTGAGAGAGAGCTTGAGGCAGCTTCATCACGTCGAGGCAGTACAGTCAGCGGCCAAGACAAGCAGGACAGAAAGCGGGCAAAGAGAGTATCATTACCTTGCCTCACCCAGAGTCTCCCTATATGCAGATGACAAGTGCCCAACTCCGCCCGTCATGACCTCGACCCAGACACAAACCCCGAGCCCGTGAGCCCATGCCTCCTAAGCGCTTCACCAAACTCAACACACGTGAGCTCCGTTTGAACCAGCAGATTGATCTCGTACTTTGTTGCATTCAGCGACTTGACGGTACAAACACCCGTTCTGAGCAGGTCACCGACCCGGACCAGGTATTCAGTCACACTGAGCAGACTGCAAGTGCCAAGGGCATAGAATGGCCTTTCGTCAAACAGAAAGGGCTCTTTCTGCTGCTTTGGAGATGTGTTATGCCAGTATACTCCCAGGAGCGGCGGCCCGGTAGTCGTCTCGCCCGATTCAGGGTGCGTCTTGAGCTCCCCGGCGCGTAGATCAAGGTATTTGCCGTCGACGATCGGGTACCCGTCCACTGTCCACAACTGCAATGTCATGTCCGGTACCCCGGGTAGCTTAGGCTCGGACTGGCTGCCGGTCGGCTGCGCAGCCTGGGCGTCTTCAAGTTCGGTGTTCATGGAGATTGATTTGTTCTGCCAGGCAATGACAGAGTTCGACGCCCTGGCTGACGTTATGGTCTGGGCTTTCGTGTGCTAGACGAAGAGTGTTCATCATTGAGATTGTCCTGTACACATAACTTTGAATCTTTACCTACCTACTTTTTTGCGAAGCAGCCTACCCCGCTTCTCTTATGAGTGCTTGCGTTCTGGTACGGCAGATAGAGCTCAGTCAGTATACCTTATCCCGGCCTGCCTGGGGTTCCAGGCTGTTGTTGGTTCTGAGACTCGTCTAGTCTTCAAAGGCAGTCTGCATAGCCGAGTCAAAAACTGTATCAGAACCAACAGCCATGGTATTATCCAGCCCGTCTCTGAGCTGTTGGTTCAAGTATAGTCTTAAACCGGCATGAGGATGGGATTCACAACAATGTATTGTCATTAAAGAAGGGCCCCGAATATGACCAACACGACAAACATCATATATCTCTATATGGCATTGCCAATCAGGAAACCGTCATGGCAACCGATGTGGCAGCAAGTCAATGTCTGAAGATGCATGGATTGTCGTTTGTCGTTAGGTTGCGATTCTTGAGAACCTCATGATGCATGTGTGATGGTGTGGTCCCGTCTTGAAGTCCATGGAGGCTCGGTCGAGCGTAAACTCCGAGCAAGTTCAAGTATCGAACTCGAGTTTGACGCGGCTTCGGGATTGAATGACATGTCCATATATACCTCTCTTTTCGATCATCCATCCTAGTCCTTCGTCCTGTTTGAGCCAAACGATCATTGTATTCCACCTTCGAGACGGAAAACTCGAACTCCATTCCACGGTAGCCCGACATTGCTACAGTACTCTTCCACCTTCGAGGCCTAGCCATGAAGGTAGACGCCTACGGAGGCCTGGATTTGACGACGCCCCCTTACTAACTAACAGGTCACTTCTCTCCAGATCGCATCCTCTATCCAGTGGCTTCTTTGCCTCGGGGTCACCAACATGAACCTCGCCATCGCAGCACCCATCCATACAGACGACATGGACACTTCACCAAACCCGGCCCATCATCAGCCCGAGAAACGTCAGGGATTTTATGCCCTTGATTGTGAGACGCGTCGGGCTTTCGAGTTATGCAATTCAACCACGACTTGCCCGGGGGGATACTATCCGACCAACCGCCAGATTCCCACATGCGAAATACTCTGTTCGTGCCATTGGATTTATCAGTGTGGTAATTTTGGGTGCAAGACTGCTACCGAGGATAAAACTGATGGAACTGAGACGGAGGCTTCCGAGCCAACAGAGGCTCTCTCCAAGTAGCATTCCTTCTGTACTCAGGCTGCGACCGATAGGATTCATCAGATGCGTTATTGAGAGAGATTCTCGTCGTACTGAGAACTTCCCCAATGGATAGCTCGATGCGGTTTAGACGCTGGTTCAACCAGAATGGAGAGAAGATAAGTTCACCATGGAAACGTCTGAGTCCGTCCTGAAGTTCCCTCCCTCCAAATGATTCAACAGCACACACACCTGCATTGCCACAGTCCGCGAACAAACCCTTTTGGCTCCAACCACCACCACCCCCGACATCAGCCAAGATGATCTCGTTACCCCATCATATCTGCCCCCCTCGCTGAATAATCTGCGCCACATCGACATCCAACCACCTCACCTCCTGCGGCTGCGCCGAGTGTTGGTGTTGGTGTTGATGTTGATGATCCGGTCCCGGGAGGGCATGAGGACCCGGTATCGGCTGCTGCTAAGGCTAAGCAACAAACCCACCAGCCTGTGTAGTCGCCGCGGCGTCTCTCATGGCCTGTCTGGATTTGAGACTCTCCAGCAAATCCGCAGACATGGCCTCAAAGGTATCCATGAGCGACGATGCATTCTCCCATCGGTCGCCGTACAGCTTCAGCGTGAGACGCACTCTTGCCAAACACCGGATACTGCGGTCAAGGTTGTCGCCGACATCCCGGTCTAGCCTTTGGGGTAGCGGTGGCGGAGACGCCGTTCCGGGCATTGCTAGAGGCATGGGAATGGGCGACCCGGACAGCAGGGAATCACCTCCATCCCGCAGGGCCGCGACGAACTGTGAGCCCATGAAGAAGACTCTTAGCGCGTCGTGATAAGTGTAGAACGCCGTGTTTACCGCACCATTCGCGATATCGTATATCCTGTTGACGCATGCAATGACATGTTCAAAGATTAACACCCTCCCATACGGGGTTACGTGGGGAGCCCTAGCGCTAGGCGCGATACAGTACACGTAGCTGTAGCGCAGCTCCAGGTCTAGCATCTCCCGGATTCGAATCGGCACGTTGTCGGGGAGTCCCTCGGACCATTTTCGCATCTCGGAGCACACTTGCCATATATATGAGTTAGCGTCGGGCAGGGGGTCGGTTGGATCGCTTTGAAATAGCGTTTGATACCAGCCAGACTGCAACTGGCGCAGCCTGAAGAGAGGAACAGATGCGTCTAGGGGTACTTTGACTGTCGGATCACTGGTGGAGAGAGGTCCGCATGGCTTGGTTGGCGATGGTAGAGCTACCGACACGGCGTCATCATAAAAGGAGAAAGCCCGGGCGTGAACCATGCTTATCGCCCTTGAGAAGATCCCTATTAGAGGACCGAGTACAGAAACAGGATGAGCTTGGCACTAACCTATCCAGGGCATAAACACAATAGAAGGTCCTCCGGCGCGCCTCCAAATCGGACGGTTGCATGTAGGGTAAATCCTGGTGGAATCCCAGGTCAACGACGGCGCGACACGTGAAGCCTATGAGGTGCCAGCTGCTGAAGTGCGTCGGGTCAAGCATGGAATACTGGGTGAGAAGTATCAGCGATTGAAGCTGAGCGGCGTAGCCCGGCGTCAGTGCCCGGTCCGCATGCGGCAACGCGCGGCCCACAAACTCGAGCGCATCTAGATAGCTCTTGTCTCGCATGCTCCGGCTCTGGGCTGCGGATGAGATGGCAAGAACCATCCAGAACAACCAATACTCAGAATTTCGGAGAGGGCCCGGAATTTCTTGGTAGAGGCGGTCGACGACTGAGTACAGAGAAACGATGGAAAAAGCAGGGTAAAGGGGAAGGATGTTAGCCTCATAGAACTGTATCAAGGCTCTTGTAGCGTGTTCCGCCGGCAGACCGGTGCCCTTCGGCTCCGGTACCGGGTCGTTGGTCGAGGCCGCCAGGACTAGGCGTGCAAAGGTCATATTCAACTCGGATGGCTCAAAGTCTTGCGTCGTGGCATTGACTGATCTGAGCTAAAATTAGCAAGAACTTATCGTGTATATATGGGGCTGGATGGTCGCACAGGTAGCCAAAGTCTGACACCAACGAGTTAACATCGGCGTTTTCTCGGGTCCGGGCAGCCTTGCGGTGGATGGCGGCTCGGATGAAGGCCAGGGAGTCTTTCCGGCCGGGATCAACGGCAGGAGGAGCATCGGGATCATGCTGTGCTACCGAAGCCTTGCGCGAGCGAGCATATTGCAGTCGCTTTTCCAGCTTCTCTATCCTGAGCTCCAACGCGGCGACATAGCTGAGCGGAGGAGGTTGCTGTTAGACATGTTCGTTCCTGCGCTCTGTCTGATGTGCGCTTACCTTCTCTCCTTCCCCCGCGCAAACTGACTGTTTGCTGCCGAGCACTCACTCTCGCGACCGGCCTTTTCGCATGCCGTACATGCCGGCAGCTTGCCATCGCACTATTCAGCGGTTAGTTGGCTGAGGGTTTGGGCAAAGACAACTGCTCAGCTAAGACTGAAAATCACCTTCACTTTGGCAGAGCGGCCTGGGAAGGCAAAAGGTTAACTAGGCTGAAAAGAGAGACAGGAAGATTGGGGCTTTCAGGGGATGCTCACATCTCGAGCAGGCAGATACTGGCCGCGAGACCCTGAGGATAGGGTTATCTGAGAAGCTGGACCGGGGCATGGCGCTCCACACGGGTGGGACCGGGGTTGCACTCCGGATGGAAATTCGAGACAACGCCGACCTCCAGCTGAACGTCGCTCAAGCCGACAAACCTGCGGAAAAGGGGCTTTAGGCGATCGGGACACCAATTGAAGGCTGGCGTAATCGATTCGAGCAACGCGGGCAGCTCTAGCCAACTCTGTGGTGTGGAAGGAGCATCCACCGCCTACCGGAGGGGAATCGGAGCGTTGGCAGCTTGGCTTAACAGAAGCGTTTTTGTGTGGCCTTCAACGCTCTTCAACGTCGCGCAAGACGCAGCCAGATTATGCCAGATATTGTCGGAACCGGCGCAGAGGGGTCGGGCTCCGGAAGCTGGGTTAACAGCCGAGTAACAATGGACTGGACGATGGATGGACATGGACAATGTGATGTTGAGAGAGGGTGGAGAAAAGGGCACAGAAGCTGTGGAGCTTCGGACACCCGCCCGAGAGGTGACGGCCGCAGATGGTTGGCCGCCTTGACGCCGCCCGGACCAAGCTGCAAGCGGTGATACGGTGGGATTGAATTGGAGGCTATGCATAACCGTTGTTGTTTGATAGTGGCATTGTCGAGGCTGGTGTTTCCTTTGTCTTCCCTAGGTAGCCTGGATTGCGTGCTTGTATGTGTAGACCAAGACGACTTTGATGTTGTGGTTGGTCTCGCCTGTTTGTTAGTTTGGGCAGGACTGCCCGAGGTGTCTACCACACAGTATGAAGAACATGAATAAAGGTACGTATAGTATAGTACAGTGCGTTACATATGTTACAATACCTCTTGGTGGGGTTATGTTGGAAAGCACAGTTGGGCACCGTATACGCGTACGCTACAGTGGTGATGGAATTCGTGGTGGTTGTCAATTGGTAGGTAGGTGGATTGAAAAAGTGGAAAACCTCTGTAAGAGGATGGAACCCCTGACTGGGCCTAATAACCGACTAAGCTTATAGGGGGCGTATTTCTAATATACCTCCCTAGTTGAGCCACTTCCTGGCGAAACTGCCCAATTCCTGGCAGAATTGCAATATAGGCCCAAATCGCTCAAATCTAGGATCTTTTCAAATAAGCTAGAAAATATGTGCGTTTTCGGCATTATAGGATTTTCTGGTTCTAGGCCCCGGCCTTTAATTCCTAGCTTCCTAGCCCTGA